ATTTTGTTTAAAAGTTATTAAAAAAATTTTTTTTTATTTTATTTGCTTAACTTTTGAACAAAATATTTTAAACAAAATTTAACGAATGTTATTGTAAAGAATGTTTTAAAGAACAGAATGAGCTATTATTTGTCAAAATTGTTAGATCACTTTTTAGTTTGAGGTTATGTTAATAACCTCAAACCTCAAATTATAGTAATAATTAATTTTACTCTAAAGGTCATGTTATTCAGAGCCACGTGCCTATTAAAACTTTATTAAAATTATTGATAGAACATTAAACTCTTTTAATCAATTTTATTATAACTTTTATAAATAATTAAATTTCTTGAAGAATTTCTTTTTTTTTTTTAAATTGAATCCTTTCGTGAAGTTTTATAGAAATTGTATTAAAAATAATTAAATTCTTCCGAAGAATATTATTATTTATGAAAGTAGAATTCATTGTCATAATTTTATATTACCTATTTATTATTTGAAATTACTTTTAATTTCAAAATACAGCAAAAATAAGGTTAGGACGGTTAGGACTTAATCAAGCAACTATATATGCGATCGTTTGCCATCTACAGGATGTACACGTACTACTAATGTACTTCCGACAAAATGTTGCGCCTTTCAGTGAAGTACATGCATATAAGATTGGTCTCCTTAAGTCTATACTCCATGTCATCTCCACCTGAAAGAAGAAATTTTTCTTTTAGAATTTTTTTCTTTGGAAATTTTATATTTTCCAAAAAATTTTTTTTAATAATTTTCGAATAACTCCCAAATATTTCCCTCTTTTGTCGCAAGTTTTATTTTTCAATTTGAATTTTAAAAAGTTTCAAATTTAATGAAATTGTCTTGTAAACAATGTAGACTTGAGAAATATTTTAATTCCTACAATTTATAGAAAATAATGAAATTAAAATTTTGAAACAATTATGTGATAAAATCAGAGGCAATGAAAAGTATTTTAAAATTTTTAGAATATATGAAAATGCCCATTTATACTTTAAATATCTCAATGTCGAAAAAAAATTTAATAAATTTGAATACTTATTATTTCATTAGAATTTATAATTCAAAAAATTTCCATTAAACAAATTATCATTTTTAATTAATTAATTTTTATTTAGCAAATTTAAAAGGAAAAATTTATTCCTTAAATTGAAGACTGGATAAAATAAAACTTTGAAAGAAAATGTATATACTTTTAAAAATTAAATAATTATTTATATTTTTTAAATTACAAACTGTTGATGACTCTTCACTTTCGTTTTCGTATTCCCTTAAAAACAATTCCTTTATTAACAAATGATTCCGCTGAGAAATTATTAAATAGTTAACATTTTTAAATGAACGGACATTTTGTTATTAAATGTTGTATTACAAGAAATATCATATTTATTTAAATTATATTTAAAAATTATTGATATTTATTTAATTTTCATTACTTACAAATCCACAAGTTGCTCTTAAATTCGACATTATGTTCCTCAATGGCTTTCTTTTGAGTATTATCAAAAGTGTCTCTTTAATACAATACGAAACTAATTTGTTCGATGTCATTGTCATATTGTCATTCCTCGAACTAAATTTGCGATATAACACATATTCTTAGGACTATATTTCACATTTTCCTCCACGTGACAAACAAACTGTAAATAATCAATCAATTTAAAAATATTCACTCGCAATTAGTAAAATTTTAACAAAAAATTAACTTATTGCTGATTTTCTTTCTTCACCATAGTGGTTTGAATAGCGGATAAAATTTTTCATTATTTCGTTCAAAAATCTTGAAAGTCTTTACATATTGGCAGTTTGTGTCACAACAACTAAATTTGTCTGGAGCAATTGTTTTCCCAATAATCGTTGTACACAATTTGTTAAATTATGCATTTCACAATTTCAGAAAATACAATTTTTAAGACACAAACTTTAATACCGTTTTCTTAAAAAAGTATTTACATAATAAGAATTTGAGTAAAATGAAATAAAATAATACATAAACTAAATCAGCTGCTATTTATTGGTTATATCAACTTTCTGTAAGTAACAAATTTTAACGAAATCTAATATTTTCTTTTTCTCAGCAAAGAAATTCGGTCGTCTCGCACAAGCCGTTCTTCAACGTCCGTGCTGCTTGTATAAAAGTAGCGCACGCACACTGGGAGCTTCACTTGCCTCCAGTGTCTTACACGGGAAGGACCTTACCAACAGTGCACGCGCACTAACAAAACCTCCACGTCGAAGGTGCTCTTGTCGAGCTTGAGTTGGCTCTCAGCAATATCTTTTCTAATAAATTTTTTTTTAAATTTGTTACAGAGCCTTTCTAGTCGAAAATTGTCGAGTTGTTAATTCTACAATCGCTTCGCTCCAGTGTCTTACACGAGAAGGATCTATCTACGAAACCTCCACTGCAACGGTGCTCTAGTCGAGCTTGATTTTAAGCTCTACAAGGAAATTCATTCGTGTCTTTCTTTAACGTCCGAGCCTTCTTTGCAAAAGGTAAACATATTTTATATTACTATAAATGCATTTTAAATGTTTCTTGACATCTTGCTATATTTAAAAATTCAAAATTTGTTATCTAAAAATATATTTTCTAATAAAATTTTTTTTTTAAATTTGTTACAGAGCCTTTATAGTCGAAAATTGTCGAATTGCTAATTCTACAATCACTTTGCTCCAGTGTCTTACACAGGAAGGATCGAACCATCAATGCAGCGCACTGTCGAAACCTCCTCATCGTTTCTCGTCAAGATCATCATAGGGATGAATACTTTTTAATTTTGCGAATAAGACTAGCATAATTTACTTTTTAAGAATTGCGTTTTTTGTTTTTTTTGCGTTGTTTTCGATATTTTGTATGTCTAATATTGGAAAAACCAGTGAAAACATTTGGATCTCGGAATTTTTTTTATGTTTGCGTTTGTTTTTTTAATGAAGCAATGAATAGTGACGGAGTTGGTGCACCATTCAAACCTTTGAATGTTGGCACTTCATACAGTGGTGTACAAAAAAACATTGGTTCCGGTCTAATTCAACTAAAAAATCCTGATGCAACGGAGAAGAGAAAAATCATTCCTGACAATGATGAAGAACCATCTTGTAGTGCACCTAAAAAACGACAATTGGATAAAGAGATGGAAATGGAAGTTGTTTATGAGAACATTCGTCTCGAAGATCAAAATGGCAGTGTTGATAGTGATAACAAGAAAGGGAAGAATAAGAAGAAAAAGATTATTGGTTCTGGTCTTATTCAAGTAAAAAATCCAGTTGCAACGCAGAAGAGAAGAATCATTCCTAAAAATGATGAAGAACCATCTTGCAGTGCACCTGAAAAGCGAAAATTGGATAAAGATATGGAAATGGAAATTGTTAATGAGAACATTGATATCGAAGATCAAAAAGAAAAAGAAGCCGCAAATGTCGATGTTGATAGTGATAAGAAGAAAGGGAATAGTAAAGAGGAAAAAGAAGACAATTGGTTCGAAGAACTGGAATTAGGCAAATTACTTAAAGAAGAAGAGCAGGGAAATATATTTTGTGTTAAAACAGGTCTCAAAGGGTTTTGTAAAAGTCAACAAGTGGTAGAAATCATTAAAGAAGATGTTACAACTTTGTCTCCAATGCTAACGGAAGTGTCATACTTTGCTAAATTTTGCTTGCTGCATGACAAAAATCCCTGGCTTTTGCAACATTGGGCTACAACAGACATTGATCATCGCATGTTAACACCTTTTTTTAAAGTAACTAATCCGAAAGAATTGAATCGTATAAGAAACAAAAATCCAGAACTTACCTTATTATTTGATGAATACTCCGAAATAAGGGGTTCAACTCTTCAACTTTACGATTTTACAAACCGGGATGTACTCGTAAGTCAAGCAACGAGGCAAATGGATTCGAATTTGAGAATACAACTATGTGTAGGCGGACCACAATTTCTAAAGAAATTATTTTTAAATTATTCAGCAGAAGAAAATGTCCAACAACCAGTTGATGATGAAGACGAAGTCGCGAGGAAATTGAAAGTAGAAAAGAGGAGAAAAAAGAAAAATAGAAAACGGCACGACAGAGAGAAACAACGAAATTTAAACCGAAAACAACATCAACAACAAGATTTGTTTGGTCAATTAAATAAACAAAACCGGGAAGCTCTTGGCTGTATATCAAAAAAGGACGTAGATTTTAAAAATAGTTTGAACGCGAAATTAAATGATAAAGAGATGACAGTTGAGGAAGTGAACGAAGAATATTTAAAAAGATTTTTCAAGGTTAATAATTTTCTCAAAGGAGAACGTCTAAAAAATACCAAAATTCGCGCATTTTCGTCTAATGGTGTAGATGTCTCGATAATCTACGAAAAGAAAACAGTTAAGAAATCGATAAATACTGCTACTGCTACCTCGTCCAAATCATCGGTTGACAAAAAGACGGGTCCATGTAAATATAAGCGTTTCGTTGGGCTAGACCCCGGGAAAAAAGCAAGTGTTGCAGGCGTCGAACGCTTAGGCGAACCGCATCCAGCGCAACATAATATAAACAAGGACGATAAACCTATTTACGCTCGAAGTTCAAGTGTTAGGTGGTTATGTGGCGAGGCAAAACGGAAAAGAATATTGAGAACAAAGTGTCGTGATATTGATGAACAGTACAATGTATTTCGCGAACAAGATGAATTTAAAGGTATTAATTTAAAGGATTCATCAGACTTTAGGCGTATAACAAAGTGGCGATTGGAAATTTTTAAAATTAAAAAAGATTGTCTTCTGCGTTCGTGTATTACTCGTTTAAAGTTTAATAAATACATAAGGTCGAATAGTGAAATCGATAGATTAGTAAATTTTATTGTAGGAGACACCGACAAATTGCCGACGTTAGTTGTACTTGGACAAACAAAAATTTCGCCAATAATGAAGGGATACGTCGGAACTAGACTTACATTAATTGAAAAACGCTTAAAAGAACGCGCTAAAATATTAGGGGCAGATACTTTCAAGTCATAAATGTTCACGAAGGTTTTACAACTAAGCAGTGCAGTACCTGCAATTCCACATGCAAAGTCTCGAAAAGAGCACACCGGTTTGTCTTTTGCCAAAAATGCCATATCGTGTGGGAGCGTGATGTGAATGCGGGCCGGAACATTTTGAACGTTGGATTAGTAAAAGAAAATATTATTAATCGGAACGAACTGCCGGATTCCAATGTTTTCACTGCTTTATCTAAATCATAAATTAGGCTGTTTGCTATATATTCGACAGCCCGCTACAACATAGCATACACTGTTTAAAATATGCCTCAAACTTTACACTAAAAAAATTGAAACGTTATTTCAATGGGACTGCAACTTAAAAATATAGAATAATTTCACATTACATTTTGGTTGAAAATGATTTTGTTTTAAATTTAATTTTTTAATTTTAATTGAAAAACTGAAGTCCTATTGACTTGAATTGATTTTAATGCATTTATATCCTCCTACCCAACTTGAATAGCCTTATCTAATCAAATGAAAATACTCACACTTCTTGAGATTTAAAGTACAGTAGAATCCGCTTATAGCGACTTCGCTTATAGCGACCGACTGGTTATAACGACGTACACAAACCTTTTAGTTTGGTTTACATTGAATTTAGTATGGAGATGAGTCCGGTTATAACGACTTCGCTTATAGCGACCAACCGTTTATAGCGACGTCTTTTTTCAGATGTGTCCGGTTGTAACGACGAATTTTAAAGTATACAAACAATAACTATGTCTGAGCCATACATTCTTTTGTCTTGTTTTTCCCAATATTCAATTCAATCAAGTTTAGAAAACAGTATTATATTGATAGTTACTCAAGAGTGATCGTTAATATTAACAGGAGTAAAAATGACATCGATTAGAGTCTGGAGACTCAAATTCTTCTCTTGCAAAAGAGTTTGGCGTGTCTCACTCTACAATCTCAACTATTTTTAAGCAAAAGAAGAAAATTGAATCGTCATTTAATGAAAATGTTTTGAAACCGAAACGTTTAAGACCGTGTGATCAAAAAGAAGTTGATGAAGCTTTATTAAAATGGTTCAAAGTGCAACGAAATCGAGGGATTCCAGTTAGTGGACCTATATTAGAAGTAAAGGCGAATTTCTTTGCTTCGGAATTTAATATTGTAGACTTTAATTGCACACCGAGTTGGGTTAATAGATTCAAAATGAGACACAATATTGTTGCTGGTCAAATAAGTGGAGAATCAATGTCAGTCGATAAAAATATTGTAAGTGATTGGCAGGAAAAAGTGTGGCCTAATTTACGTGCACAATATACTGATGAGCAAATTTTCAACGCAGATGAGACTGGGTTGTTTTATAAATTAACACCAAGTAAAACTTTGAAATTTAAAGGAGAAACATGTGCGGGCGGCAAGTTATCGAAAGATAGGATAACTGTTATGGTTGCAACCAACATGAGTGGTTCAATTAAAAAAAAACTGTTAATTATAGGTAAATCTAAAAACCCAAGATGCTTTAAAAATGTACGGTCGTTACCAGTGGATTATAAAAGCAACAAAAGAACGTGGATGACGTCAGAAATTTTTACAGAGTGGGTTCGGTCTTGGGATTGTGAATTGATTAAAGAAAAAAAGAAGATTCTACTTTTGGTAGACAACTGTCCATCACATAATGCTATCAAAGACTTAAAAAGTATAAATCTAGTATTCCTTCCTGCTAACACTACTTCTATATTGCAACCAATGGATCAAGGGATAATTCGAGCATTGAAAACAAATTTTCGTAAAAGTCTTGTTTTAAAAATAATTGACTATCTGGATGAAATCTCCAGCTGTAGTGACAAAAAAATTATTATTTCTGTACTCGACGCTATATTGATGATTTACGATGCGTGGTCAAATATAACACAACAAACAATTTCAAACTGTTATAAACATGCAGGATTTACTAGAGTGGATGAAAATTATCCCAGTACATCAACGGATTTAACTAACAATGACGAAGTTTCTTTATCGACTTGGATGAAAGTTATGCTACCCAACAATACTGAGGTAAGTGCAGCTTAATAATAAAATCTTACCTTTCTTCAAAAAAATTAAATATAAATTATAAATTCTGTTATAGGGCAGTATGGATCATCAGCTATCTTTAACAAGCAAAATAATTGAACAATATGTAGATGTCGATTGCGATGTTATCACATGTGAAGATTTATCTGATAAGTTAATTGTCCAGGACATACAGAACACAAAATACCAGAGTGACGACAATGAAGACGACGACTCAGAAATTCATGACGACGAACTTAGTCGGATTCCAAACGCATCAGAAACCTTAAAGGCTGCTGATGTACTGAATTCATTTGTACATTTTAATTTTAGTGATGAAAATATTAAAAATGCTATGTCTCGTATTCATAATGTGATACGCAATAATTACTATGAGACAAAAGTGAAAGAGAAACAAACTAAAATTACAGATTTCTTTCGCTCATAGAACCATTTAAATTTAAATAAAAACGTAATAAATTTCTGAACTGATGTTTGATTTTTCCTCTTTGACGCTTATAACGACGTCCGATTATAAAGACCAAAATCCTCCGTCCCTTGAATGTCGTTATAACCGGACTCTACTGTATGTAATTTTCAATCTTTCGGTGTAAAGTTGGTGTCCGATTTTTAACAGTGTAATGTGCATTCTTCAACATTACTTCCCGATGCTTTTGATCTGCGGCAATCTGCCAATCTTCTTCGATATATTTAAAACATTTGGCAACAAACTTCGAAAGGCTCATAATGTAGAAATTAGTGGGACCTGCGATTTCAATTTTTTCACGAACTTCTTTCATTTCGTAGAGGGCGGACAGAACATTTGAGAGAATTGCACAAACCATGAGGAAACAGGCACATATGTTTAGAAAAAATTTAATAACTTTCTTAAATGAAAAATCGTGAGAATTAAATGGCCATAAGCCGAGAATTAATGCTAGAATACGACAAAGGTTTATAGTGAATTTTACATCTTTTCTATACGATTCATTACTATTTCCATCAAGTTTGATAGACATTCTTCTTTCTGCAATTCACTTCATACTGAACTTACTTGCATCAAAGATTCAACTTTCCGTTGCGCTTGCGCTGTGCCTGCTTGAAAAGAAATTCAATGCAATAATTATTGTCCATCATTTTTTTCAGTTTAATGATAGAGTATAAGAGTCCATATTAATATTTGTAAATAAAAATATGAATGTGTTTTGGATTTTGAATATTGTATATGAGGCATTCCATTTCAAAACGACCCCCTTCGTAAACAATTGCCAATGTAAGACAATTTTTAAATGAATATTTGTTCCATTCTATAGAACCAAATTACTTTTTATATTAGTGATTTCGAAAGTAGAATTTCTGAATTTTCTAATAAGAAAAAAAATATATTTTTTTAATAATTTAATTTAAATAGAAAATTGAGTTTAAAAGTTAAACTTTGAAAAATCTCAAAACACGTTACCTCCGATTTTAATAAAATTCATATCAAACGATAATAATGGACATTTCAGTAGATTTTGAGAAAATAATTAAATTTTACAAACATTTTAAAGGTTATATTGAGAAAACCATTTATTAAGTACAGGGCGGCATTTGTTTTTCCCAATTTATGCATAAAAACCTTCTAAATGTCTGTAAAATTTAATTATTTTCTCAAAATCCACTGAAATGTCCATTATTATCGTTTGATAAATAAAAATAAGAATATTCAAGCTTTCGTTTGATATGAATTTTATTAAAATCGGAGGTAACGTGTTTTGAGATTTTTCAAAGTTTAACTCTTAAACTCAATTTTCTATTTAAATTAAATTATTAAAAAAATATTTTTTTTTCTTATCAGAAAATTCAGAAATTCCACTTTCGAAATCACTAATATAAAAAGTAATTTGGTTCTATAGAATGGAAGAAATATTCATTTTAAAATTGTCTTACATTGTTTTGAAATGGAATGCCTCATATAATATCCAAAATATTAATACAAAATTAGTTAATTAATTTTCTATGTATTTTATAAAATCTTTGACAATCGCTTGACGTCTATCAATTCTAGAAAATGACATCCAATAATATACATGTAAATATTTAACAATTTTGATTTTTTAATTGATAAAAAAAGTTTTCTTGAAAAATTTGAAAAGGTGGTGTTTGTTATAATTTTTCTATATATTATACTTTAAAATTGAAATTATAATACTCGTTGACTCGGAGTGATCGTTAAATTAAATTTCTAATTAAATTATAAAAGTTTTAATTTCAAAGTATGTGAGAAAAACAATAGTATTTTAAAATTGTTTGACAAGCAAAGAACAAGAATAAAAAATTCTAGACTTCGAGGAAAATTGTAACTTTACAGTTATGTTTTTTCAATAGTTACGTAACTTTATCAAACTTTAAAAGAAACGAACAAATATTTAAGTGATTTAGAAAAAACTATCTTTAATATACAGTAAAAGTTTTAAACAATTTTTTCCAAAGGAATTAAAAATCTTAATTCTGTGTTACATTTTCCATATAATATTTAAATAGGCTGCGGCTGATTTAATTATCTGAAAAAAATAATAAATCATTAGGAATTCTAAATAATAGCAGTATTTCTAAAAATATCAAACTGAAACAAAACACTTATTTGATTCTTTTTTTGTCTCAATTTGATATCTGCTGAAAAACTGTAAACAATTAGTTTTTTAAAAACAAATTGCATAGAAAAAAAGAGTTATTTTAACACTACATTTGGTGTTTAAATAACACTATGTGTGTTTAATTAATACGCAATTTTATTGAGTTTTGAATTTGCAGACACTGAAACTTGCAGGAATATTGGAAATTTTGAGAAAATGGCAATATTGATGCAAGTTTCGGTGCAACATTTTCCAGACTATTGAATTTATGTAATTGCTTCAATATTATGATTAAATGTATAAAAAGAAATTATAAATTTAAAAACAAACTAACTGCGGTAAACGTTGTCATAGACAGAAAAACGACTTTTCCAGCTGTGACTCTGATTGGAAATTGACAAACTTGAATGAAAAAGGACAATTCCAAAGAAATATTTCTTGGCAGTTTATGCCATTCTATCATATATCCAGTATTTCCAACTTTTTCCGCCTATGTTAAAAAAAATTATATTTATGTTCAGTGATTAGTGAAAATTTTCACTTTAAATTTACTATTTTAATAATAGTGTTATGTTTACTTGAATTGTAAGAAGTTCTCCAAAATATGCATATATAAAAATGTTGAAAATAAAAACATTCAGAAGAATTGCGAAATTTATGAAGTTACCAAGATTTCCTGCCTTCCAATTCTATTGATCATTGATGAAAATGTAATAATGTATTGACTTTTCTACATGAAAATCATTAATGATAAAACGCCCAAGCCTTCTGGACTCCATTTCGGTCTTCTAGAAGGCCGAATTTTCGCATTTAAAGCCTTAATCGATGGTCCCTTGGACGTTCTATCATAAAATAAAATAGAAAATTTTTAGTTAATAATAATTTGTGTTTTACCGTCACTGAGAAATAACCCAAAAGACTCAAATTGATGGCACATCCCAATATTTCGACAAGAAATATTTCACAAAACACCTTATCTAAATAAGAAACGTAACTGAAAGCAAAAAAATTGTTAATTGTCTGGTAGTACTTTTTTATTGTGAAATGAATATTTATTTAACTGCAATTTAAAATGAAAATACCTTAACACCCGAATATGAGATTTTATAATAGCAACAAGTCTTTCCTGTGCAGTACTTTCCTTTTTACTCAATCCACTAACAACATCGTGGAGATTAAGATTAATAATTTCAAACTGTCCACATGCGTGAATCAACAAAATTGCTGTAATATTAAATGTTAAAGGCGCCATAGAAATAATAAACATGTCAGCAATAATTACAGCTGCAAATGTAAATTCATAAAGAGGACTATAACCAGTATTAAAAATTCCACCATACACAGGAGATGGAAAAGGTTTAACACTAATATTCATTTCCGTTAAAATACTGTCAGATAAGAAAGGTTTGATAAAGTGATGCCCAGCACCACCGGAGTATAAAAAAATAGCAAAATAAATTGACATGATTCTTCCGAATTTAGCATTTTTTAGCATAATCTCCCTTTCTTTAGTATCAACATACATCCAGTCCTCCTCTAAGTGTTCGAAACTCTTTTTTAATGCCTCAGCGCGATATAGAAATAAGAAATACTTCAAGGTAGACATTCCGTAAAAAAATGTCGGGCCCATAATATCAAATTTTTCTTCATTGCTCTCTGCTTTATAGGCTATACACAAAATATTTGAAATTACGACACATGACATAAGAAAACCTGCACTAATATTGACAATGAATTTTATAATTGCTCCTATGGAGGATTTTTGAAAATCATTTGGCCACACACACATAACTATTCCTAACAATCTTGCAACATCTACAGTGTATTTCAAGTCACTTTTATAATCCAAATTCAATTTTTTTGCAGTCATTTCTATAAATCAAAGTTTTCTTTCTTAAACTTTCTTTAAGTTCTCTGTCTCATTTCATACTGGCGCTTATTTTTTCTTAGGAAAGTCACGGATAGGGCTACGCTTGCGCAAAGTAAAAACTTTTATTATACCTAAATTATCAAATCAGTTTCTTAAGTTCGAGAAGTTGGGGAAATTAAGCAATTTTCAAAACATGCAATTTTCATACAAAAGGCACATTATTGACAAAAACTTTCTTTTTTCAATAGTATTGAAAATAGTATGAAAATGCTTGTAGTTTTTATGTTTTATTCATTTAGCGTTTAACAAAATTGTGCGTAAATTATTGATAACAAAATGTACGCTTTTTTTCCAAGAATGGATTCTATTACAATTTGTTCTTTTTGATTGTCGCGCATATTAAAATAATAGTCACTGCGTCATTCGCCAAACAAAATTAAAATAAGCTGCAGATGTTTTAAGTACCTAAAATTTAACAATTATTATACATTAATAAGGAAAAAAAAGTAATACCTACGAATTTTTTTGTGAAGAAAACTTGCAACAACTTTTGTATTAATTCGTTAAACTTACAATAGTAAAACTATTTAATGATAAAGCTGAAAATTTTCCCACGGTTATTCTTACAGGAAATTGGGACATTTTTATTAACAAAATTAGTTCCTGAACTGTTTGTTTTGGCAATTTATACCACTTAATCATGCATAAAAAGTCACCGACTTTTGCCGCCTGTGAAAATTAATTAAATTAATTTAAAAAATATTTTCATGAAGAATTAATATAAAAATAATAAAAATTGCAATTCACCTGACGCGATAAAAGGTCGCCCAAATAACTGTAGTTGAAAACATTGAAAATAAATGAAGCAATAAGAAAAACGTATGCCAGAATGTCTGAAACTTCTACTTCTTTGCATGCCTAATTTACGGAAATCAAACAATATTTATTTAAAGTTTAAAGTAAATTGTAAATTTTCTTAAAATTTCAAAAAATTTTAAATCACACAACAGCCAAAGTTTTTTAAAAGTTGAAATTAGCTTGACTGCAAACTTCGAAATCATTAGCTGATGCGAAGCTCAGGAAACTTATTCCACAATTAATTTTTTTAATATAAAAAAAATTTTTTTCAACAAAATACGAATTAAAAGAAGTAACAAAAATAGTGTCAAAACTTTACGGTCATTGAAACTTGAAGTAATTCTTTCAATGTCCATTATTTTTCAATGCTTTACGCGAAATTTGACTGAACTCACCGAACATTGAATGAAAGTTTAGAAATTTTAAACTTTCATGCAATGTTCAGTCACTGTAATTTTTTCAACTTTCAGGAAAATTTTAGTGTTTTGGGAATAAATGAAAGTTGCACTTAATAATTTATTTCAGCACACTTTCAATATTAATAAATTTCTCTGAACGTTTAGTAAAAAGCATTACTAAGAATTAGTTTCGATTTAAGTTTTCGATTTAAGTTAGTTAAACTTTACCAAAAAACAGTGTAAGAACCTTCTCTAAGTGACAGCAGTAAAATTAAAAAATTCAGAATCAAAAGTTACACAGAAAAAGCAAAAAATGAAATATGTTACGAAATGTTATGAAACCGTTAAAACGGAAATAAAAAACTAAAATGGTTAAAAAGTAGGCAATTTTTTAATTTAAAACTATGGTTTAAGTCAAAACTTATGAGGACTTTTTTACTCTCAAGGCTAAAATTCAATCAAAAATATTTCTAATGCAAACGGTATTAGTCAAAAGTATACCAAAAGTAAGATTTGTTTTTTACAGTGCAGTTGCTGATTCAAATTAGTTAAAAATTTTACAAATTCTGATTTAAACAGAAGATTAAAACTACTCAAGACTATAATAAGAAATTTTTACCACAATAATATAATATCCTAATAAGCAAATTATTATTGTCGATCCCATCACCTCAATTAGACACACTTCAGTTAGCAAGCCTTCTAATGTTTTGACGAAGCTAAAATTGTTTTTGTCAAATATCATCACAGTTTTTCTGCGGATATCAAATTGAGGCAAAAAGCGAATCAAAAGTGGTTTTTAAACTACGGTCACTTACCTCAAGACTCGTAAATGACGTTGAACAATAAGAACCAAGCGACTATGACTCGAAATATCATTTTTTGTCCTACCTGCACGGAAAGTATGTCATTTCGGGCACTTAAGGCGGGCGCAAAGTAACACATTACGCCCGGGAGTGGGGGAAGCGGGCGGAAAAGTATTTTGCGCCCGCTTGTATGACGTCAGCGGGCGGTAAAGTATTTTCCGCCCGCTTCGCCTACCTCCGAGCGGGCGGAAAATACTTTACCGCCCGCTTGTTAATTATTCGATTTTCTTCATTAAAATGCGACATTTTCGACTTTCTTTTTGTGTTGACTATAAAACTGCAAACATTTTCAACTTGTTTTATTTTGTCTATAAAAATTTGCAATTTTTTTTTATTTTCTCTAAAAAAATAATGAGACATTTGGTTTTGTTCCCATTTCGTTTATCAAAATTGTCAATTTTAAAAGTTCTTGTTTCAGTTTTGTTTAATTATTAATTACTACGTTCTAAATAAATACTATGTTTCCAGAATACATTGTTTTTTATTTCTATTTTAAAACTTCTATCATTATAGACTTCATTCGATATATTGTTTATATAGAGCTTAATTTTTAACTAATATGAGCGTTTAATCGTGCGTGCCCTCTATGCCATACTTTCCATGCAGTTAGGATAAAAAATTATGTTCGCATCATGGGCGCAAAGGTGATTACGACTTTGGCGAAATTTCGGGACCTCGGGGACACTTTCGCTCCCTCGGCTTCGCCTCGGGCGCGAAATTGTGTCCCCTCGCTCCCTTCATTTCGCCATCGTCGCAATCACCTATTTTGCGCCCTTGTTACGAAAATAACTATTTTCGTTCTCATCTGAAACAAGATTAGCCAGGCACAAAATAAGAACATCAAACTGTCCACATGAATGCAAAATTAAGACAGTAGCCAAGCTGAAAGTCATCACATTCAACGTATCATTGAAAATTCCAGTAAAAGCTTGAACTGTAAAAACAATTTGATAAACCGGACTGTAGCCACTCGTGAAAAATTTCCCAAAAGCAGGAGTTGGAAACGGTTGGACTGTAATATTATTTTCTGTAACAACTGCAGGGGCTGTTAAGGGAATTAATATATGATAGAAGAATCCACCGCTGAACATAAAACTGGCACATATGATTATTATAAAATTTCCAAATTTTGCGCTCCTCATCATGACACTCCGATGATTGACGGTGTCAGCCTCTTGCCAATCTTCCTCAATTAGTCTCATGCATTTTTTGATACAATCACTACGACTCCAAAATAAAGTATACTTTAACAGTAGCATTGTCCAAAAAATAATTGGACCAGAAATTAGTAATCTTGAATGTAAATCATTTAGTACAAATATTCCGTGCAGAATACTGGAAAAATAGGTGAATACTGTGGTTGAATAGTACAAAAATCGTAAAAATAGTTTGAAAGTTATTTGTAAAACGGAATCCTTGTAATTTATCGGCCATAGGCCTAGGGTCAAGGCGAATACACGACATAATTTGATGGCATAATCTGTATCTTTTTTATAGGAAGGATTTCGAGTGGTTTCAAACTGTTTTTTAATCAACATATTTTTATTTAAGTTGATGGTTTCATGATTATGTTAGATCAGCAACTGACAACTTTAGCGAAAGCCTCTCTTTTCAACGACAATAAAACTTATTACGCTTGCGCCATATTCCAAGTTGCATTCATAATCTATATGGATAATGTTTCTATACGTAAATGAATAATGATAATGAAATTTCTATATTGACACTTATATTAATTTGTAATACAAGTTTATTTAAATATCATTTTTTGTTGTAATCACAAAAATTAATATTGATGTTGTAAAACTAGTTGCTAATTCAATACTTTATTCTTCATATTTATAAAAGTTGTTTTTTATTTGTTTTATACATTTTTGTATTCGCTAAGAACATGGTATAGTTTTTAGAGTGCTCTTATGGCTATCAAACTTCTTTTCTCTGAAAATTTAATCCTTTTGAACATGAGCATTTATGCAAGAAATAAATATCATCATCATCATCATCATCATACAACTTTCTAAGACAAGCTAATGATTGACATATTATGATGATTTTATAGATCGATGGTTGATTGCAAGCAAATATTTAAAAATTTGTTTTTGAATATTCCTGGAGAAAATATTTCGTTACGAACCATCTTCAAGGAGAATTTCCACTCTATTTGGGAAGTATAAAATAGTATAAAATGAGACGACTTTCATTATGTAAATTTTATTTCTAAGAGATCTGAATCAGTTCAGAAATGAACGCAGAATATTTAAATACGCTGCAGAAACTTTCAAGACCTAAAAATTTCAGTAATAAACAATAAATTTAACGCCTTGATGCAAAAACCAGACGCAGTCCATTTAATTTAAATTAATGCTGCATTAAATTTTATGAAAGAATTAAACTTACGCTACAAAAACAACCTATTGAAAATGAAACTATTTTTCCTGCAGTTAGTTTTACTGGTTTTGAAGATATTAGAATAATAAGAATCAAATCAAGCGATTTCTTCTTTGGCAGATAATTCCACTCTGGAATCATATAAGACTGTTTGCCAACATCTTGACACTTTTTACATACAATTTTTTATTTAATAATTTTAAATGAAGGGGATACTTTTTACTTTTTAGGGGAGATAATATCTTTTACTCACCTTCGTCAACAGCAGTTCACTTAAAAAGCAATAAATGAATATATTAAAAATATAGGATGTTAATAGTATACAGTAAACAACCATTTTTGTTATGTCATTATTTTTAAACTCCTAAAAAATTAGAACCAATATTACATTTATTTCTTAGAAAAGTTTTCAAGAGAGCATTTTGGTTGAGATCAAACAAAAAAATAAAAGTATACCCATAATATATAATATCCTATTAAGCAAATGCCAAAAGACGAACTTAAAAATTCAATCAAACAAATTTCATTCATAATATTTTCCAAATGTTCTGCAAATCTGTAAATTAGTTTAAAAAAAAATATTTTATAACAAACAAAAAAGAACTTTTATTATCCAATTATTTCCAGAACTGTCATTTACCTTAGTGATTTGAGATGTTGTTTAACAATCAATGAAATCATTTTTTCAGTAACTTGAAGAGTACTTGAAGTTTCCTTAACCAATAATTGAAGAAAACCATTTACAATTTCAAGTTGTCCGGAAATATGCATTACAAATGAAATAGTCACACTGCAAATTCCACATGTCAACGAACAACAACTAAATGAGCCGAATATTTGAAGACAAAATATAATATCGTAATACGGCCGTACGTTGGTGTCAAAAAATAAAAAATTTGACGGAAACCCTGTATTTCTTACTGTCGCATTTTCCGAGGCAAAATAATTATCCAATAGGGGAAAGAAAACAGTAAAAGACAATGACCCCGTGAACATGAAAATTGCACATAAAATAATAATTTTACGAGCTGTATTAGCACTTTTAAGCATTATTTCTCGATTTTTACTACTGACGCTCCGCCAGTCATTGCTCATTATTTCGAAACATACACAAATTTCCTGTCGATGAAACAGAAAAAAACAATAATATAAGATATTCATTATGGTAAAACTCAAAGGACCTGCTTTTATTAGGCCATCTTCGAAATTTCTTGTGAGAAAAATGTCTATGCAACCGGGAACGAATAAAAATAATATAATCATGATACAACCAATTCTTAATAAATTGGCAATAAATTTTTCTTTTGGACTTTTTGAATTCACAGGCCACATGCCGATTGGTTTTAAAAGTCGTCGATTTAATTGAATGGCAATCTCCAAATCTTCTTCATAATGAGAATTTGCGAATAATTTTTGAAAATTTTCTATTGCAACCATGACTCTACGGAATAGCTGTAAAATTAATAGTGAAACCTTATTCGAAAGAACATCGAAGAAAAAATAAAATACGCATGCGCATTTATTCTTTTCTTCTCTAAGCAACAGGGTTATAGATTAATATCTGTCATTAAAATTATATAATTGCAAAATTATTGTTTCGAGAAATAATTTCCATCAATTGTATCAATAATCATTTTTTATTTTAACTTTCTCCTGTTATTTTGAAAACATACCTACATCTGCAACTTAATTTAGTAGAAATTTATAAACTAAATAGAAAAATTTGATGAATTTTATGCTCCAAATTAAATGTAATTTAATATTTTGTTTAAATTTGAACCAAGTTTTATAAAATCCTTTTTTCTGTTGAAAATTTTCATTCCGCAAAATTTTAAACGTTTAAATGAACGAATGTATTTTTTTATTTTTAAAAATTACTAATTACTAAAATGAAATAAACTGTAAATATTATTTATTAAAAGAGGAAAAAAGATGAAAATTTCTCTTACGCCTTTATATAGGAAACTCAAGTTACAACGGATCAAAAATAAAAGCTATCATTCAGGCGCACGAAAAGTCTTTTTGAATTCATTGGTTTAAAAACTCATAAAATACCAAAATTATATTCTTATGAAATTTCAAGAGCTCGAAGGAAATTTAAATATGCAGCAGATGTCTTTACCACCTGGAAATGAAAATTAAATACAGTATCTCAAAATTTGAATTAGTAAAAAGCCGTCTAATTACTCAAATTAATAAAAACTTTTCACTTATTTAAAAATTTTTTTTATTTTAGGACGATTTTTTATTAATTTAATGTTAACACTGTTTTTCTAAGGATATCAAAATTGAGACAAAAAACGAATCAAAAGTGTTGCGAAGCAACGTTGATATCCTTGATATCCTTAGAAAAGAGTATAAAAAAGCAGATAAAATGATAATTAAGTTATTTAAAATTGTAATGAAAGTTAAAAATATACAAACGCCAGTGAAAGCTTGCAGAGAAAGATCAGCCATTTTAGCTGCTGTTAGACAAGTTGGATGTTCAGATCTTATCATTAAAAACAGCAAATCTACTACTACATTTTTAGGGAGAGAATACCATTCTATAGAGTATGTCGAATAACCAACTCTTGAGCTCTGCATTTATAAAAATCATTAAATATTTTAGTTTTATTCATTAGATTTTCAGATAATTAGATTTTTTGTTTTATAGAAAAGAAATATGTTTACTTGTTCTTTCAGTTTTTCCCCAATATAACAAATTATATAAACATTGACGAAAATTGATGTCATTAGAATGGCGTAGGTCATTGTTCCAAGTGCATCATTTTCCTCCCAATCCTACAGACATACATTTATTTCATTATTTCAAGGAAATACATTCAGTTTATTTAAACTAAAAATTATTTGATTCAAGTAAATTCACAGTTTTCCCATCAAAGATATTAAATTGAAACAAAAGACAATTTTGATGAAAACAATGAGACATCGCAACAAATTTTGGTACGTTTTTTGTCTCAATTTGATATCCTTAGAAAAACTGTATTTATTTTATATTAGTAATCGGTTATTTGAATCAAATAAATTTTTATAGTATAATAATAGTAATAATACATTACTTGTAACACTCCGTATTCTAAGAAACAAATGATAATTGTGCAACCGACAACTTCACATAAAAATACAACATTAAGAGAACGTTCTATTCTTTCAGCATATCTAAAATTATTATTAAGTCAATATGAATGATTAAGATTGAAAAAGTATATAAAAATTTCAGTTTTTCTAAAAAGAAAAAATGTAAATGATGTCTGACTAAAAGAAACCTCAATCACTGAAACCAGAAAACTCACTTAATTGCTCGATGATGCATTTCAATAATCACTCTTAACTCCGCAACTATATTCAATTCCTTAGACAAATTTTCCAGCCTCTTGCAAACAATTTCAAAAAGACAAACCGAATGCATAATCACCGCCGCCAACATACTATAAACACCACAATTGGTCGACAATATGAGGCTACTAATAAAAATTTGTAGAACAAAGATTTCATAGTAGAAAGGAGACGTTTCAACTTGAAAGAAAATATAATCCGTCAAATAAGGGAGAGGAATTTGCGTGGAATTATCCTCCCTCACAATTCTCTCCTCCATTAATGGCATGATAATGTGATAGGGCAAGGCGCCTCCATATGACAAACCCAAATAAGCAATGGTAAACATTCGACCAATCTTTGCATTTTTAACCATTACATCTCGATCTTCCTTAGTTTCAACATTCTTAAAATTCTCCTCAATATCTTCCAGGCACTTTCTGATCTCCTTCTTTTTAATAATCATCGTCCAAAATTTAATCACACCAAGACTGCTGAAGATCTGAGCTGCTATAATCTTCATAAGTTTCTTCAGATCCTCAGCGTCGACGAAAGTGTAAAATAGATGTGGTATCAACAAAAAGAGCATAAAACTAAAAACTATGATAATGTGTAGCGTAACTTGTATTTTTGAAAAAATCGTATTATTGCCATATCGTGGCCAAATGCCGAGGGGCGTGAGTAAAGTTCTAGCAACTTTAACCACGTAATTATAATCAAAATTTGAATTTTTCATTTTTTCCTCTGTCTGGACCATGATGTTTTGTAATTGTTGTGTAATTTACAACTGAACTGATAACCATCAGTTCAGTTGGAAATTGTACGAGTTTTCTAAAGTTTGCGCGCGCAAAGGAAATTACTTCCTATTATGATATTAAGGAACAAAAATTACCATAGTCGTTTACTTAAATTGTATCTATAGGAGTTGTACGAAAGTTAGTTGAATTAAGTCAATTATTTAATCATCAAGAGGAAATTTGAATTTTATCAACTGAAAATTGAATATAAGAAAATTATTTGATTCTCAACTATTTTCTGGACTATTATACTCTATTAAAGAGTTCAATGTTCCATATTATTTGATACATTATGAATGTAAAAATATTTCACAGTTAATAATAAAAGTGATTACATTAAATTCTACAACTTAGATAAATCAAGTCTTATCTTATTATTAAACAATAATTTTAAAAATTATTGTCATTTTGTTTATTTAAGTTTTTTCTTTAATAAATACAGCCTATATTGTAAGTTTAAAAATTGATATTAATGTTAATGTGACATGTGGAAAAAGATACACTTTGCGTGCAAGACTAAAATTAATGCTTGAATTATAATATCATTATATTCTGCCAAAATTAATAGTTGCTAATTTATTTTATTGGCCTTAATAATTTTACATTTTTTTATCTCGTTGACATAAAATTTATATGATCTATTCAGAATGATGATGACTTTAAATTCCATGCACAGGGCATGCGTTGGCTAATACAAATGTATATCACGCCATTACCAGGTGTTGTGATCTGTTCAGAAGATAAACAAAATATAAATTATCATCTATTAATTACATTTATAAAATTCAAAGTGAATTATAATTTAATTTGAACTCAGAGAGACATCGAAATACAAAACGGCACAAGAAAAAGGTCTTAAATGTCACTTTTCGATAGGACTCTGTCCTTTCATAAAAGAAAAGAATAACTATATAAAAACTTCTAAAATACAATTACAATCATTAATCATTTTTGTTTATTAATGAATTAATTATAATTAGCACAAAAAAATTCTCTATACTATATAAATACAATTTTTTTCTTATTTTATTATCTTATTTCCAGTAATATCAGATTTCATCTCATTTTATATTATTAAATTTTTATAATAAATATTATCTCAATAATTGATTCTTTTGTTTTGCGAAAAGTTCATTGACCTTCGCTTTTCGTATATAAATTGAATGATTGTTTTATATTTTTTTCAGTTTTTTAAACTCATAACTGTGTCGAAACAAAAATGTTTTTTAACTCAAAATTTTTTTGTGGTAATTTTTCACATTATTTTTATTTTGCTTAACAATTAATGAGAGCAGCATTTTCACACATTTAAATTTGTTTTATTATTATTATCATTATTATTATAATTATTATTATCATTATTATTATATCATTATTATCATTAGTATTATTATTAAAAATATAAAAATATAGAAAAGCAGGTAGCACTAAATGATAAGGGATTTTTTAAATCTAGTAGAAAGATTATGGTCAGTCTATTTTCCTTAGATGATAACAAAGTAACAAGTAATTAAATTATTTACACAAAGCAAGTTGATTTATAACTAGTAGAAAATTATTAATAAAATAGCAATCTTCTATCATGCGAAGTGAGAAAATTTGGATTTTAATAAAAATTTGTTTTTAAAATTTTTAATATTTTAAAAATTGTGTTAATTTTTTAATATTTCAATTATTGAAATATTTAATCAGCCCTAATTGAAGATAGTGAATTAAAAAATTTGTTCATTACAGCCTCAGTATGGAAACTGAATCAAGGAACGTTGACTATGTGTTTTGCTGAAATTTTAGGGACGGCAATTTTAATTTTTCTAGGATGTATGGGATGTATTGGGACATTGGGCTCGTCGCCCCCTCCCCCAATGCAAAGTGCTCTTACTTTTGGTCTCACTGTGAATCTCATTATTATGGTACGTTATTTTATAATTATTATAGATTTAAATAAACTAGATACGTTAATTACTAAACTTGATTATAATTCAATTCAGATGCTCGGTCACATAAGTGGAGCTCATCTAAATCCCGCTGTCACAATTGGAGCTGTTATTTTGGGACTTAAATCCATTCCAACAGGACTATTATACGCTGTAGCGCAATTTATTGGAGCTATAATTGGCTATGGAATGTTAATGGTAATTTTTTTGATCATTTTTATATATATATATTATATACACGTGCCAAAGAATATAAATTAATAAGAAATTGTTAAAAGTTAGTAATTAATCTATATCATATCTGATAAACTTGTGCGTTTGCATTCTTCTGATTTAAAATGACGTAACTCTTGTTGTTTAAACATGAGCTAATACACTCATTTATGAGGTAAAATTTTTAGTGATTTATGACGTTTATTCTACAAATGTATACTCTCTAAATAAATTAGTAAACAAATGTTTACTAATTTGAATTAGTGACCGATTTTTTGCTTTTGAATTACTAAATTTTACTAATAAATTAATAGAAATTACTATTGAATACTTAATTACTCATAACATAACATTTGTATTAGGTTGTTACTCCATACATGTTGTTGGACGATGGACAAGGCAAAAACAATCCATTTTGTGTAACTGTAATACATTCAGAAATATCTATTCCACAAGCAATTTTAATCGAAACCCTTTGCACTGGATGCATTTTATTGGGAGCCTGTGCAACCTGGGACCCCAGATGTGCTCATACGACTGATTCAACAGCTTTGAGATTCGGTTTCTCTGTGGCTGCTATTTCTTTTGCAGCAGTAAGCATTATTGTGTTTTAATTGTAATTTTAATAGTTGCAAAATTTTATCTCAAATTATTCTTATGATTACAGTCACCCTACACTGGTTGCTCCATGAACCCGGCGAGAACTTTTGCTCCAGCTTTATTTCAAAATTCATGGGCTGATCACTGGGTAAATTACTAAATTTAAAAGAAATGAAAATAAATAAATATTTGTCCCAATAGAACTAAATTTTAAGATTATTATTGTAATTTATTGACAAAACAACATTAATTACTTAAGAAAATCTACATTTATTACTTAGTAATGCAAGTGAATGTTGTAATGTTGTCTTGACATGCCAACCCTATCTACTCGAGCAAAAGGTTTTCAAAACAAAGTTATTTTTAGTAGAAAACTATAAAGTTTATTTCATACACAATATTGCGAATTTCTTATAGTGCAATTTTGAAATTTTATTTTCTAACTACACTAATTTTTTATATCAGGTATATTGGGTTGGTCCGTGTTTTGGAGCACTTCTTGGAACTTACACCTATAAAACGCTGTTTGGAGTTCCAACAAAAGAAACCAAAGAAGATTCTTTATCTGCTGATAGTGTAGAGAGGAAGATCTGCGATGAAATATTTTAAAATTTTAAATAAAAATGTAACTAATGTTTTATTTTGAAAAATATATGTCAACACTTATATTTACATCTACAATATTTTTATGTATATAATTACATTTTATAAAGAAAATTGTGCATTTATGATTTATTAATTTAGTCTTATTTAAGTTATTTGATTTTTATTAAATAAACAGTGTTAAAAAAAAAAAAAAACGTACATCAAAATTGTTGCGACACAACGTTTTGATCCGTTTTTTGTCTTAATTTCTCAAACGTCTCAAAACGTTACATCGCAACAATTACACGGTAAATCGTGAAATGTTAAAATAACACCGGAATGAATTAAAATAATCTACAACAGTTTAATCTCTCTAGGATTAAATTAACACCAGAAAGGATTAAAATGATCCATTTTGGTGTTATTTTTAACTATGAATGAAATTTTACTTTAAATTAAACACCAAGTCAACGATTTGTCAAAATTCGACGAATTTAGCTTCACCAGGGATAATAGTTAGTTAGTAACTAACTTACTAACTAACGAAATAGCTAACTAACTTACTAAGTAGCTTACTAACTTTCTAACCAACTTACTAACTAGTTTACTAACTTTTTAACTAACTTACAAACTTAATTACTAATTAACTTACTTACTAAATAATTTACTTAACTTAGTTACTAACTAACTTATTAACTAAATAACTAACTTACTAACTAACTTTCTGACTAACTTACAAACTTAATTTACTTACTAATTTATTAACTTATTAACTTACTTACTAACTTACAAACTTAATTACTAATAACTTAATTAACTTACTAACTTATTAACTTATTGACTTACTAACTATCTTACTAACTGACTAACTAACTTAGTAACGTAGAAAGTAACTAAAAAAATTAGAAATTAGAAATTAAATTAGAAATTAAGTTAAGTTGGTTAGTAAGTTAGTTAGTTCGTAACTAAGTTAATTAAATAGTTGTTAATAATCGTTGACTTGGTTTTGATTTAAAGTAAAATTTACTGTATTTTTTTACATATTGTTTCAATTTATAAAAACTTATAAAAACTGTGATATAAAATATACATTTATTATATAATAAAATGTAAATAATTATTCATGTAAGTTTTTTAAAAATAATACAGTATACGTACAGTACAAACGTTTCAGTATTATATACATATACATATACGTTTGTGAATTTCCGAATATTATGCAATATGGAAGTCTCAGGAGTCTGCCGATACACATACGTATTACTTTTTACTAGACTTTTGAATTACGTGCCAAATCACATTATATATATTAAAATTAATAAATAGTGTTATTTTTTAATTTTAAAATGCAGAAATTTTTAGTTAATTTTTCCATCCCTTAAAGAGAAAGTGCTGTTCTATTTTTATAGTAGTCTATACTTACCTATATTTTTCATTATTCTGCTTTATTTTTAGTATTCGATAAAGTCTAATTAGGTTGCTCATGTTTTTCAAAGAGTATTATTATGAAGAGAAATATTTTATCAAAAACTTATTGTCATTTATTCAAACTTAAAGACAGAAATAATTTCTTTACTTATCTCTATTTAAAAAGAAAAAAACGTGTATTTAAAGTTAAAAATAACTGATTGAGACTCTCTTTAGAAAGAAGAATTACTGATTGTTATATAAGAAGCAAAAACAAAATTTAAGATTTAAAATCTTTATATAATTTATTTGTTTTTAATACGAGACGCAATAGTATTGCAATAAAATTTTAAATTTAAAGAAGAAATAAATAAATTTCGTTGATTTAAACGTTCAAAACTGAAGTGAAATGTTTTAAAAAATAATTCTAAAAATTCCAAGTTGGCAAATTCATAAGTTATACTTAAATAAACTCAATTATGTGAATGTATACCTATACCATCCTACATCTGTCTATTTGTTATAAACGACTCGAGAACATGGTTTATGCTCTTTAATAATTAGAAATGCAAAGGTGCACTAAATGAAATTTTATAATTTTACTTTACAATATGAAAATAATTCTTTCAACAATATTTGATGTTTTCTTTTCATTATTTCAAACTGAATTTAATGATTTTCTAAAAAAAGAGCCGAGTTACTTTGTTTTAATCGTTATTATAAAAAGGCCGTTAAACTTGACGCTAGGTCAGATGCACTGAATATTGAAGTGGCGCAGACTTGCACCAGCTTGCAGTATAAATTACCTCTTGCAAATGCTAACCGTCTTTTAAATGAAAAAAAGGAAAAAAGGAAAAAAGTCCTAAAACGCAATAATTCTACGCAGTTCTCTCCAACTTTGACCTTGAATGACGAAATCCCCAAAACCTTCGAAAGGAAGTACTGCGCATAATATTCCGACCTCTCTTTTTCTCCTGGGTTAATTTTTTCTCCTCATCTCTCTCATGTCCCTGGCCGTTAATTTCCAGCACATCAACAATGGCTGCCGGGTGGGGAAGTCGATTCAGTCGGGGTATGCGATGGGGATGGGGGACCTGGCGAACGTGCCAGAAATCCCGTCCGCTCTCTTCACGATCAATACTGCAAGTTTTCTTGTTTTTAACGTGAAAAATGCAAAAAACATATTGTTTTCAGCTGAAAAAAGGAAGAATATGATGACAGTTGTCATGTCCGAGGAGATGATTGCACTCTTTTTAGGCCTAGGGGTTTATTAAATGGTTTTTGAAAATTATGCGCAGTTCGAGTGAGTGATCTCGAATGTTCTGGAAACTGCGATGCAAAAGGCTATATAAGCGTGCCGCTCGCCGGCGCCCGGCGTATTCGTATAAACAACTTCGTCGCATTCAGATCTGCAAATTCAGTTTTTTTTCAAACATCCTCCCACGTATATGTGTCAATTTTGAAAGCTGTTTAACAACAACAAAATGTAGACAGTGAAGACGTGTGAGGAGTGCAACCGTATGTAACATTTTTCTAAATTCCAAATTTCGTACTTTTTCCTTCAACTTTGTACTTTTTTTTCAAACTAATTTCATGTAATAAGTAATTATTTAAAGCCTTATTTTAATTTTTAATCCTATTTTAATGCTACCGAAGTTATTAAATACAGAAGTTAATCTTTGATTTATAGGAGTCGAATTTTCGAATACCTATATAAACTTTGATTTCAATAAATTTATAGAAAGTGTTCTTCACCCGTCCTGCCGTCGGAATACAATTTTTATATTTTCTTAAACGATTTGTAAATAAAAAAACAACTTTTTAAAAATTTTAATGATAATTTTTTAAATCATTAAATACCGAAAAATAGTTTGTTTTCATAAGGTGCTTTAAAAAAATTAACAAGATTCAAAATTCAATTACAGTGTATTGCATAACATATTACATTGCAACTTTAATTTTCTGCGTAAAAATAATTCGAGTTTAATAAATTTTAATAATATTATTTTTTGTGTAAAACGTACGTATAGTAAAAAGTTTATAAATATATTTTTGGTTTTTTCCAAGATTTATGTGAATTCGGTCGTAATTTTTGTTTCTTCTCGCTTTTGTTCTTGTTTTTCTTCTTTTTTCTCTGCCGGTGTGCCTGTTTTCACAATGTCGATGAGCCTTTCCGTTCCAGTGGGTGTCACTGTCTGAAACAAGTTTTAATTATCAAGAAAACCATTCGGAATTTTATTATAAAGTCGTTGCGTTTAAAGGAAAATTTTTTTTATTTTTTAAATATTAATATTTGATTTACAATGACTGATAAACAATTACTTTTTTTAAATATTAAACATTGGGTAGAATGATTACTTTTTTATTTTAATATTAAAACAAGAGTTAGAAATTAAATTATTTTTTATAGAACACCCTCCGGGGATTGGTCTTGAACAATCCATATGCATCTCACCTGGATTTGTTTTTTCAAATGAATTGAAGAAGGTCAGCAGCAATAGGTGAGAAATTAATTTAGAAAATAAATATTTAAAAAATAAAAGAAATTATTTTTCAAAAAAATTCAAAGGATTTGAATCCTTTGAAATTCAACAATTTACAAGAATTGCTAGGTACTACCTACTACAAAATTATTTCTAAAAATTTGAATTAAAATTCTTATCAAATTCAATTATTTTTTATATTTTTTAAACAAAAGTTGATTAAAAATGAAAATTTTTCTAAAATCTACTTGTTTACAAGACAATTTCATAAAATTTCGAATAATTTGAAAATTTCAATCAAATATATATTTAAAAATTCAATTTTTAAAAAAACAGTTATTTAAAAAATTCAATTTTTTAAACAAAAGTTGATTAAAAATGAAAATTTTTCTAAAATCTACTTGTTTACAAGACAATTTCATAAAATTTCGAATAATTTGAAAATTTCAATCAAATATATATTTAAAAATACAACTAATTTCAAGAAAATGTGAATAAAAATTTTTTCGAAAAACTAACTTATTCAGAATTTTTAGTTAAAATTTTTTAAAATTTAATTTTTCTAAAACTATACCCTTGGACTCAATTGAAAACACTTATACAGATTTTCTAAAGATATCACAAATTGAGACAAAAAACGAAAAGATTCGTTTTTCTGCAGAAAAATAATGCATCATTGTTAGTGATAATTAACATTTTTTTCTTATGTTTTAGAGCTGTAAAGTATGATTTATCATCATCAACATCAATCTCTCTAAGCAAAAGATAGAAAGATCAAGACCAAGCGAACTGGAAGAGGAGGACAAACTGGTCTCTTCGTGATTCATCACGAATTGACCTTTTTGATGGGTCTAAAATAAAAAATTCCCGTCTACCTTTTGGGGTGCGGATATTGTTAAAACACCGTCCGAGGAAAGGCTAGAGGTGATCTGCATCACATCGTGGGTCGTTGGCAGAACGTATCTCCTGATAAAGTGTCTGCTGATAAATCCGTGTTCATCCTGCTTCTCCTCGTGTTTGGCCTCAACAATAACAAAATTGTCCCGAGTCTTCACCGTGATCTCCTCCGGAGAGAATTGCTGAACATCCAAGATCACCTACAGATGGAAAACATCAGGATTTAACGGTACTTCACATCTCTATTGTTACAAACATTATTACAACTATTTATTTTAATCAACAATTTATGAATCATTGAAAAAGAATTATCACCGCCGATAGAGAAGTGCGAAAGAAAGGCGGGCAATTTTCGCCTGCTCGGATTTCCGACTTGAGGTTTTCTATTTTTTTTATAAATTTGAGAAAAATGATAATTTCATTTTAGACTTTTTCGAAAACAATTCGTACCAATAATAAATATGTAAAAATTGATAAAATCTTTCATGTAATTAAAGAAATGATGTTTCTTTTTCACTCGTTTACAAATCAAACCGGAAAGATGTAGTAGGTACGAATACCTACTTGTGTGATACTTTCTCGTAAAAGCGTGGATGCATGCAAGTAGGTGATCTTTTTTTTATTCCTTTGATTTTGGGAAAAAATTCTCTTGAATAAGAATGTATCACCTTGTTTCTTATTATTAAGAAAAAGTAGAATTGAAACTTCTTTATCGAGCGGCTTTATTTTGTATATACAGAAATCTATTTATAACCTTTGTATGTATATGTTTCTATTGTTGAGGCTGTAAAGTATTTATTTTTTTAAATTGGATACAACCCGGTGGTGAGAGTACTTCAGAACGCGCCCCCTTCAAAAGGGGCGCGGCAGATGTGCTTCTAAGCACCAGAATTCGGTTCAAAAAACATAGTTTCCTAACACTGTTGTTTGAACCCTTTATATTGAGAAGACTGAGCTGAAAATTTTCTAGAATTTAAACTAACCCTTAAAATTTTCTCTACGTTTACGAATCGTGCTGTGATTTGTAAAAAATAATCTATAGAGTTAAAATCATTTGTTTACTTTCCTGTTCGACTTTCTTCCACATAATATAAATGATCGCCGAAAAAATGCGTTACTTACATTTTCAAATAATGAAACAAATAAGTTGAAAAAAATTGATTTGAAGAAAAAATTAGAGAATGTTTATTCGGAGGTTCGTTCGTGGCTTTTTAAATCACGAGCCACGTAGTATTTTTTCGGCTATTTAAAGTTTCAGATTTCTACAAAGTCCGTATTTTTTTGAATATTTATTTGATTTTGATTCTTTTTTAAGACTTTTTTTTGAATTTTTTTTTTTTTGAATTTTTTTTTCTTTTTAATATTAGTTGATTTTTTTCTTTTTATAATGTTTTACGAATACGACCGTGTGTAAAGGACATTTAGAGATTAAAATTTTTTTCTGACAGGGTTTTGCCTAAAGTTGAAAGCACAATTTTATACAAGTTTGCGAAATAGAAAATAAAAGTTTACTAAAGTTGTATGTAAAATCGAGTTACTGAGTTACAAACAGTTTTTTAAATATTTTGTCCGATAAATCTAAGGAAGCGTTTCAAATTAACTGAGTGTGTGTTTCAAAGTCGTTTTATCCAGTTTTAAAGAACATTTCTTTAATAAGAAATTATTAAGTAATTTATTAGATTGTAAGGTTTATAAATAGCGTTTGCTGACATCTAGTCTATAAGCATTTCTATCGTTTGTTCGTCTATTTTTAATCCGACACTTAATTGTAAATTTTTCAAATTTGTAATTTTTTTCCTTTCGATTTTTCGGAATTAATTTTCCCTTCATTTAAACTTTTTTCATTGCTTCTTTAACTTTACTACTGGTTTTATTTTCTTGTTTTGAAAGTAAAATAATCTTTTAGTAATTCAATTTTAATTAAAAAACAAAGTTCCTGAAGAAACAAGTGTAACTTACGACTGTTCAACTTTTCTTTAGCTGTAAATACTTGAAAAGTCTTTAAATTTAATCAAAAAGCGAACAACGACTATTTCATGATTCTTTAGAGAAAGAATCATGAAATAGCCGTTGTCTGATTTTAGAATTATTTCAAGGAAATTAAAACTTTCAAAAAAGCGATAACAAGCCAGAGAATCTCGCCTGTGATTTTCCTAAATGACAAAATGATGTAATTTGAAAGAAATAAATTATTCACATTAAGTTATTCTTTCTTGTGGAGCAAAACTAATTGCTAAAGGGGTTTCTTAAGTAGAAAAAGTCGATTGTGTCAGCCCGCGTCTTTTTCAAAATGTCAGAATAATTCCGGTATTTTAAGAAAGACGTGAGTGGACCATCAACGGGAGTGGATTTTCGACAATCGTCAGATTTCGTCTAAATAATAAATATGGGCATTGTTTAAAGAAATCACTTTGTCCCCAAGGAATGCAATGTTTTTTAATTGTGGTCATTGTCTTGCTTGCTTGCTTGCTTGCCACACGACCATCCAAATCGTTAAGTGAATCAATATTTGAAAATTATAGAATTATTACCTGGAATCTATCTTTGTCAGTCTGAATGGTGCTTGCACCTCCGGAAGTCTGACGAGCCACGGTTCTCCAGGGTCGATAATAGGACGTGTTTCCAATCACCGAGCGCGGTCTCATTAAACCCAAATTGGAAAATGACGAGAAAAGATCATCTCGATTAAGACCGCTGCCAAAATACTGATCCAACAGTCTGTTGGGTCTGTCCAAATCGTCCCACCAGTCGCGATACATTAGCGGAACCGTTGACATCTGAAATTCAAATAAAACACACGATGAGTTGTATATTTCGAGGGTTTATTAATAATTATAAGACAAATAAAGTAGAGATTGTGTAGTGATTTAAATGACAATGAAGAGTTATATGACTATTAAAGGATTTAATGTTTTCGGGGAGTGAAATAACTCCAGGGAGTCGATTGCTTCTATATGCTTCGTATTTTTAAGATAATCTTTTAAATACTTATACGTCACTGATTAATAATAATAAAAAAACAGTTCTTCCAAAAATTATCGAAACGAGTTAATAAGAAAATAAAATCTTCTAAGATTAACATAATTCAAAAATCGCATATTTAATCTTAAAAACCTACTTAATTCGAATCCGATCAATATTAATTTTTTCGTGCGTATAGCTTCTTAGAATCTTATCATAGTCTGCATTCTAAACTTGAAGTTATGTTTAGAATATTTGCCCTCTTGCTTCATATCTAACTATACCGAATTAATGCACAATTCGTTATGAGATTTAAATATAAATTAAACTTTACGACCTGTTAACATCGCTTTACTAAAGATACTTGATATATTTCCTTGAGAAACAAAAAATTATTTTCCTAAAAATTTCCTCACGAACTGATAAATTTTAGATAGTTGATAATGAAGATAGATTTACCTAGAATGATTGCTCTTTGCTCCTAAACCTATCAAAATTATTTATATTAAAATCATTTTTCAAGTATCACATTTGAATAAATATTCATATTTTGGGGTCAGAGTTTGAAAATTACTGTAAGGTAAGGAAGCAGAACATCAAGACATGATGTGCAGTAAAATTCTATAGAAGCCCTGCAGTTATCCATCGTTGTGCCTGATTTTAGATCGCGATTTCCAACATCTTCTTTAAGTGTTAGCATTAAGAGTGAAAGAGTTTGTTAGGGAAAAGTCGTCACTTACAATAATGATAATAATTACTCTAAACACTACAATAATTACATCGTTAAATAATTACAATAATAATGATTATAAAATTTACAATACCTAAAGTTTACATAATAAGAAGTAATATCATTAAACTTTATATATTGATAATTGCGTGCATATTATTATAAAATTAGAGTTGGATTATTATATTGATAATGAATTTGTATTATTATTATAATAACTAAACATCAGGAAGGATAATACCAAATAGAAAGAAGGTTTAATATTAAGGAACGTTGAAAAAGTACAATATGGGGAAAGGGAGGAAAAGAAATCAAAAGGAAGGGAAGATTAATTCATATCGCGAAGGATTATAATGATTAAGGAGAGACTCATTAGTAAGTTAGATAGTAAGGTATTTACAGTTGTTGTCAGGTAAAATCCAAAGAAAATACACTCATCGCATACGTACTTTTAAAATGAACGTGAGAATTAATCCAAGGAGTTTACGATTTTGTGGCTGAAGCTCGACTCTGACCAAAATATCATATGCGAGCTTTAAATATCACACTTGAGCAACGGGGGCGTTAAGACGCCTTCAATTTTCTCTGCTTACTATTAGTCCAAAAATATCTTTACACGTCAAATATCAAACATTGCCTTGCCTAGGGGGACGATATTATTGTATTCAAAAATTCTTGCGTCGCGCGAAATTTTTTCCAACTCAAAACGAATGCACTCAAGAGTGGCAAACAATTTCAAATATTTCCTTCTATATTTGCAACATAAATTACATGTAGCAACATTTGACAAAATATTTACTTAATTTTATATTTATTCTAAAATTTTTATCCTTATTGAGAAAATGATTTTTTTATTTCTTCGATTTAAAATAAATTTATCGAATTCATTCATTGTCTTCACAATCTTTTTTTAATAATTCGATTCAAAATATTTAATCTTAACTTTTTTCAAAATTGTCCATTGACTGAAAATTAAATATCTCTAATTTCAGTTTTCAATTTTAAAGAAAATTCAATTAAAAAAAGTCAAATTAAAACAAAAATTATGTTCCGAATCAAAATCGTTTTTAGGTACAAAGGTTTAGTGCCAAAAATTTTTAATTCTTGTATTTTGACAATTACATTTAACAGTGTAAAATTTGATCCAACATGATTTAAATTATAACTGTTTTAAAAGAAATCATTTTCTCGGTTGATATAATATTTACATGTACTCTTAATATTTAGATATATTTAAATTTTGATAATATTTGTTTAAAATTAAAATCGCACTTTTGAATATACATATACAGCTAAAAAATTCGGGGAGTTAAAGGCTACCTAGTAAAGTTATCGGAGTTAAAAGAAAATTAGTTATCCTGGAGTTGAAGAAAAGGAGAGAAACTTTAACTCCCTTCGAAATTAAATATCAGTGCTTTATAGCTTATATCAACTTCTGACAAAGTTTACATGTAAAGAAGTAAAGTTTTAACTCCTACATTTTACTCTCTTTATAGTTTAACTCTGAAAGGAAGGAACTTTAACACTTGTTGGGATTTAAATTTTAACTCCTTTTTTGCAGTGTTGTGTATTAAATATTTAACACCCGTTTTACACACCGTTTGGAAAATATATTAAAAAGTTAATAATATTGTTACCAGCACTATCACTTATGAAATTCGTATCTCTCTTTAAGAGCTTTTAAGAATCAAGGAGATAGAGAAATTAATTAACATTAATTCACAGTTTTCTTGAAAGTATCAAAAGGATTATGATTTGATCCACTTTTTGATATCAATTCGTTGCAATTTAATACTTTAAAGTTAACAGTGAAAGGAGAAAAATTAAGAAATTTAAAAAAGGGATTTTAAATTGTACCTAGTGGGGTATTAGTATTAGGTCTTACTATACGTAAAGGTTTCGTAAAGGTTTTTTTTTTTCTAAAAACGCTCATAACCACCCTGAAAGTAAAAAAATATAGAATATTCATACAGGTAAATTAAAATTAAAATTAAAAATTAAAATTTGACGAACAAAAATAATTTTTTCTTTAGCCTTAAAGATATAAGTCATATTGTGCGTGGCATTATTTGTGTGCATAACTAGATGTAAGTGTCTATAACATCTTTGATAATAATAATATCCTCTAAAAATACCAGAAAAAACTGTTTGCTTACAAAAATGATATTTCTTTAAATCTAATGTATACGCATATGTTTCCTTAATGCTGGATGAAACGTCTAAATTATCTGTCTTTGTATTTCTTCGATATGAATGTAAAACTGTAGTCAAAAATAAATGTTTGGACTATTCTTAGACTTTTGAATATTTGTAACTTAGTAACATTTGTTAATAAAATAAAAAACATACCTATTTGATGGTTAATCAGTGTGATGACATTGGATTTATACTTCTTTTGTGTGCAGTCCTCGCACCCATTATTGTATTATTTAGTCTTCATTGCGAGGAAAATGAAAAAAAAAACAAAAATTACCACTTGATCAAATGTAACTGCTTGATTAATAATTATTGGCAAAAACAATCCGTGAAAATAATAAAGAAAATCTTACACATGCAGATGCAATTAAGTGTTTTTATAACAATTCCTTACCTGTTTCCTAAAATATTCCTTGTATTCCTTTTATTCCATATTCCTTATACCTTTTTCTTCATAATAAATAATTTCTTTACAATTAACATTTCAATAATTATTTAATAAAAATAAAAATCTACACATGCTCTTTTTATTATATGTACTTAACTTCTTTACTTAATATAATTATCTTAATTTTAACTAAACTTATAATGTACGGAGAGGACATTATGGACTACGAGGCAGTTTAAAAATCTGCAATTCTGGCAATTGTTGTAATAATTCCACATCTTGTAATGTCGATATTCCTTGTTCCTGTAAGTATAATAAATATTCTACTCCTTAATGTTTAAATAGTCGATTTCAAGTTTTCTTTAATTTTAATTATTGTTCTACGACTAGCATTCAAATAGTGAATAAAAAAATACCGTTTTTCTAAATTGATACTGTAAAAGAAAACGTACGTGAAATTCTTTCCATTTTTCATAATTCTGCCTCATGTAGACAGTCATTTCTGGCATGTCAATGAAAGCTGTCAAAATTTTCAAAGTTTATAAAATTAGATGTTGTAAATTTAATTTTTAATTAGTATTTAGCAACATACCACTCCACGCCTCTATCATGTCCGTTATAATATAGTCCACAAAGCCTATTTGAGATTTAGGAATAGAACACGTTTGTCTGTCAAACATCGGCATAACTACTGGTAATTTCAAGTTCTTCTCTTCATCAGTCTAAAATTTTTAATTTCTTATAAGAAAATAATGTAGAAATGTTACTCCGAATATGATAATCATGATGCTATTATTATTTTTCCATTTTTTCTATTATTCCATTTTTTTCTCTTTGTAAAAGGAATTTTTTGTATTGTGAATTTAGAGGGTTAAACAAACCTGACAAAAATACTCTTCTGCTATTCTCCTGCTCCATTCTATGCAATTTTTAAGAGGTCTCGTTGGATTTGATACGTCGGCACATTTAATCATTATCCTTTTTACTAAAGTAATATTTTCCGTTTGCATCAATACTGCATCAATATCAATTTCTGTAAAAGACTAAAGAAAAGATATTTGTAATTTTCTGTATACACAAAAAAAAATATGGTAAATTTGACTACTTTTTTACTATTTCCTGTAGTTCCTATAGGCGCCCGTAACATTATTTAGTAAAATGAACTATGACAGAATAGTTAGTATAACTGTAAAATGTAGTAATAAACACCATTTTTACAGTAAATTTAACTACTAAAACAGTTATCTTAACTATTTGTTGTTAGTCATACTAACTGCTTCATTTAGTTGCAGTAACTAAATTTTCATAGTTCCTATAGGCGCCCGTAACAAATTTTACTTGTAACAACTGTAAAAAATAGTTAAATTAACTATTTAAAGTAGTAAAATGAAATTATTTATTTGTTTTTTATTATTATTGAGGTCCATTTTTTTATATTTTCTCTTACCTATTTTTGTTCATATATAATTTATATATTAAATTCTTATACACCTAACAGAGAAAAATCCCCAAACGCCGGGGATTGAACGCACGACCCTAATATTCGCAAACCGATAACCTAACCACCTAACCACGCTCACACGCTACGATGACTGGCATTGTACTTGAGGACGTTCTTCTTGAGGACGTTCTTCGATTCAGTCATAATAACTACTCCGTTTAGTTGCAGTAACTAATTTTTTAAGCTCAAGGACTTAGTTGAAATGTAGCCAGCATATGATTTTAAATGACTCAGCGATAGTGCAGTAGTTAAAAGTATTGTTGAAAATAGTTATTTTCAGAATTTCTGTAGTAAAATTATCCACTTTTTACTAGTTATAAAAAAATTAAACTTACTATTTTCATATAGTAAAAATAACATAAGAATTGTTACTTTTATGACTTTTGTAGTTATAAAAATAAATGTTTCTTACCACCATAGAGATAAATTATTAAAAGCTAGTAAGAATTGGTTCTTTTAACTACATTATATTAAACACAAAAATAACAAATTCCAGCGGTTGTTTTTACTCTTTGGAACAGTAAATTTTAATTTATTTTGCAAATAGCAAGAAATGGATATTTCTACTACAGAAATTCCGAAAATAACTATTTTTAACAGTACTTTTAACTACTGCACTATTGTTGAGTTATTCACAATCATAACCGTAGTAGTAATTTTAACTACATAAAACCAACTATATTCAATTTTAGTTCCACTAACTATGAAAGTTTAGTTAAAATGCTGCTGAATATGGTAGTTTTAACTATATTTTTTTAACTGCACATATGTGGATGTTTTTACCACTCACGTTTTTTCTCTGTAGAAAAAAATGATCTTTCCAACTGCATAAATAGTAAAAATAACTATTTTCAACAATTGATTTTACTATATGAAAACAGTAAATTTCTTTCTTTCTCTGCAACTAGTAAGAAATAGTTGTTTTAACTACATAAATCATAAAAGTAACAAATTTCAGAGGTTGTATTTACTATATAAAAACAGTAAGTCTCATTTTGTTTGCAACTAATACAAAATAGTTATTTTTGCTACCACAATAGTAAAATGAACTATTTTTAACAATAGTTTTTACTACTACACTATAGTTGAGCCATTTACAAGCATCTGTTAGTTATTTCAACTACGTAAAGTAGTTATTTTAACTACATAAAACCAACTACTTCATTTTGGTTCCACTAACTGAGGAAGTGTAGTTAAAATGCTGCTGAATATGGTAGTTTTAACTACTTTTTTCTAACTACACAAATGTGGTTGTTTTTACCATTCGCATTTTTTTCTGTGTAATTCTACTTTTTGTAATATCTACTTTTTAACGAAAATGATTAAAAACATTATTAAAAGAAGATAAAATAGTAGCTAAAAAATGTTAAAGATTATTAAGAACAAATAATAAAATCTTACCTCTGACTGTATATCTCCTCTGATGCTGCAGACATTTACAAATTTAGCCAAATGTTCAAAGTGCTTAGTCATTTCCGTCGCTAATATCATATCAATTATATTAGCTCTCAACATCTTATATTCCTCTCTTTCTAAATTCTAGAAATTTGACAAAAACAATTGAAAATAAGCTCAAAATTTTTAATTTCGAGGACAAAATCTTCTTACCTGAAAAATGTTGACGTTTTCATCACTCAATGTCAATTTAAACGTGAGTGAGGCGTGATGTGATTCAAGAACCGTAAGATCATTGTAAAGAATCGCCAGTTTATTATTCGAATTACAGAGAAACTGACTGAAATTAAGAAATGCAGCGAAAAAGATTACAATTATTTAACAAATAATGAAATTCGGACAGTTTGAAAAATATTAAAAATATTACCTCGATCTTCCCGGATGATCAATATCGTGAGCTGTTGCGGCAATAAGAGCTGCCGTAACATCAATCGAATTGAGCATGAGTTTGAGTCGATTGGATTTCAAAAAAATTGCCGTCGCTTGTAAAACATCGGCAGCATGACAGGAATTGTGATAACTATTTTCCGATCTATAATTCGCTTCAATTACAGTTAACCAATTTTGCAATGTTCTTTCGTCGCAATTCAGTTCAGCTGGAATTTGAAATTCATTCATAATACTTAGTCCAAGGAAAACCAATGGCCTGAAATATAATTCACATTATCGTATCAAAATTCGTATCGTATCTTCAAATTAAAAGAAAAAGTGAAAAGAAAATAATTTCGCTTGAGGAAGCGAAATTTATGAATTGAACTTTATATGTGGACAAACCTCATTTCAGATAGAGCTTCTAATTTAAAAATATCAAACTCCCAATCCAAGCTCGAATCAAGTAGATGTTCAATTTCGCGTGGAGCGTGAAGAGTTTTTGCTTGCGCTCGAACGGCACTGTGGCTAAATAATTTGAATGTTGACAATCGACATGTGGAATCGTTTGATGATCTTCTTGAGTCTTTGTACAAAGGTGCCTTGAAAATAATTATTCATTACTCTCACAGTATCAAATTGAGAAAAACTGTGCTATCTCTGAACATTATTAAATTTAATACTTTTCTCGATAATGATAAATATATTTTTGATATTAAAGAAACGATTACCGATATTAAAGCTCCGATTAAATCAGAAGTGACAGGATCATGAACTGCTCTTATGTCCTCTCGCATAACTGGTGCATACAATTCGGTATTTTTTAGTGTCTCAATTGCCTGCAATCAAAATTTTAGAGTCAAGCGACTATTAAACCTATTCGGAAATAAGTAGTATTAAACGCATATTGCATACTTTGTCGATTTGCATAGAAACTTCAGGGTTCGTTGATTCGGCCATTGCATTATTTAATAGACTCATGACTTTTGTTATTGGTGCTTCAAGTGGTAAATTGTTTAATTTTGCCAAACTCCCTCTCCTCTGCACTAATAACAATAATAACTACAATAATAGTAATAATAACAATAATGAAAATAATCATCATCATCATCATAATCATATTTGTCTATCAAACAAATAGTTTTTCAATTTATCGATCGATTAATTTATTGATTGATTGATTGATTGATTGATTGATTTAATAATTTTCTTATGATGACAACTTTCATTCGTATGAAATATTATTTTTCATATAAATGATTAAAGCGGGAATTAATTTAAAATTAATAAAACTAATTTTACTGTCGCTTCCAAGAGACTTGACGTCAAAAGAGCCTCTTCGCATGGATTGCAAACTTCCTCTTGGTTGTTGGGAAACTAATCCTAAACTATCCAATAAATATGATGTGTCATGAATATAAATATAATGTGTCGGGTTTCTGAAACAATAAATTAAAACTAGAAAACAAATAAATCAAACAATTTTACAATCATTATTAAGAGAAGAGTTTAATTAATAAATATTTTATGAATGTTAACTTAATAATTGTTCTTCGCAATGAATGTTTTGATAATAAAATAAATAAATCAGCAACGTTTTGATACCTATACGTTTTTTGTCTCAATTTGGTATCCTTCGAAAAATTGTGATAAATGAAACAGAAAATTAAACAAAAAAGGGAAATTACCGTCCAAATGCACAATATGGAATAATTCTGCAATTAACAGTAATAGTGTCATTTGTTTTTCTTCTACAATTCATATTTCCTTCAAATTCACGACCCCTCTGCAATTGTTGATCCATGAGAGCAAAATTTTCACATGTTATAACATCGGTAATATTTTTTCCAGCCAATTCCTCCATTTTGTATGACAATAATTTTTCACTAACTTTATTAGCGAACTGACGGAAGAAAAATTTTTTTTTTTTTCAATTTTCAGTGTAGAAGAGATAACGAATTTGGGATTTTTAGTCACAATTACAATTACCTGAACATTGTGTTGTTCATTGGTGACGAAAACCATATCTTTACATCTATCGACTGCCAAATATAGAGCATGTACAGCTGCAAGTTGTGCTTTTGGCTTAATTTCATTGGCATAAATTCCTAAAAGTTCATTTACTAATATTTTATCATGCGAGCATTCCATAAGAGCCTGGAAAATTTATTATTTAACCGGTGGAATTGACGAATCCTAACCCTAAGCTTATTATATAGAAAACTTAACATACTCTACTAAATCCTACGTCTAATAAACGTAAAATGGAAATTTCCTCTTCGTCTGCTATCATTAAAAACCTACAAAAAAAGGCAATTTTTTAGTTCTCAAATAATTTAATTTGTACAGAAATAAAAATTCAAATGGAACAGAGGCAAATTTTTACTTGTCTAATATCAAATAAATATTTACTTGAATCAAATAATTTATTAATTCAATCAGTTATTTGAAGCGAATAATTTTTTTAAATGTATATACAGAAACATATCACTGTTTCACAGAAAACTATTTTTCCATACGAAGATAAAAGTGTCGAATAATAAAACTTACGATTTTTTAACCAAAGCTAAGATGACAGAACTGGGATGACTCTTCGTATTTCTGAGAGCTCTGAATTAAAAAAAATGTCAAAATATAATATCAAGTATTCATGTACTTTGAAAATTTATAAAATTTTACAATAGTGAAAAATTGTTCAACCTGCATATTTCATTAGCTTCTTGATCTCGAGATCCTCTATGATCTATAATAACTAAATCATGAAATCGATTTTGAAAAATTTGCACTGCCGTTTCTAAATTCTTAGCAATTGAAACATTCCAATTCAGTCTTTCTGCTACCGAGGCCAGAATTTCTAGTTGTTGATCATCTTTTCCAAATACTAATAGAACCTGGAACAAATAAATAATTGTATAAAGAAAAATTTTAAGCTTTTATTTGTAAATTTGTTATTTCTTATTTAAATTATTACAAAACTGTACCCTGACGGTATTGGGTACATTGCTTGTCAGCCAATCAGGATTAACATCTTGAGGTCCCTTCTGTAAGAAAAAATTTCTGTTTTAAATTTCATTTCATAATTTATCTCTTAAAATTTTATATATGAAAAATGTGTTTTTATATTATAAATAAATAATAATAAATTAAATAAAAAGTATTTAGTTATTCCAAATTATTGTGCGAATGTTAATCAAAGTAGTTTACATAATATACTGTTAATTAATTAACTTATGTTTTAATTTTTTTAATTAATCGATAGAATAGCAACGTGACATTATTATGTAAACATAAAAAACGATTTTTACAATGTATCTGAAAGTATAAGGAAGTAAACTAAAGGTGTTGTAAAGAAGAATTAGAGTTTTTCGCACCTACACATATATCTGAAATTTTCTACACATACCCCTGATAAAAATAATGGAGGAGAAGTTTCCTTGACAAGAATATTATCAGTGTTTGCAAACCATTCGTGCAAGCGTCTACAGAAAACTCTGAGAAAACTTGATACCCAAGAATGTTGTTGACCACAATCGTCATCATTTCCGGTGGGTCCCGAAATAAATAGCTTCGGATGCGTTAATCTTTTTGTATCGCACATTTTCTTACAAAATGAAAATTTTTATTTTTGCTTATATGACACATTCAACATTAACGAACATTGTGTAATGTTAAATTTATTTCCAACTCAAAATTTATTATAATATCACTACTCCTACTAGTGTGTAATACTAATAATCACTCTTCCTATTTTGCATATAACAGAAAGTTGTAAATATTTACTTGTTTATTTTTAGAGAAGCCATCTTCTAAAAATAGGAAGAATTCTTATTTTTAAAATTCTTTCAAGTTTTAAGCATTTGAAAGAAATATTCACTTGAATTAATTAATTCACTTTTAATTTAAGAGAAACACTTATTACTCTTGTTAAAAAGGTGACTGAAACGATACTGATGATCGGTGATAAATAACAATAATTGGATATCAAGATCGTGATCTTGAGCGCCTATACATTTGTTCTTTATCACATTGAAGCGTCGTAGATTTTTAGCATGATTCATATTTTATTTTCATTCATTAATACAATATTCGAAGAAAAAATAGTTCTTAAAAAAATATTAACAAGAAAGATTATTGTTAACAGCTATAAAAACAATAATACTCAAAAAATAGTAATTCGAAAATACGAAAAAAGTACTTGGAAAATAAAACTATTTATTTTCGTAAATCATTGTCAAACTCATAGAATTTACACAAAAAATTTATACAAAGATTTTTGATAATAAATTGAAAAATAAATAAATAAATAAAAATTAAATATTACAGAAATTCAGTACCTTTAAATTCCTTAAAATTGTAGTATGGAGAAACTGGAGAAATTATTCGAAAAATGTTTGACAGGTAAGATGGAGAAAAATTTGCAGGAGCTTCACGGAGAGATCGTCTATAGAACGACTATAGAATGTTCTTAGGAAGGGATGAAAGAATAGAAGGGGTATCTATAATTTTCTAGACATTATGCAATTTATAATTTATTACTTTGATTCAAACTTTGAAAGTAATTAAAGCTACATTCGCATATTTAACTACATTTTTATTTGTTCAGTCAACTTTTTTTTCTAAAAAAATAAAAAAAACCTACCCTTTACCTTCACTTTTAACCCCTTACTTAAAAAAACGATAATTTTTTCATAAACTTTGTGGTGGATTTACATAATTTTTTCATCCTCTCCACCTGCTTATTCTCCCACGAATCAGAACTAAATGTGAATTTTTTAATTCGATAACCGATTCGAAGACTTTGTAGGAAATGTTTTTATTCTTCAAAACAAACTTTATGATCAGAAAAAAATATAGCAGAATATTAAATGATGTAATGCTATTAAACTAAGCAAAAAATTATACTATTTCAAGAAATTGTACAAGTTTTAGAAGAAAAAACCATCTTGCGGTTTGGAAAAACAATTTTTGCATGAATTGAAAATTAGAAAATTGAAAAAAGATTGCAAACTTTTAGAAATAAGTGGAAAAATTATTTTCTTTCAACTTTGAAACTCTAAGAAACTCTTTTATCTAGTATTTACATATCGATTAATTGATTCAACTATTATGATAATTTTGCAATTATCAAAATTTAATGATGGAAAGAAAGTTGAAAGATTAAAAGTTGTATATTTTGTTTTGTCTATAATTTAAATATAGAATTTTAAGTTTATAAAAAATTAGTAGGAGGAGTAAACTTTACTAATAAATAGTTATTTATACTGATTTATTAGTAAAATTTACTAATTCAAAAGCAAAAAGACACTAATTGAAATTAGTGAACATTTGTGTACTGATTATTCAAATTTGAGTTCAATATGCGTGACTAAAATTTCCAGTAATATTTTTCTTCATTGTCCAATTAGTGAAAAATGACTAATATTTAAGTAATTTTTTACTGATTTTCAGTGAAATTTCACTGATTCCAATCGTGAGAATAGAGTCACTAATTCTTAGTCAAATTTTATTGATTTTCAGTGGAATTCAAGTTTTGGTTAAATGAGAAGAGTTTGTCTGACCTAGAACAGACTTATACTACTTATAAAAACACAGGAAAAATATATAATTTTTTACCCCGCAGTAGGTATAAAAATTACCTGCAACTAATTTTATCCTAGGCGAGGGCGGCACCGTCTACGATTGTAAATTAGCATTGGCTAAAATTACCCACAACAAATATTACAGCACCTTAATTTCTTTATATGAAACTAACATTATTAAAAGTATTTTAAAACTTAAATTATTACCACATTTCCTTAACAGTTGGTCTGACTAAAACCGGATTTTTCTACTAATGCAAAGATATTAAAGCTTTTTATTTTATTTTCTACTGTGTTCTGTCTGACTCAACTGTACTTTTACTACTGAAATTATAAATAATTATTAGGATTTTTTTTCACTCACAACTGGACATTCCAAGTCATCCTCATCAATAATGTCCTCCCAACCATTGCTCTCTGTTTGAATATCACTTTCATCAGCCTCTTTAAAACAAAGAGAATAATCTGTATAAAATATTTTCATTAAAATTACTGATTTTCAAATGTTGGAAATTTGATAAATCTCTTTGAATACATTGAGAATAATAAGTTTTTTTTATTCAAATGATTTTAGTATTTTTGCTAAACACCATTGAATTGACTCAAAACAAAAATTATTTTATACAAACAAATATTTAATTGATAATATAGTAATCGATTATAATAAATTTTTTTATAAATAGAATAATGTTTTTTTTCAATACAATGTTTATATATGTGATATAATAAAATTCACAGAATATTTTCTAAATATTTTGTGTGGTACAATTATTTGTATTTATAAACAAACTAATAATAATGTTGTATGGTAAAATTTCTTTTATAAAAGAAAATAATTGATGACCTTAATTTGAATCATTTGACCACTAAACATAACTGCTGCTCAATTTAGGTCGGTTGAATTGATGAGAATAATTTAGCAGCTCTACTTGTAATAAGAAAGTTATTGCAAAATTATAAGTCCATTATTTTTAGTAAATTTTAGTTTCAAATTTTTACGGGACAAATTTAAAAAGACGCAAAGTTTGAAATTATCCTGTTTTTTAATGATTTATTTTTAATTTCTTTTATTATTATTTGAGTATAAAGAATGATTAGTAAATTTTATAATGAATACATATATGTTATCAACTTCAAACATAAATATTTATTTTAAAGAGCATTTATCATTTAACATTGAACTTGGAAGTTAATAATGTGTTTTCCGCACTGAAGATTATTATTTATGTGCACTTAAATTAAAAAATGGAGAAAAAATATTATATAGGTATAACGAACCATTTGAAGTCCTTTTGATTTTTCTTTTCAGACCAAGTAGATTATTGTAAAGTTCACTATCAAGCTCATTGAAATTGTCAGACACATCTGCAAATAAGGATAATCTGGAAATGAAAGAAGCCTACAATTAACCTTTCTTTATAAACAAAAAAGAAAATTTCTTAAAAAATTCATAATTTCACAATTATATACCCACATAGCACAATAGTATGAGGTAAGGTTATGTTGAGTACTAATCGTAAGGCTCATAAGGTTACACGATATTGCTGTGGTAGACCTGAGGTGAACTAAAAACTTCCGCCATGGAGGTAAGGTTACATGTTAGGGTGTGGTGACTATATATGATAAGGCCATGGTAACCTTACACGTTAAGGTTGAGGTAACGTTACATGTTAAGGTTGAGGTAAGGTTACATGTTAAGGTTGAGGTAACGTTACATGTTAAGGTTGAGGTAAGGTTACATGTCAAGGCTGAGGTAAGGTAATTATTAAGTTGTAAGGTTGAGGTAAGGTTGTGATAAGTTTACCAGTTATAGAAAATATTGAAAAAATAATTAATAAATAAATATTCAATTAAAATGTTAAGTTTGTTGCTCTTCTCTATTTTGGAAACCTGACATGAAGCAGAAAATTTTGAAAACAAATTTGGGGGGACTGGGATTCGAACCCGGGATCGGCGCGCATAAACCTATCATTCTAACTAACTGAGCTAAGTAGAGAACTGGCAGAAGGAAAATTAATGTTGCCTTTAAGGTGAACCAAGAAGATGATTAACTCCTTAAAGGCAACATTAATTTTCCTTCTGCCAGTTCTCTACTTAGCTCAGTTAGTTAGAATGATAGGTTTATGCGCGCCGATCCCGGGTTCGAATCCCAGTCCCCCCAAATTTGTTTTCAAAATTTTCTGCTTCATGTCAGGTTTCCAAAATAGAAAAGAGCAACAAACTTAACATTTTAATTGAATATTTATTTATTAATTATTTTTTCAATATTTTCTATAACTGGTAAACTTATCACAACCTTACCTCAACCTTACAACTTAATAATTACCTTACCTCAGCCTTGACATGTAACCTTACCTCAACCTTAACATGTAACGTTACCTCAACCTTAACATGTAACCTTACCTCAACCTTAACATGTAACGTTACCTCAACCTTAACGTGTAAGGTTACCATGGCCTTATCATATATAGTCACCACACCCTAACATGTAACCTTACCTCCATGGCGGAAGTTTTTAGTTCACCTCAGGTCTACCACAGCAATATCGTGTAACCTTATGAGCCTTACGATTAGTACTCAACATAACCTTACCTCATACTATTGTGCTATGTGGGTAGGTACTTGGGAATATTTAGAGAAGATTAAATGATTTTTATTTATACTAATAGTAAATAATGAAAAAAGTATCCTAAGGAATATAAAAAGTACGAATTTATTTTTCTTCAAAAAACAACTTACTTGTTATTTTAAATAAAATTATCTACAAATTTATCTGTTATACCTATTAAAAAAAATAGTTGAAAACAATCAAAATATAAAAAATGTCAACTTACCACTGTCAACAAATCGAATGTGCAATTTCTCATTTCTGCTTTCTACATTTTGAATTTTTTTTTTATTTTTAATCTTCTCCAATGGGCTACTCGATGAGCATCCCATTTTATTATATTATTATCAGCAAACTTTTCATTTACTGATAAAAATTTTTTGAAACAAAAACTAGTAGATAATTCTACTACAGCTGATATAGTGAAGTTTTGCTCAAATCCATTAAAAATTTTAAATCGACTATAAAACAAAATCCAAATTTTGGTTTGAAATAAAAACATAACAATCAGGAGAAAAGTAAAAATAATCTAATTTATGAATGAGAGAACACATGATTTCTATTTTTCTCGATTTTTTTTTTCAATACAACTAGTAAACATTTCTTATAACACTTGAAACGTCATAGAAACTTCTCTTATCTTATCTAAATATTCGCGTAAAATTAATAATCTTTCGTGATTATAAATTTTTTAATTGACGAGAGTATCACACTAATTTTTTATTAATATAAATTACAATTGTAAATAAATTCATTTCGAATTATAATGCAAAACGTCACATCGATTGATGAAAAAATATTTTATTTTAAAACATAAAAATTGTAATTCAAATAAACTTACTTAAAAAAAAATTGAATTTTTTTGTTTTGAAAAACACACTTTTAGGTAAACCAGAAACAACAATTTGTCGATAACTTTTTTTACACAAAAATATACATATGCAGAATGGGATCTCCTTCGATAAAATCACAATCTAATGGCTGGATGACTACTGATTAAAGTAAGCGATCCTTTCAGGCACAGAGGAGGCTGCTTAACAAGCCCAAAGAAACGCAATTGTATTAGTTTTTTTCTTACGTGTATGTCCTCGAACATATTTACAAATTATTACACACACAAGTGTGGATATTTTTAAAGGCACGTACAGCACATAATATTCTCAGCACGATAGTTACTCTACTAAGAATTGTTAATAATACTTTTAAAAAAATCTTATCAACACTGTTTCTTTTAGCTAAAAAGTTTTTTTTACTAAAATCAATATTAAAAATAATGAAATTGCAAGAATTTGAAGTTAATAAAAAGTAGTTCATACATTAGTATGAAATTTAAATAAGAGCAATCTGATTCACTTTAAATCGCATTTCATTGAATGTTTCTAAAATTCCCTGAGGGTATATTTTAGCTTTAAAAAGAGGTTGGTCATTTAAAAAAAAATTTTTTTTTTCTATACGAAAGAGAAAAGGATCATGGTCAAATTCAAGTAACACGAAATGAAAGATTCAATAGGATATCCTTGAGAATCTCATTATAATTGAAAGTCAAATCTCAATACGTTTATAGAATCAATAATAAACGACGAACCTTCTTATATAACTAATAAGAGAAACATAATTATTTAATTATAAATACAATTAAATTAGTTAATAGTTAATAAACGACGATTCTACTATTTATTCGCACTGAGATTCAAGTGTGACATAAATTATTATCTTTGTTTAGCTTTATCTTGCTGCTATTTGCTTCATTCGTTTGCTTATCAATTTTTTTTTTTTTTTTTTTTTTTTTTTTTTTTTTTTTTTTTTGAGTAAATATTTAATATTTTATTTACAAAAAAGGTTCTTCAAATAATAAATATATCAAATAGACAATTATTTAATACTTGTTTATAAAAATGCTAAGAATTCCAAAACTCGAATACTTTTTAAAATATTTTTTATAATTTTCTGAAACTAGTTTAATCGCAGGAGATCATATTTTTGCAGGTCGAGTGCCCAAGACTTTTATCTCCTATGCAGAGAGTTCCATTTGTCATAAAAATAGTTAGAAAAAATTCTTTAAAAAAATTTGTATATAATTTTATATTATTAATTATATAAATATATTTTCAGATATATGTAAAAAAATAAAATAAAAGGTAAAGTAAATAATTAAAATTGTTGTTTTATAATATTTATTTCATTTTCTTGTTCTTGACGACTTTTCTTTCTCTGATAATATAAAAAATCATTAAACAAGCTTCGTACTTGATAATTATTTTTTAAAAAAATGGCAAAAAGTAGCTTTAAGAGTAAAAAAGTAGTATAAAAAAGTAGCTATGGAAAAATTAAACTTGACGACTCAATTATTTCATAATTTCTAAATTGAATTACATTTTAAAATAGAAAATACTTTTTTTAAATAAATAGAATTATTCAAAACTTTAATCATTTTATTCTTTTAAGAAATTTTTTATTAAAATAGTAGAAAATTCTAAAAAAAAAAAAGTAGTAAATGTAGGATTCAGTAAAGATAAGTACCTACGAAGTCTGAGTAAATAATGATTTATTAAAAGTAGTTTAGAAACAAAATAAAGTACATAATTTATAAAAGAATTGCTATGAATAATTTTTAATTTAATAAATAAAAAATTATTTTAAACTGTTCTTTAAAATCAATAAGACTATTATTCATGGGTCACCTCTTTCAGTCCGGTTCCCGGTTCGGTTGTCATAGCTTCCGGATCAACAAAAGTCACCAGAATTCGCTGAATTAAAAGTTAAAGTGCGGTTAAAGTTATAAAGTAAGTGTAGAAAGTAACACTCTATTTATATGGATATTGAAAATGAAGCGAATCAAAAAACTGCGATTTCGAAAATAAATCCGAATTATAATATTAAAAAACTAAATTTATCTGTCCAAAAAAATGAGCATTTAAAGGCATTAATAAAATTAAAACAGGAAGAATATGTGATAGAGAGAACAATAAATAATTATTTGGAAAATGTTAAAATTGATTCTAAAATTCTGAAGGACCTTCAACAGGATTACCTCAATCTTTCAAACCAAAGGTACAACAATTTTTTTTCTATTTCTTATTTCAATTTCACAGTGCAGGAAAACTGTGTTATAATTTATTTATGATGTTTCATTAAATGATTTAAAGAAATGTTTTTTTTAAGACAAGAAATTCAGAAATATTTGCGAAATTCAGTAAATGACATAAATGAATGCTGGAACGAAATAAAAAACGTAATTAACGATAATAATTTTGGAAATTTGGGTAATTATTTATTTATAATTGTCTATTTCCAAAGTAATGTGAAATAATCATTTGGGATGAATTTATATTTAAGATATAGATAATTATAAAGCAAAATTATACAAACTTTGGGAAAAAATTCAAGAGTTTTACAGAAATGACTGTACAGATTCGTTAAAAGAAGAGGAATCATCTCTTGATTTAACTTTATCGGAGTTTAATTCAACATTGCCCCGATATGAAAATTGTGATTCTGCCAACGTTTTGCAAACGAAAAATCAATATCGAAAAAATTCCATAAATATACAAGATTTTGAAGAAGTAGAAAATTTTACTGATTTAGTAGCAAAAACAGGTGCTATTTAAAACTTAACTCATTTATTTATTTACATTTATTATTATTTATATTTACTATTTAAATATTTTCTTTCGAAACAGGACACACTCAAAATTGGAGTAATGAGGATCATTTACTATTTCTGAAACTAAGAAAAAAGAATAAAACAATTCCATCTTTGGTTTATGCAATTCAAACTAAATGTCCAGATTTAACAACCAAAAGCATCATAAATCACGAAGCATGGTATAAGTTTTATTTGAAGCTTCAAGGAGAACAAAAAACGGCCATAAAAGATTGGCGCCAACAAAAAAAATTTCAGCATACTATTCAAATTGAGGAAAAAAATGAAATTCATCATATTTCCGACAAAGGAAATATAAAAGAAAATACAACAAAATTTAAAAATTTGATTGACAATCAGAAATCAAAATCAAAAGCATCAAAAGAGTTAATTAAAAAATGGAAGGAGGAAAAAGAAAACGAAAGATTAATGCACGAGGAGCAAATAAAATTAGAAAAGCAAACAAAGCTTGTTTTAGAGAATCGTCAGAAATTAAGAGCTCAACGTTTAAAACTTGCAGTCGAGGAATACAAAAAAAGAAAAACATCAGAAACGAAATTCGAAAAAAATGAATGTAAATCAGAAAAAATAATTAAATCCCCAGTTTTAATTAAGTCCTTCAGGTAATAATAAACTAGTATAAATTTATTCTCTTAATTAGGTTTTATTAGGAAATTTAACGACACTAATTAAAAATAATACACTTTAGAAAACAGGATAATTATTACATAGAAAAGCGAAAATATCCGAGAAGTGAGGATAATTTCCAGGAATTAAAAAGTAAAACAAAAACTTCAACGAAAATTTCCACATTACTGAAATATACCAAAGTTTGGAAAGAAAAATGTAAAAATATTAAAAACGACCAAAATCAGAAATCTCTCTACATAAAGGACTTGCCAAAAATGTAAGTTATTTTTTTAGTAATATTTTTCAGAAAATAGAATAAATTTGTAAAATAACGTATTTCAGGTCCATGGGAAGACGAAATTTTGAATCATTATAAAAACAAATTTTTATGGTATAGTAATTAAAGACTTTAATTATATATACTTAGTTTATTTTCCTTACGAACGTATTCCGACGATGTACATTATGGAGTAGCGTTACATCTTATCCAGAACAATTTAGGGATCGCTATGGATAACATTAACACTAAACAATTTTTACTCAAATATATATTTCTATTAACCTTTTTCTCGTCAATTGATATATTACCAAATACAAAAATTGTATCTTACTTGACACGATATTTCAACACCTCATGGAAATACTTATTAATAAGAGTTCTTATAATAATTTTAAACTATAAGTAGAAATATAATTATTTGAAATTAAAATTCTATAGATTTTATTACAATGAACAATAACGTCTAAAATGAAACGTATTCTTGAAAAATCTGTATTCGTTTTTTTGTATTTTTTTTTATACTTTCCAAATTTTTTTTTAAAATTAAAATTAAAAAAAAAACAGTTGAGGCTCCCCTTCTGCTTTTTTTTATAATTGGTAATAATAAATATTTACACACGTAAAATTTGTACAATGCAATTTCTCACACACTGCGTATTTACTCTATTATTGTTTTTTACGCCACTGTACGGATTATCGAGCGAATTTGACGGAATTAAAAGTTTTACTATTTTAACTTTCGGAATCCGTTTAGAAAAACTCGAACAATCTCATATAAGAAAAGAAGCATTTTTTTAATTATATACTACCATTGCACGCTAGAAAGGACGGTGAGGCTCAGATTAACGATCTTAACCGCTTTTATTTTATCAAAAAATTCCACGCACTCTTTTACACACTGTTAAAACAAAACCTCACGAGATCGCCAAGTCATGAATGTCTCTAGAATTAAATTATATTCGGCGCTTTTACGTTTATAAGAAAAACGTCTTCTAAAATCACAGCTCTTAACAGTGTAAGCCATTCATTCCATTTAAAAAAAAATGAAAGTTAGTCTAATCGATTTTACATAAAATTATCAAGAAGAAACTATATCTTAGAAGTAAATTTCTTCTTAGTAATTGTCACGGATTTTCTCTAAATTTTCATAAAACTAACATTTTTGATCAAAAGACGAGGACACAACATTTTTTTTTAAATATAATTTCTTAACGGCAAGAGACATTTTATCCGTGAATCATTGAACATTCATCTATGTACTGTATATTGCGTGCATTGGTTAATTACATTGTAAATAGACTTTTTTTGTAAACAAAATCTATTTTCAGATTTTTAATTAACATTCGACCATAAATATTATCGAAATCTAATAATTTATTAATTACTCGGTAATCCGCAAAGTGGGATACTTTGTCGTTTTTTTTTTATAAATTAGCTACACAGCGTTTTAAAACTGATAGAAAATTTGTTTTTTTTTCTCGTCAAATCCCTCTGAACATAAATAAAGAATTCAGACAGGAGTCTAATGCAGTTCAAGATTGAAAGAAACGAAAGTCTTCGCCAAACAATAATGTTTGGCTAAATATAAACTTCACTGAGATGAAACTATATTTCTAGCAACAAATTTCGGAATAAATACCTAAGATTGTAACAAAAATTTTAAGTATTCTTTATTACGAAAATAAGATTTTCACTTGAATTTATGTACACATATTACAACGTTTTCATATAATGTATATTATTCTACCACAGTGTTCCTTTTTTTTAATATACACGTTGAGAATAGTAATCCAAATTTTCAAGTAAAGTAAAACGACAAAAGTTCCCTGTTTTTTTTAAAAAAATCACTAATTTTGTCCATTGAAGACAATGGTCCATTGAAATGACATTTTTCTTACATTTAATAAAAAAAAGAGAAAAAATAAAAGAAAAAATTAAACAATGCAAGAATTCTTATAACGTTATTTATGTACAAATGATTTTGTTCGAGTGAAACTTGATTAACTATTAGCGCTCTATTGTACTACAATGTTTAAACTTCCTATTCGATCTTGATTTAAAATGTCCAGAGAAAGTTTCAAAGATTAAAGAGCAAGATCAACCTGCACTTAACAATTTTATAACCATCTTTTGAACAGTCAGGGCAACATGAAATTTTTTTTCCTATGATTTTATCATTTTTTTCAACTGACCAACTAGGATGGAGCAAAAAAAATTATCTTGCACATAAAACAACTTTTAAATACAGTTTCTCTAAAATCAATCAATTTACCATTAAAATTTCACTTATCTAATTTAAAAGCAGTTTAAAAATACATAACAATAATAGGAATATTTCTGTAGTAAAATTTTCTTTTTCAAAAGTCTGGAATTCATTTTATTTTATTTTTTTCCCCATTTACAGTAACTTACAAGAGTTACAAAAAACAGTATTTTTTTTTTCTTTAATAGAAAATATTTCGATTTTCTATATAAAAAACGTTTGTTTTTCTACATACAAAAGACTATATCACTAACAAAAAATACTTCCTCGTGAGGAAGCAATAATGAATAATTCAACAAAAAAAATTGTAAATGAAGCAATTGAAGATACCAGATATTAGATGAATTCACAAAAATTTTGTACCTAAACATTTTTTGTTTCACGTAAATAAAGATGCAATCTATCCTATAAAATATAAAAAAAAGTTTTTTGATCTAGAGCCAATACTAATACAAAATCATGCATAAAGGAATAAAATGAAAATATTAGGCAGTCGTGGAATTAGTAACAATGAAAATTTACTAATCGCTCCACCCTAATTTCAGTGATTGTTTTCTGACGTTGCGCAAAAAAAGAGCGTCCACCACCGGTATCGACGATTGTTTGCAGTTTTGCACGAGAGACTCTTTTTAGATTACATACAACCTTAAACAACTACGAGAAGTGTACTCATTTTTCAAGGTAATACACAATATATACACGTCACTTACACCTGAAAATCAGGATCACTGCAATCATCGCCACTATCACTGCTGTCGGAGATTCTTCTTCGCTTCTTCTTTTTGTGTTTCTTAACTTTTTCCGTTTTGTGCTGGCGCTGCTTCCTGTGCTCCTTCATTTCCGGATTGGCGTGAATTGTGATTTTCGGAACTCTCGGTGGCATTGGATTGACCGAGTTGTTGGAATGATCCGTTGAATTGAGATTCGGAGCGACTGGCTCGTGAATCGTGACGGTTCCGCCGGTGAACTTGTTCGAATCGGCGTTCATTCCGTGGAGAGTTATTGTTTCGCGTTTGCCTTCTCCCTCGCCCTCCTCGTCGGGGTCGTCGGGGTCGAATTTCAACATCAGCTGCTTGAAGTCCAGGTAAGCCTTGGCCATTTTTCGCCTTCCCTCCTCGTCCAGTTCCTCGTTGCTCTCGCCCTCCTTCAGTTTCTGCAGCGTCGCCTTGGGTTTGAACTGCAAGCTGCACTTCCGGTTGACTGTCTTCTCGTAGACCTTGGCAGCCTCTGAGGGCGAATACTGGCCGATTTTCGCATCGGAGAAGCCGTAGAGGTCCTTGAGGTGCTGCCTCAGGGTGAGGAGGAGCAGGAAACCTTGACTCGCGGTTATGAGTTCGCGCAGGACTCGCGTGTCTTGGGGCAGCCTGGCCACGACTGTCTCCTCGTCCTCCTCGTCGTCCTCCTCGTCCTCGAGGGTCGACAGCAGTTGGTCGGCTCTGGGCTGGCCGTCCGGCCCTATCATAATCGTCTGCTCGGCCGGAAAATTCGGCAACTTCGAACTGCCCTCTTTTGGTAACAAGTTTTCCCTGAAGGACTGCACGACGTTCGTTCCGGACATGGAGATAATAATGTCGATGTGGTGAATGATGAAGAGCGGCTCGTCCTGAACTTGATATGCAAAGTAAGCCAAGTTGTCAGCGAGGTAGAGCATCTGGGAGAGACATGTCTTGGCCGTCTCGTCGAATTGCTTCAGAAACGAGAGGACAATGGCTCGTCTTTGCTGCTTCGTGCTCCTCAGAATTGTGTACAGAAATCCATTCAAACCCGAAGGGTATTCACCCTCCTTTGTTCTCATCCCACGCACCGTTGTGTCGTTCTGCAGAATACTCTGCAGTCGATAGCTGAGCTTGATTCCGAACTGAGCTCGCATGTGAATGAAACCCGGGTACTTCTTCTCAATGTCCTGCAGTTGCTTGTCTGCGCTGTGGCTCACCATTTTCTCGCAGTCCGTGCTCATGCAGACGAGGTAAGGTACAATTTGAACAGGATGGACCAGACCCTGCGCGAGAATCAGCTGAATGACTTTCAGAGACGCGTGCCTCACGTTCACGTTCTGATGAATGAAGGACTCGAGAATCTGCTTGAGGTACAGTTGTATGACCGTGCTGGCCATTCCGGAAGAGACGTCGCCCATTTCCTTGAGATTTTCATGCTTGGAGAGTTTCGCCCACGCCTGATCCTGCTTAATCATTCTGGTCTCCTCCTCCTGCAGGTAGATTTCGATGTTGTTCAGAACCTGGATTCTCATGTTGTCTGAAGCGACGTCGGACGTCAGCAAATAGTGATACAACTCCTTGATTTCATCGAGCATCATAAATTCGTAATGCCTTATGCAGAGAGATCCAATTGACTTGAGAGTGAACAGCTTGATATCCTCGTTGTCCACGTGGACAAAGTAACTTAGAGTATCGAAAACTTGATCCTTGATATTCTCGGGCAGACCTTGTATGACTTCGGCATCAGTGAAGTCAAAGTGTCTCAGCAGCAAGCCGACGGTGAAGAGTGCACGTCGGAAGAAGGGTCTGTACTTGAGGAGAATTGGATGATCTGGATCCTTCTCATATTTAGATTTGTAGTCCGTCAGGTGCCCATAGTACTTGTTGAAACAATCTCGAATCAACTTGAAGTTCCTCGTGACATTGTTGACAATCGAACCCAAGCAGGAGAGACAACTTGCAACCACCGACTTGTCATGCTGCAGAATCAATTTCACCGAATCTTCCTCGAGTTGAGCCAAAAATGTCTCGCTGGGATGTTCGATCAGCGGAACCACAAGTTCGAGAGTGTGCGCCACGCTGCTTATAATCTGGTAATCTCCCTGCGTTTGCATTTTCAAACTCAAATAAGGTTGGAGTGTTATGGCGTGATTGACGAGAAGCTGCGGTCGAATCTTGGCGAATAAATGCAAAGTCGTGAGACAAGCAACCAATCGTTGTGACGATCCCTTCTTCTCCGAGTGTTCCACTCCATCGAGAGGTGTTTCCTCGAGACGTAAAATGTTTTCAATCAAACACTCAACAATCTGCTTACAGGCTGTCAGCAAAATCTTTGGAGGTTCAGTCTGCATTTTCGTGCTGTCTTCCTTGTCTTCCTTTGGCTTAAATAAACTAACCAGGAGCTGTTCGAACCACTCGAGTCCCATGTCCTTGCTGGCTGCAACAACGTCCGTGATGTTCATCACCTTCCGCAGCAGTGCCTCGGAATCGACCGATGGTCTTTCTCGAACTGGAGTGAACCACATGTTTTGAAAAACTTCCATCACAAGTTTTCGAATCCCCTCCTCATCGTTGACTCTTCTTATCATCTTGACGCAAATCTCGGGTATTTTGGGAAAAGTGGGACACTCCATGCAGACGTCCTTGAGGATCTTGATGACCCTCTTTCTCACACTCACTCCAGTGTCCAAAATTCTCGACGACAGCATATCGTAATATTTATCGATCAGCTCGGGCCTACTGAGAATGAACTTTCCCACCAGATCCACCGCAGCTTCTCGTACAGACGTCGAATGATCAAGGAACGAATGTTTCACTCCCATCTGCATTTCGTTTCTGCCAAGAACACTGGGATCTGCCTCCACTATCATCGTCAGACACTTCATAGCCTTTGTTCTAATTGCGATCGAAGACTCCGTCAAGACTTGTAGAATCTGCATCAGATACCTGTCGAAGCTCTGCGAGAATGATCGTTTCGATGCGAGATATTGCGAAATCAATTCAGCCGAATTGTAATCAATGTACGTTTGAAGAATGTCAGGCTTCGTTCCCGAACTATAGGGACGAACTTTCGATATTATCAACTTCTTCTTATCCTCAATGATTCTGTAGGTCTCCGAATTCTTCTGCTCATTATTAGCATTCTCGTCGGGATCAATTTCTTCAATGTCTGAATCACTGTCTTCTTCACTGTGATGTTTGTTTTTCTTTTTCGTTCTTTTCTTGTGGGACTTTTTACTCGGACTGTGTTTTGGCTGATGACTGACGCGACTCTTTTCATCAGCACAGTCTCTGTACCATTGAACCAGGTAAAAGTGTCTCGCATATCCCAGTGAGGCATCTTTCGTTCCATTCACGGCCAAATAGTCCAGGAGTACTTTCTGCAAAAATACCGTTCTCTCCTCGTCTTCGGTGAGACCTTTAATGTCCTTGTCGTGAATTCTGTCGTAGTCTGAATCCTTTTGTTGCTCAGCCTTAATGTCCTTGATGATTTGATCGATGGTTGAAAGTTTGCAGGCGGAATTAACGGCGTCCTTCCTCAATCTGGCGGCAACGACTCCCAAGTAATCGATGGATGCGACTCTCAGAGACATGTCTGAACTCTTGTTCGAAAAATGACCAGCTAATAATTTGCCTAACAAGCTGAGAAGTAGTTCAGCAGCAGGCCACTCTGGTTTGTTGACCGTGGCTAGAAGATCTTGAATAAAATTTTCAAACAGAGGCCTGTAGTCCACTTCGTCACCCTTGCTTCCACATTTGTTGAGGAAGACTCGTAAAAAATTTGCCGCTGTTCTCGTTGCATTATCGTATTTATTGATGATTAAAAGATCAGCATCGACATGGCCGGATTTCTTCTCCTCCTTCTTGTCCTCTTCGTCGTCTTTTTTCGTCACCTTGTCTTGGCCGATATTTTCTGGAAGAACAACGACGCACTGAATGAGCTGCAGCACAAGGGCGGTCAACATCTGAATATGATCTTCGGAATTGAGTCTATAGGACCGTAGGCTTCGCTTGCTGCTCGGAAGTCTTGCTATTGACGCCAAAATATCGTCCAAGAGTAGTCTCCTGTGTTTTTCGTACTTGGTGAAAATAACAGTCACTAATTTCAATGCACTCAGCTGCAGATCGCTGACTGATTCGACGAAAAACGGCGAGACTCCCAAAGTTGACGCGTGAAGGACACTCGTGTCCGTGAGAACTTGAATGTTGAAAAGCTCCGACAAAAGTCCCACGAGTTCTGTCATTTTGTTGTAGATTTGAAGAATGCTCTTCTCCCTTACCTCCTTGGTGTGGCCTCTCTTTTTTCGACCACTTGAATTAAAACTGTCAGTCTTGCTTTTTGAGTCTATTCTGTAGACGGGATCGAAAGAGGGATAAATTGTGTTTTGCAATTGAAATTTCATGAAAACAATTATTCTGTCGATTACATCTTCTAGATACACAGTCTTGGGCATGTTACTGGACGTCATGATGTGCAGTGAGACCAGGGAAGCATCGACGGCTCGTTGTACTCGCTCCATGACCATGTTCGACCATCGTCGACTCGCCGCTACGTCGTCATCGGGATCTGCAAGGGGAGAGACCTTAGCACCATCTCTTATATTTTTCTCCAGGATATTCAACAGTCTAACGAGTCTATCGGTGGGAATTGATTCCATCGCCCCTAGAGCCTTCAATTTCGCGGCTTCCGTACACAATTCCTGGAGATGATATTTCTGGATGAGCAATTCTTGGGGAACGTTGCCGTCATCTTCCTCGTCGGTCATATTTGCTGCATCTTCAGTGTTTTCGAATATCGTGTCCATCGTTGAATTGAACCGCTGATAGGTGTTCGTTTCCATGAGTTCTTCGACACTCAACTTGGCGAGTACGGGCACGAGTTTCTTCTCGTACTTTCTGATTTTTGGCTTCGGCGGCGACAGGCTGTTCTCCTTTTCCTTCTTCTCGTCAATGTCACCAGCATCGAAATCTTCGTCGTCGTCTTCTATGGTCCTCTTTCGTCGCCTTGATTTAATATCCTCCTTCTTCCTCTCAGCTCGTTCCTTTTCCCTCTTCTCTTGCCGCTCCTTGGCTCTTGCTTTAAAGTGTTTGTTATTCTTCTCGACTTCTTCCTCACTTTCAGACTCTGACTTTGCGGCGCCACTGTTCATTAGACCCATTTTCGCTGCACGAGTCGGTGCTTTTTCGACGAAAGCGCTGAGACTTTTCTGCATTAGAGCTTGATCGGCGAGGGACAACCTGTTCAGCATCACAACCGGCTCCTTCATTGGCAACTTCTGATCTTTCTCGGCACAATTTTGCTGAATGCTGTCAAATGCAGTGGTTTCAGGGGTTTCAGTGATTGGACACGCAGAACTGATACCCGCCAAGTTTGCCGGGATCACATTGTCCAGGACATCGGGGGCTTGCTTCGAATCGAGACTTTCCAGTGTTAAGGCGATATCCGGAATAGTTGTTGTCGGATCCAAGTCAAACTGAGGATTACTTTGCATAGGGTTGTCGAAAACCAGGTTCTGATTGTCCATTGACATGTGTTGATTGATGACGGGTTCGAAGATATTTTGTTGCAAATTGACATTCTGATGCTGGGCAACGTCGGTGTGCATGGGGGATGGAGCTTGAAGGGGAGACGTCATTTGCATCGGAGAAGTCATGTGAATGTTTTGCCTCGGTGTCATGCTCGACATGTTGTGAGTTTGATTGGCCAGACTGGCTAGAGGTGCGTTCGGTGAGGTCATATGCGCCGGGGAGTACATGTTCGGTTGGCGATTTATGTTTGACATTGCACACGCGGAATCCTCCGTCATGTGCTGCGGAGTCGTAGAAGTTCTTGTTTGTTCCGTTATAACGCTCGCTCTGGGCGAAGGAGAAGGCACAGCAAACGGAGACATCTGCGATATTTCCGCATAGTTTTGAGGTGTGAGTGGCATCCTTGGATGCTGAGCATGGGAGATGCCACTTGCTGGGGGAGGAGGTAGGACCGACTTTGCTGCGGCAGAATGAGCGGGGCTGCTTTGAGGTGTCTGCCTGGATCCAGAAGAATTCGAGTACGACGGTGAAAATCGACCGCAACTTGCCGGTGATTGGCTTGCGTGCAGCGCATTCGAACCTTGCGACCAATTTCTCGGGGAGTTGTACTGTGGTCCTTTGAAAACGTGCGGGTTTATTTCAAGTATAGCTTTCAGGAGTTCGGGTGTATTTTGCTCAGAGTCGAGCGACTGCTCCGTGTTGGCATAGTGATCCTTGAGTTCTATGTGATCCGAAGATGTCTGCGATAACGAGGATATTAGCTGTGGAACTAAATTGTCATCCCGAACACTCAACAATATTTGTGCTTCTTCAGCGACTCGAGGATGAAAGAGGAGAGACTTATTGGTTAAAGAGGTTTGTTGTAATGGCGTAGGCAGGGGCATTTCTGACAATAAATCAGAAAGACTCGCAATACCTGCGAGGGTTGTTATTGGTACACTCGGAATTACCCCATTCATTTTGACTTTGATTTGTTCTGGCATTACAGCCCGACCTAAAAATTATCTTACAGATGATTCCTTAGGATGACAATATCTTTTGAAATCAAGAAAAATCACTGAAAATATTTATGGGAACAATTTTACCCTCGCCGACCCATGGATTTTGGTTTAAGGGAAATAAAATGTCTTTTGTCGCACCATCGGCAGAAAAATCGAAAATAATCATCACTAAACCTCAACGTTTTGGATAATCCACTATTACTACTTTTTTGTTAACCTATTTGCCCTAATAATACGTACGAGTAACACTAACACTAATGTTAATTGTGGGAACTTAACGCAGTCTCTTTTAAGTTCCCATTGTTCACTTTTTATAATTCATCCACATTTTGATGATGCTCTTGGATCTTGCAGTAAACGATCCATGATTCGCTCCTTTAGAATGATTACCCTAAAACATACAACTTGTTAATTTTCTTATACGTACAATCATTTTTCAATTTGTTAAACAAATTACAAGTTTATAATTTTTCATTAAATTAATATTCCAACAAATCTGAAAATGTAAAAAACGTACCAAAACAAAGTTTTTATTATCTCATAATAACGATGTAAAAATCACTAAAAATTTTAGTTGAAACCATTTTCAATATTGATAAAATATATATATTAACAAACTTTGAAAAACAATTGATTAAAATAATTTTTTAAAAGATTTTTAAAAATAGTTTCTAATAATGGCAATGATTTAATAATTATATTAACAATGACACGAGAGAAATATTTGTCAATTGACAAATAAAGAACGTATACGGTTGGAAGTTTAAAAGCAAAATTATAACTCATGTTTTTTCTAATTATGCTTACAATTATAAAATAATAGTTTGTATATATATATATATAAATATAATTAACAAAGATTGACTTTTATCTAATCTATAATTTGTTTTATTGTTAAAGAAACTTTTTATACTTTTAACCTTATATATTTTTGTAGTCTTATCGTGTTTTACTATTTTAACATACCAGAATGACATTTATGTATCGATAAACACAACAATTATGTGATTCGCCAGTCAGAAAAAATAGTTGAAAAACTTAATCTCAATAAGTTTATATTAAAAAAATAGTTTATAAAAAATAATTTAAAATCATAATAACGTATAACTACGTTACTAACATTCTAAAGGTTTTTAAATTCACAAATATAAACAAACATAAAATCGTATTAAAAAATTCTGCATTTTTCTTCTTTTTAATTAACTTTTTTTAATTTACTAATTAAAAAATATTAATAAACATAATGTTTTTATATTTCTTTGAAACTTGAATATTTGAAATATATTTTTGATAGTAAACAAAACTTTTTAATTGATTTATAACAAATAAACTATTGACGTTTGGAAAATTTGCAAAAAATACGTTCTCAGTACTCTTTTATATATACATATTAACGACAAAACGGGCACATAGTCGAAAATGCATATAAACAAAGCAGTGTAAGCTAAAGCTGATACGAAAAATTATTTTAAATGTTAAAAAATTTCATATTAACGTTAAATTTAATAATATGACAAAACATTTAGGTGAAATATTCTAAAAAAATGTTAAGAAAATGTTATTTTCACAATATTTTGTGTTATTTACCTTCGGTTAACTGATCCTAATGATTATTTATGCTGGACGATCTAATAAGCAAAGAAACGTTTTTAACTAGAAATTTTCCTTCCCCTTCAGTTAGCGACTTATCAATTAAAATAATGCAACGATTATTTTCTATCCTGGATAACTGTAGCAGTCCTCCATCAGCAATTTTCTTCTCAAACTCTTCTTCTCAAGAAATCCATTCAATTGTCATCTGTGGCTGTGGCCTACTTGATAGGAGTCAAATAAGATCGATCAAAATGTGAAACAAACAACACTATTGCAAAATAGAACTTTCACTTACATCATTTGCTAAATCTTGTAAACATCATACTTTCAGATGTGATTGATCGCGAGAAAAGCACTATTTATAGTATGAATTTAACGAAAACAGACACAAAGGCGTCCATTTTGCTCAATGCTCAGCAGCGAGTTCGCGGAAGTTGCGTACTTGATTCCGGGCGTCGGATTTCAAATCACTTTAAGCTCCATTCACATGGCACGTGAAAATGTTTTTAATCTTTTTCTAATATTTTTTTAAATAAAAGAGGCAAAAGTTTATAAAATTAAAAGAAATAGATAATTAAAATTTTATTAGAAAACTAACCTCAAATACGTATTCTTTATTTTTACTTTTACTTTTGAAAAATAATAATTTTTAAAATATATATATTTTAGAATTGTTTTTAACTTATTTTTATAAAATTATTTAGTTTTTTCTATATTTATTATTAAAATAATAATAATAATAATAATAATATAGGTGTTAATTATTTATAAATTAAATTTATATGTATTACGAAAAATTAATTACTTAAAAAAAGATAGAGAGTCTTAAGTTAAAAATCAATTACATATCATAATATACATTTGTATAATTACATGTGTAGAATAAAAACCAAATTTTATTTAAATTCAACTAAATAAGCTGGAGTAATTTACATAATTTGAATTTTGAATTGTAAAAAATAGTTTGAATTTACTTCCATTATTTTTGTACTGCATGTTTTAATTGGACTACTTAAATATGTAAATAACCAATTAAAATTGTTTTCATGTATAAAATACAAGTTTTTATTGGTGTATGCAACTCGCGCAACAATTTGAACTTGACTTTATACCTAATTTTTAGAATTTCTCATTTTTATTCAATCTTAATATTAACTTTTCGTAGGATATTCTCAATATTTAATTATATTATTTAAAAATGATAAGCTTTGTGACTAGTTTTGTTAACTAAATGAAGTAAATGCATCGATTTATTCCTTTTCAACAATTTTTTGACGTTTCACTCTCGACTAACTTTAAGAAACCACCACCAGAGAGAGCAACTATCGCGGCTTTCTTCACACTCGTCCTCACATTCACAGAAAAAGTGTCAAACTCCAAAATGGCGTATATCGTCAGTGTAAACACCCAGTTTTTGTTAGTGAATGAAAAGAAAAATTAAAGAATTCTGGCTGGACAGTTAATTGCTATCTTCTTTTTATTGTTTCTTTACGGTGCGAGGAAATAAATTGAATGTTTATCCAAATGTCCGCAATCACACACTCTATGCCAGGTAAGCTTATACAATACATTGATAATTGACATCGGAAGCGTTTTATAATGTATTGAATTTGTTCATAATTTCTGAAAATATTCAATACTATAATTTATTTTTTTGAAAGTTTTTTTACTTTTCTCGCATATTTGAATCATTATTTTAAAAAGTGTTTGTTTTTTTAATTAATATACAATATTTGAAATTTTTACAATTCCACTTTTTGTAATAAAACCTTATAGGAACAAATTTTCGTAATACTTATTTTCAGTATTTATATAAATTTAAAAAAAAAAGCCAAGTTAAATTGTAATATAAGTAAAGAATGTTAACACTAATGTTAACACCACCTTATAACAGATTCATTGTTAATTCGAATTTTCTTGTTTTTAATTTTTATCTGCTGTTAATTACAGACTGTACATAATCCAAGAAATTAAAATACTGTAAACATTTTAGGAATCGATCCATGCAAGATGGCTCAGAAGCGAAGCATTGACAGTATAGGGTATGTAAATGATATTATTACATAACTATAATAAATATTTTTAAATGATGTATATTAAACTGCATGATTACTTCTAAATACTGCTATCTCGACACTTTTTACACACAATTTATTTCTTGGTTACGTCATTAAAAGTGCGAGTTGAAAACTTAATTAAACTTCTTTCTTTAAATTACAAGAATTGCAAAAATTAAATTATTAAACTGACTTTATTATTTGGACGAGGATATTAACTCAATTAGAATTTTTTCTTGTATAGGAATACAAGGAAAAATTCCTTGTATTTCCTATACAAGGAAAAATTCTAATTTAGTTTTATCTATTTAGAAATTTAAAAATATTTCTCAATAAGAATTCTATTGTACTTTATTTGAAAAAAAAATTTAGAAAGTAACAACTTTGTTTTCAATCTAACACTTATTTTTAAACATTTAATTATTTTCGTACTCTTTTAACATGAGAAATGAAAAGATTTCTTTGCTTGGACAAACACACAAGAAGAATCGTTAATCTCAAAGACGACACACGAATTTCGAGAAAAGCCTCAATACGCCTCTGCGTAAGTGAATAGAATTTTAATGTCACTTCTCGAAGGAAACGTAACATTAATTCAGACGTGATTTCGTAAAGTGATCGTTATTCGACCAGGTGTTTAAAATATAAAGTCCGAAAGGATGTTCTTTTTGATATAAAATTTTAAACGTGATTGAATTTGTGATTTTATAATTATCATATTAGAAAAATTTTATAAATTTACAAAGATAAATAAATTTTAAAAAATATACTTAAAACATCTAAAAAAAAAAGGTGCTCATCCTTATAATATAAACAGGATAGTTTTTTTGAAAAATTGAAATTTGTACATTCAGGTATTCCCTTCGAACAGGTTTTAAGATTTTCTCTTTTATATATTTGTCATGGGGTTGGACCCTACATTACAATTTACAGGTGCAAGGTTCCATTTAAATTACTGCCATCTTTCTCCTCCGCTTTAAGTGTAGAGAATTTATGATCTTTCTGTCAAACTGTCCGCCCTTTTAAATCCTGAGTGAAATTGAAAAGATCTCTCACTTATTTTTTCCTTCTATGTAAACAGTTTTTTTAACACATCAAATTGATTTTTATATTTTTAATAATACAAGCGGAATAAAAATATTCTTTTATTTAACAATATTAGTAACAAATGTGACAATATTTTAATATTTCAAAAAAGGAAGGTTAGGACCTTGACAAAATGGGAAACATCTGGAAATAATTAAATAATTTTCTTTCACAAAATTCTGGTACCTGTCAGATTTGTCCATTCGGATTTCGGAACCAAAGATCTATTATACATAAATTCTCAAATTTTTACTAGACTGAAAATTATATAGTCGTGTCTTGTTTGTTGAAAGTTGGATTTTTATTTTATTTATTTAAATTAGATTTCGTTGTTTTATTGCTCTTATTTCAGTATTTAAAGTTAAGTGAAACTGTAGACGCGAATACTTAACATATGATGCAAACTGTGGGTAACGGTAATTCTCGTGGACTTTGTTGACGAGAATTCGACCGATTGCGATTGCATTGTTCGAAAAATGAACGAGTAAGAATTCTCACATGGTTAAAGTACGCCAGGAGATTTCAATGCCTTACTCACAATTCACAATTCTTGAGTTCTATAAATTATATCATTTTTAGAAAATTCTCTCGTTGGTAACTTTGCGAAATTGAGAGAAATAGGATCAAAATAGTTGAAATTTAAGAAGTGGAAAAAAATGAAAAATGTATGCGCGCCTGTAGGAGAAGAATAGAATTCTTGAATTTTGAAACAATATAATCAATGTGTATGTAATAGAAAAGTTTGAATAAATTTTCTCCCCGGATTAGGTTGCACGTTGCACGTTGCACAAATGCGAGACGATGCATCGTGGTTAAAAGTTGTGCTTTATACGGTGGCTGTCTCGTTTACTGGTGGGAGAAGTGATAGTCTTTACCGGGGTACCACTAAGGCACATTATGTGAATGTGGCTATGGTGGAATCAGTCACTGGCGAGTTGTGGGTGGTGACTAGTCGTCGAACGACTGGTCTTTTAATTTCTTACCGAATTAGCCATTATTCAAATCGTGGGGCTAATGCCTTAATGAAAAGGGAAGTTAAACGACAATTCGGGTACCTGTTGTCACAACGAAAAGGGAAATTATTTCAAACTCAATGGAATATTTTTAGTGTTTTAATATAGAGACATTTTTATACAAATCTACTTTAACAAAAGTGAGCAAAAAACAAGTTGAAAAATAAATTTACCCGTTTCGAATATCAACAAGTTTGTAGAAATTTTCTATTAAACATTATGATTTTAATTGTAACTGAAAAGAAGATTTTGTTTAGTTAAGAAGAAATTATGAAAACAAGAAGAGATTTCAGAAAGAGGAGAGGAAGGCAATAAGGTCAATAATTATAATTGATGCATTTCAATAGTGTCAATTCTGCAATGCTAGGAAGCAAAGAATGTTCCTCTGCATTGTGTTGATTATCGCTCGTTCGCCAGAGGAATGTGAAGAAACGCAAAGCTAATGAGCTTTGCACAATAACGTACGATTCGATCCGTGAAAGTGACCGTGAATCAAAATCGTAGACAAGATTCAAAAATCCGTTTTTTGGAAAAATTATGTCTTGCGAATATCGTCCCAAGAAGAGAAGTGTTCTCGTCAAGAAAATCTTAAGAGGACGGAAATCCAAATAGTTGAAAACAAGAAGGAATTTTTTGGAAATTTTCTGAATCGAAGAATAGTGAAGATGTAGTTTTTTCGGGAGAAATTCGAGGGAAAGAGAGATTCAGTGATTTTGATTGGTGTAAAGTGACGATACAGTTCGCCAAAATAGAGTATCCTGGTGGTAGTGGAATGTACGGGGGTGGTACGGGAGGTGCAGGGTACGGTTTAGGTCCCAGCCCCGGTCCCTCTCACTATGGGGTCCCACCGGCACCACCCATGGGTTATCAGTTGGGACCACCTCCCCCTCCACCTCCCGCGGGACCTTCTTCCGGAAGTCAGCTTCTTTCTTACGGACCTACCCTATCACCCCACCAGATGCAGCAAGTCCAAAATGATTCTCGACCCAGGAAAAGGCGGAGGTAAATTTCAATCATCTCTACCTAGATAAAAAAAAAGCAGACAGAATTTATGAATTCAAATTTATTAAAATCAAAATAGTTGTTCACTTTTTTAAGCATTTACTTAAAAGTGTATTCTCTCTGCACTACTGCTTATTTTAAGACAAACGGTTGGAATAATAAACCGTGTTGGTGTTTTAAGAAAATTATGTTTCAAAATTTATTAAGTTTTAGTTTGATAAACTTAACTGTTTTGTGAAATGTTTTGCGTATTAATGTGAGAGAGTAATATTATCGCAACACACGTGGTCAAAACATCCGTGTACCGAGAATCGCACTAAGTAAATGAAGATAAAGTCGATGCTTTTTAGTGGAGGATATATCAAAAATCCAATTGTTATCTTTAATTTTAATAGACAGTTTTTTGAAAATTGGCAAAAGAAAAACTTACGTTTCTCCTTAAATCTTATCTTATTTTCTATTTTTATCAATTTGTAAAGTGCTCATGTAAATGTGTTTTTCTTTCTTTTTATTGTTATTTTTGTTTTATTCTCTTCATTTTAACAGTGGAAGAATATTTTATCAATTATATAATTTACCCGCAGTATCTTGTATATATTACACTGAGTTTATTTGATTAAAATAACGGATTGCTTGGTCATTGTCAAATAATTATTTACTTGAATCTGTAATTATTTTTATTATATTTGATATTTACCTATTATATATATATTATATTTATTATTATATTTATGTAGGTATAATAATAAAGATCTTAAACTTATTTGTTTGATCTAATGGCGTAAGCCATTAGGAAAATATCATAATTTGACTTAGATAACAATTATTTGGTACAAATAAATATTTATTTGACAATAGACAAGTAGTCGCTACTTAAATTTAGTTTATAGTTTTAACTTTTAAACCGAATTTTTTAAATTAAAATGAAAAGTTTCTTTTTTAAATCAACGTCAGCATCTTTGAATCAAAATATTTTGAGTTAATGAAAACATACATATGTATGTAGTTGTTTGCTTGACACTTCCTTTTTAACTTATTATGTTCCACTGTAATATTCTGAGAAATCTTAAGTGTTTTTAAAAGCAGTATTTATACAATAATATCATTTTTTCTTCCGATTAACTTTAAGTCATTTTACTTCAAAGAATACATAGTACCTATATTTGTCTTAACAGTTTTTCCAAGATTCTCAAATTGAAAACCATTATTAACAATTTTCATTTTTTTTTGTCCAAATTTGATATTTAAACTGATTTTTTCTTCTCTAAAGTGAGAATTTATTTTGCTGCAATGAGATTGCAAAAAAAAGTGATCTTTCTGTTAAAAGAATTGTTTACGTGGCTGTGCCCCTGTTGTTACCGCGTGCAACACACGCAACTTCTAACAAAACCCACTCGTTGCCGAACTCGTCACGTAGCAGAGATTTGTGGTCATTCATATATAGCCGATTACCAGATCGTTATTACATAATCTACACCTTCAATACAAAACTCGAACATATCTCGAAAAAATTATATCTGTCACTAATTGTTCAACTATTTCTCCACATGTCTATTGTTTGTAAGAAAAGCTTGCTCGGCTTGACATACAAACATTTAAGAAAAAAAGTTCCCATTCGAACGTATTTCACAAAAAAAAGATCAATTTATAAACAGAATCTATTAAAAATAATTATAATAACGAAAAAAGTAATGTCAACATTAGGAAACAGCGAGAAACAGTGTTCATGCTATAAAAATACATATTGAAATATTCATAGTCTTGAATATTTGGAAATTCTTCTATTCAGATTTCATTGGATCGTTATTGTTGTTCCAAATTAGTTATTGAATAAGACCTCGTGAAACAGATTTTAATTCAAAGAAAACTCGTTTTGCGTAATGAATAAAACATTCCTCCTTAATAAGAAAGTCTTTATGTGTAATTTTATTGATAACTGGATTAAAAAAATTTTCCAAACTTACGACGAGGAACGATAAATACATCGTTTCCAAGTCGTTAAATGTGATGATACGGTGGTGAGGAAACAATTTGCAGTGTTCAGTATGCTAAAACATTTTATAATTATGACTCGATTAGTAATGCCGTGTGCATTTAACAATGCATATTTATGTCAAAAGTCGAAATTTGTCTTTTCTAAATCGACTTACTTTAGATCTCTAAACATTTAAAAGAAATGCTAGAAAACATCTCGGGAGATGGAAAAAATTGATCGACACGATGATGGACACTTGATTATCGAAAATTAAGCTTTAAAGTAATCTTATTAGTAGAAAATTATAGTTCTCAGAGGTTTTTAATTAAGTCGTTACGGTCTCAACACTGCTTCGCATGTAGGACTTCTTAGAAAGCAATTTATTTTACCTCAAATCTGGACTCTCGTTTTTCTTATATATATATATATGAGATTTTTTTATTTTTACACATTTTCGGAAGAGTTACTTATAAAAAATTAAAATGCATATCTAAGCATATATTTTCTTTTTTTTAATCGTAGACTTTTATTTGAATCTCTAATTTTTTTATTTCGGTGAGAAATTTTACCGAAAAATAATTTTGAATATGTACTTGGGGAATTAGGAAAAGAAAATGCCCTGCTTCTCAGAATTGATCAAAATCATTTGCGAGCAAACGGTTGGTGACCAATAAGGTCGGGAGAGTGGATTAAGGCAAAGAATAAGAACCGCCTCTTATTGCAAACTCGATTTTAGAACCGCCAATAGCGAGCTGTCTCTTAATATGCCTGTTCATTTTACCGCATAACGCAATGAAAAATTACGCCAGAATTCGGCATTAGATTTCTAATCACTATTGTTTTTCTATTGTTTTTCCGCTTTAAGAGTAAACCAATTTGTCACTAGCAAACGATTCACAAAAATCTTCTTCGACTTTTTTTCGTCCTAAATTTATTGTACATGCTGAATTTTTTGATTGCAGAAATATTGACATTTTCAAAGTATTTATTATTTTGTTTTGGAAATTTTTTCCTCTCTACCTTCTATTTTTCTAGTTTTGCTTATGTACTTTTTTCTATTGACAACAACGTTAATTTATTCTTCATTATTCTTTTTATTAATTTAAGCAAAGTAAACTTTATACATATTTACTCGGCAGAAAAATGGAATTTTTTTGTAAGTCAATACTCTTATTTGCTCATCAACTTCACGAATGCAACGAAGCTTACTTATCTTGCGATCGCACTCATTCTTTAAGAAAGATTAATTATGTTAGGACAACTGTAAATTTTTTACAATCATGGTATTAAGTATTCCATAAAGAAATTTCTTGTCGAGTATTGTTTTCTGCTTTTGATGAATAAAAATGTTTTAAAGTTAAATATTCAGGGTTGCCACAGGTCAGGAAAATCAAGGAATTCAGGAAAAAGTCAGGGATTTTTCTTAAAAGTACTGGAAAAAATTAAATTTGCAGGATTCATAAGAAAATTCGGAATTTTCTCTTCTTCTTTGTTTGCCTTTATAAACTATATGAACTTATCATCAATTGTACTAAAACCTTCAATTTTTTCTATTTCTGACAATAATAATTTCTTTTTAAATAACTTAACTTAATAATTAATTCTCCAAGAACAATCACAAAATTATTACTTATTGTAAATTATTTAATGAATAACTTTACTTAAATATTTTAAAATTAATTGAATTTTAAGAGTTGCGTTTAGAACTTTCATAAACAAAACGAACTTCAAAAGGTTTTAATTTGAAATTTTAGAAAATTTCAATTCTGAATGAATTTAATAAAAGAATAATTCAATTATTTTCGTAAAAATTGAAATTTTTTACAGATGAATAATAAAAGTCATTATAGAATTTTAATTATTTTTAATACAATATTTTAACCGAATTCCTCGAAAAATGTAATTATTCTTGAAAATTTTATTAAAATTAGTCGAAAAAAGTAATAATTCAATAAACTATTTATTTTTATATTTAAATAATTGAATTCTTGTGGAATTTTCTAATAAAAATTGATTTAAAAATTAATTTCAGTAAAATTTTTAGATAATAATAATTGAATATTTAAAGTAGTAGCATTATAGAGTGTATTTTTAAAAATAATTGAATTTTCAAAAAGTTTAATTGAATTTTTTTTTTTTTTGTTGCAAATTATTTCAAATTTTGAAAATTCTCTAGAAACTTTTGCAAAAATTATTAGAAATAATTGATAATTATTAATTTATTTCTTTTGAAGAATTTACTTAAAATTATTGTATTAAAAATAATTGAAATCCTGTAATTAAGAATTTTATTATTTAGAAGAATAATTGAAATCCTGTGAAGAATATTATTATTTATGAAAATAATTGAATTCTTGCAACAAATTTTATTACTTTTTTTTAAATAATGAATTTGATGTGAAAAATTGTATTACTTGTAAAAATAATTAAATTCTTGCGAAGGATTTTATTAAAATTTTTGTAAATAATTTAATTTTCTTTGTTGAAAAATTGTATGGAAATTTAAATTATAAAACATCTTCATGTTTTATAGTAGATAATATTCTTAAAAGTTTTTTTATTTCAAAAGGATTTGAAATTTTTGAAAATATCTTAATTCTTATGGAAACATAATAATGATTAAATGTTTATTTAAAAAAAAGTTATTGACTTTTTCGAATAATTTCTAATGAAAAGAAATTCGCAAATGTATTAGAAGATTTTTTTGAAATAATTTTGAGAGTGAATCAGAATATCCTTTAGGGTCAGGGAAAAAGTGAAAATCATTCAGGAAAAACTCTGGAAAATGAGGAAAAAAGAAAATTAATTTTTTGTGACAACCCTGATATCAAGTGATATCAAGAAGATACGTAAGAATATATTTAAAATTGCAAGGAAGAGAAAAAGATGTTTCGAAAATGCATTTTGCGTTTTGGTCGACGAATCGGGAGAAAAACGATCACCATAAGTATGTATCAGGATGACTATCAAATGGGACTGGAGAGAATGGAGGCCAAATCGTGATCCTTGGAGCAAATGGAAAAATGAAAAAAGGCGCCATCGTAACGTAAATATGCTGATTCTTTTTCCTTGTCGATATATAAATCGAGATTTTGATCTAAGGACATTGGAGCACTCAGCACACAGCTTCTGGACTTGAAAAATATTTAGTCATTCCCGCAAATTGCATATTTTGATATTTACTTCTCGAAGCTAGGAATGAGTCGAAGGCGACGAATCGAGATGATTTCTTTTACAATTTCATTATTCATTGTAAAATTTGGATCAAATTTCTTTCACACGGTCAACGTGTAGAGGTCGAGTAACCGTAGAGATTTCGATGAAACATCTACCCTAGAAAGTGGAGGCACTGTTGGCGTACTGGTCCAAGGTCAAGCCCTCTTGCCTGAGACGAGACGAGGGAGAGGGAGAGGAAGAGGGAATGAGTACGTCGAATGCAAATTGCGAATTCACCGGAGAAGGAAAGATAAAAAGATACACATCAGAAGATGCAGGGTGAATTACTGAAATTTGAGAAGCGAGTGCTTCCACAAGCCTTGTCGGACATTGTAATTACCGTTTAATGTTTTCTGTTCTAGGCGAAAATATCGAAAGAAGTTTAGATCGAAGTCGAACCGACGCGTCATTATAAATCGTGTCCTCTTCCCTAACAACAATTCTCTTATCTCACGTAAGGTCCCTAAAGGAAAAAGAGTGAAGAAAAGAGTGGAAGGGAAGAACATAAAGAAAAGAGAGAAGAGTCTCTGTGTACGATACCCGGATACGGGGCCCTTACACCCCCACTTCGACTCATAGTCGAAGGAATCATTCCTCGGTCCTATGACCAGGAATCAGGATGGGTAGGGGAAGGGATAGCAGGGTCAAAACCGTACATCACCCGCACAGCCTAGACTACTCGAAAGATCACTGGCCCCGGGCCCGGTTTTCCTTTTCTATCCTCTTTTATATTTCTTAGCCTTTGGATTCACTTGATTCACTTGATTCACTTAATTTCTCGACAGAAACGTTTTTCGACGATAATGAGCACCCGGTGATATGGTGACGGATTGGTGACGGATTTACAGCGCAGTGTCTATCTTTCAATCTATTTTCCTTTTTTCGTTTCTTCATTTTAACTTTCGCCTTCACTCAATCAGAAAAGATAAAAGAAATTACCCGTTCGAATTCGATGGGCATCGATTTTCGCAGGGGACGTGTGGAGAGGCGCTTAAATTACACTGCGGCATCGACATAAGTAATTTCAGACAATCAGACCGAGATTTCTCAGATGAAATAACAATCGATGCTCTTTAAGTAAATTAGGTTTAGCATTATTGTCGACATGAAAGCAAAGTCTTTACGTCAACGTTTTTCAAGAAAGATCAAATAATGTAGAATTAGGTGAAAAGTATTCCTCTGGTCGGTCTAAACTTGACAAGCTCTCATTATTTACATCCTTATCATAAAGAGAAAATATTTAAATGAAAAATTAAAATAAAAGGGTTTCGCTTTATATTTTTAAAATTTTCATAAAGAAGAAATCACGATTTTGACAAGAACATATCTAATTTTGTTTCTTCTTATGATAGGAAACTGTAAACGCGGATTGTCCGTAAAAGTAGCTTTTATATGGGAGCTTCGTTTACGTGTAAGACGACTACATTGGAAATCGGCCAGGTGACGATGTATGATGACCAATCTTGGATTCAGACGCGTTTGATAAGCCGGAAGTTACGCTTAATGTATCGGTGACGCAACATTTATTTACAACGATTTATAGACTCCTTCACTTCTTGCATTTTATGGTACGTCTCGTTTAGGATCCATCCTTTCATTATAAAACACACACCGCAACTTGGCCATGTGCTATATAAACATAAGGGGTGAAGAGAAAAAACTCTTTTTCAAAACTCGACTTTTTTTCATTAGCATTCTTATTCTTTTTCTTTTTCTTTACAGATCCGATGAGGACGATCCAAGTGGAGCAAAATATCGAAGAATGGAGGACGACAATATGCAGGACAAAGAGAGATTTGCCAGGTGAGTATCAGATTTGAGATTGTAATCGAAAAAAATTGTCTGAGTTGCCTATTTGGGTATTTAAAGAAGAGGGTCGACACAGATCAGGGACAAATCAGAAAATTTTATCAAAAGTACTGGAAAAATATTCAATTTCTAGAATTCATGACAAAATTCCGAATTTTCTTGTCCGACGCAAGTCTTTGAAGATATTCACTTTAATTTTAAATTTTTTCTATTTCTAACGAAAATTGAACTTTACAGATTTGAAATTCAATTTATCCTAAAATAATTTTACGACGAATAATTTTATTTAACAATTCCATAATTGAATTTTATAAAAGTTGCGCTTTCAATTTTTATAGATTATATATAAATAACTAGGAAAAGTAGGTAGCTAAATAATTTATTATAATTATGTGAATTAAAAAATTTGTTATTTTCAAAAATCATCTTTAATTTTTGAATAATTTCGGATACAAAATTTTAAAAAATTTAACTTTAATAAAATTCTTGAAAAAACAATTTAATTATTTTCCAAAAAATTTAATAAGATTCTTCGCAAAAGATTAAATTTATTAAATTCATTAAATTCGTCAATCATTTTCATAAATATAATAAAATTCTTCACAGGAATTCAATTATTTTCAATATTATAAGAAATCAATTATTTTGAATAAAATTTTAATTGAATTCCTCAAAAAAATTTAATTATTTTCACAAAATTTGTCAGTAAATTGATAAATTGTTAGGGAAATTGGAAATGTCAGGGAAATTGATAAACTGAAATTTGTGACCACCCTGAATAATTAAATTGAAGAAGAATTTTAGTTAAAATTTAAATAATTGAATATTGAAATCTGGAAAATAATTTTGAATAAGTTAGAGTCGTAATTTTTATAAATTAATAAATTTCAAAGGATTCGAAATTTAAATTTGGAATTTTTGAAAATCTTAATTTCTATGGAAAAATTAGTATTTTTCATGATTATTATTATTATTATACGATTAAGTATTTATTTAAAAAAAAAAATATGAAGCTAAAACTGGCACGCAGTTATCAGCATCCATTTAATTTTGGAAATTGAATTTTAATTTAATTTCTAAAAGTAATTGGGTGACCGTTTCAGCTTCATAAAATCTATTGTTGTTACGAATAATTTTACTTAATTAGAGAGATCCAAAATTGTATTTCAAACATATCTAATTATTATGTTTAGAGTGAACACAAAATATTTTTTGAGTCTGGGAAACATTCAAAGTTCTGTCTGGAAATCAGGGAAAAGAAGGAAAAGAAATTAGTAAAAGTGAAAAGGAAAAAAAGGTCTTAAATTAAAGTATAATGTCTGTCGAGACTTAGACTTGATTATAAGTTTTGATTTGCTTTACGAATATACACCCTGCATATATATATATATCTCTTGAAGATACGTACATATATTACATACTACATGATACGTACTCACTAATGTGAGCCAATGGCGGAATGGGTAGCCCTCGCGGCTGCTCCAGCGTGGGAACATGAGATATATGTATACGTACAACATCTTTACAGTTTATTCATGATAAGAGGAATCTTAAGGGTGCTCTCAATTCATACAATTTTTTGTACCTCCCGTTCTCTCTTTTTAGAATTTTAAAACAGTTCTATTATAGCTGTAAATATAAAAACTTGTTCAATTTTGAACGCAAAATTAGAAAAATTAAACATATTAAGCCGGGGAGAGGAAAAATCTATAAAGGAAGCGGTTGTACACCGATGTCGCGAGCAAGAACCTTAATAACGCAATTACCACCGACCACCGCAAACCTTCCCCTTTCTTCGCAGATCGTATTTTCTGTTTCCAAGGATTCTTCCAACATCTCAACATTAATTCAGATCTCTACATTTTTGGCTTAGCCATTAAACGAGTTCCGCAGACGACAGTGAAATAATAATATCTTCTTTACATTCCAGTGGTTTATACCCATTACATGAAAATTTTAGGTTCGATAACATTTTTTTTTTTTTTTTTTTTTTTTTTTTTTTTTTTTTTTTTTTTTGACTTTTTGTCAAATGGTAGGTTTTAATTACAAACAAACACTGTAGCTGTTCGTGGAGGGAATTTAAATTTTAGTATTTGATATTTTGTAATTTCTTCTCTATGCACATTGGAAATGATTAATAAATGAATTTAATTTCCGAAGGCATAATAAAATGGTTGCTTGGATATTTTCTGCGGTGAATTTCTAAATGATTTATACAGATTCTTTGCCTGAGTGCTCTGTATATTGCAAGTTTTTCGACCGTTCTTAAACCGTAAGTAAGCGGACGAGGAGTATACTTATACCAACACAATTGCACTAGGGTAAGCATAAACCTATAGCGGATACACTCGATGGGCCCAAAGGAGCGAGCGGCTGACCGAGCGAGCAACTTCAGAGCGCCTGACCTCTGACCTAGGAGTTCTCTCTATCCTACTCGAATCGCGTTTCTTCTCCTCTCCTTCGGTACCCTGTCTTATTCTTATACATGAGATTTAACGTTGACCCTTTTTAAATAGTGCAACATACGTAACTGTTACCTTGGAATAATGTCCTAAACGAAAATCGAGAAAACACTCTATAATTTTATTCCACCACAGATTTTACACTCTGCAAGTTGATAATATTTAATTTTTTCAAATATTATTTCTACGACAACTATCAACAGTTTTTCAACAATAATAAAAGAGGTCCGCGAGGTTCTGGGTTCAAGTATGTCAATAATAATTTTTGTCGAAAACCCATTCGTCAAAAACTAAATGACAATATTTCCGATTAGTCTCGGAATTAATAACATTTATCCTGACAATAAACATAATATTCTCAAACGGAATCGAGTGAGACCATAATTTGACGTCTAACATTACACAAGCTGTGAGAGTAACTTCGTGAGTAATAGCAGACTTCTCTATACTTTGGCGGTAAACTATACGTAATTATCTGCGTACAATCGTAAATTTAATGGCATTTAATTCGTAATTATTATTTAAGAACTTTACAAGGGCTCACTCAGTAGTGTACAAGCAATTATGAAAATTTTAATAAATTTCTATTAAGACAATTATTATAGATGATGATAAAATAAATCATATTCAAGATCAAATTACAGATTTTTCTTCATTTTCTATATTTTACAAGAGTAAGAGATAATCACTATAGTCTAGTTTTTAAAAAAAAAGTGAATATTTTTTGCCTCTGAGTTTCGGATTTTTCTCTTCGATTCTTATTGAGATTGCGTGCCTGCTCTCTTTTCCCTTTGTAAAGAAATAGTAAAGCTCCGATAAAATAAAGATACCATAACGAGGCGTAAACTTTGCTCCACCATATCCATCTTGGTTAGTTGTGATTTTTTTTTCTTCCTCGAGAAAATCATATTTTATAATTTTAAAGTTAAATATTTTTTATGGAGCTTTACAGCTTCATAAAAATTATTTAACTTTAAAAATTAATTTCCAAAATTAACTGGGTGCCAAAAATCAAAGTTCGTCCCCTTTTTTCTTCTTTTCCCTTTAATTTAATAAAATCGTACAAATTATCTCTTTTTCAAAAGGAAAACTTACAAAAATTGTCCCTTTTTTCTAAAACAGCAACATTTTTTGGTTGTGTTGAAAAAAACTTTTGCTTTTTACAAACTGTGGACAAATTTTTGTTTCTTAAAACTTAAATAGGATCATTTTATATTATTTCCCAAGTTTTTAAACTAAGAAATCTTTTTATACAAGGTAACAAATATAGAATAACTTTTATTTATTTTTAGAGTTGAACACAATTAAAATTTCTTTTAATTTGCATAGACTATTTCCAGAATAAATAATATTACAAATTGTAAGTTTATAATTTGAATTATAAAATTTACATGGAAAATTACTAAATTTACTCTGGAAACAACGATTTTCAATAGAATTTTTTGATATTCTCAAAGTTAGTTTTTTTTTATACAAATTATTAACATTTTCTTCAAACACTGTACGATTTATTATTAAAAATTATTGTCATTTTGATTGAAGAAATCTATATTAATAATCGTTTTCATAATTTTTCTTTTTAAATGTTTTCAATTTTTAAATTAATCTGTTGAAAATAATTAAATCCTTGCGAAGAATTTAATTATTTATGAAAATAATTGAATTCCTTCGAAAAAATGTATTATTTATGGAATTGAATATTTGAATATTTGCGCAGGATTTTATCACATTGTTGAAAATAATTGAATTCCTTCGAAGAATTTTATTATTTATGAAAATAATTGAATTCTTCCGAAGAATTTATTATTTATAGAAATATTTAATTCCTGCGAAGAATTAAAAAAAAATTCTGGAAGAAATAAACTGGAAGAAAAATTAATTATGTACTTAATAAGTGATTTTTTTTAAATTTTTGAATCTAAAATTATTGAAAAATTTATATTTGAAAATAAAAAAATTTGTAATTGCATAATAATGATAACAATAATAAATGGAATATCACGTTTCGCGCGTAACATTTGCTAGTAACTTTTTGTGTACTATACACTACATTTTTTTAATTTTAAAAAATCCCCTTTTTACCTAATATTACACTGCAAAAAAAAAATGTATTTGATTCAAGTAACTCTAACTGATTAATTGAATCAATTAATATTTATTGGATACAATTAAATGGTATTTGCTTAAAATACTGAAATTATTGGTTCAAATACCATTCAATTGACAGCTACAATAAATATATTATTTGATTCAAGTAAATATTTAATTGATAAATAGTCAATTAATGGGTTATTTGAATGAAATAAATTTTTTTTTTTCAGTGATACATAAAAAAAAATCAGTGTGATCCCTGAAGTAGTTCTTGTTCACTATTGCACAAAAGGAGGGAAAAAGTGAAATGAATTAATTTTGATGATAAATTAAGGAAGCAGAAGTAATCTTCATAACTGAAGAAGTAAATAAAGATGTATTAGATTATTTTTGCGAAAGGTATTTTCATCTTTGACAGTAACAATCTGCACCCCATTCTCAGCCCTTAATCTCAGACTTCTCAGACTTAAGAACCGTCAATTTACAGAGTGTCTTGAACTATGCAATTACCTTGGTTTTGTCTTACGTCTAACTGTAGGGAGAATCATTGCGAAATTGAGCGGCGACGGCGGAACAAGATGACCGCCTACATCACCGAGTTATCGGACATGGTTCCGACATGTTCAGCCCTAGCACGGAAGCCGGACAAATTGACCATTCTTCGGATGGCCGTTGCTCACATGAAAAATTTAAGGGGTAAGTTTATTTCAATATAATTTTCTTTAAATGCGGAGCTATTTCAATTACATCCGGTTCTAGAATTTTTGTTCACCTTCAACATTGAACCATAGAAGAAAGCATAGAAGAAAGGCCTATTATCGGTTTGTAAGTGGACGGCTCCGTTTTTTCTCGTTATAAAATATAGTTGCTTTCTGATTTCTTTTATCCAAGGGCAGATTTGTGGGATCGTATCGCGTGTACCGAAGACAAGATTGGTGTAGTTAACGGTACCAAGGTATCTTCCGGGTCGGTCCTAAGATGACGAAATATCATGTTAGCGCATCCTGATAATTCCGTTACATTAGTCGTGTGCTTGATTTAAAATATGTTGCAAACTATTACAGCTGACATGGCCAATTCAAAGTCGCTGACAACTTTCAATATTCCCAAGGCATTCAATTTAATGATGACTCGAAACCTTTCTTTCGACTCGCTCAATTGTTGTTGTTGTTGTTGTTGATGTTATTATTATTATTATATCATTCTGTCTTCATTACAAATTAAATTTATTAAATTACTTTATTGGAAATACGGAAAAAAGTTTTAAATTAAATTCCTTTTCTTTCGAAAGTATACTACTTTTGTTTTTTGTTGATAAGATTAAATTAAATACTGAGCAATCTAACACAAATGTGTTTAACTATAGGATAATTTTCAAGGACAAGTCATAACTCGAGTGTAATATAATCGACAGAGTTGGACAGAGTTTTTAAAAGTGTATTTTGTTGCAATCGTGTCCCTCAAATTGTTTACGCGAATCGTGACAAATTTTCAAACAAATGAATCGTTTAATCATCACGTACAAAGTGGTACGAAGTAAAGCTGTACAATGCTCTTCATAGTTGACAAAAGAGATTAAAATAAAAATGTCAGACATATTTTTTCGGGTTCGCTGATTGGGAGATTTGTGGTTATTTCGTCTTGAGTCTAGATGGTCATATCGAATGCAGAATGTGGGATCTATGCTTCCGGTGTGTGGTTGGAAGGGACACGCGTGTACTCACGCACTTACAAATACATCCATTCCGGTCAAGATAGGCTCCTCGTATTGGAGAAACGTCACATTGTTTATAGCCACTTCTCCTCTTTCCCGACAAGAGCTCACTTGAATACAAATTGCTCCAAGAGAAAACTTCTGTCTCTCTTCTTCTCTACCTGGCCATGAGTCTGTCATGGGATTTTTTGTCGGTAGTCACCCGCTATTCCAGCGAAACTTCGACAACGGCAAATTTACACCGATTGCGAAAAATAACTAAATTTCTGTTCTTCCAGACAACTTTCTTTAATAAAATTAACAACTCATTCCCCACAAGCCACAGACCTGAAATTGTCAGGGAATTTTTTTTTTTTCAAAATAGGTCCGTGATTTTATAGAAAATGGACTAAAAGTTGATAAATTATACGATACAACTCGCGATACAATTTAAAGAATTTTAGAGAAATTACAAATGATTGCAAATAATTGAATTTAGAAATTAATTTTTTTGAAAATTGTCAAACAAGTTTTTCGAAAATTCTTGAAAATAATAATTTAATTGAAATGAAGAAAATAATTTTGAACAAGTTACAGGAAGAATAATGAAATATTCTTATAATATAAAATAATGATTTTATCAATAGGCTATCTTTAATTATTATAAAACATGAAGATATCGATTGCTCCGAGTCAAAGACTCGATTTTTTCAAGTTTTATAGTTATAAACAAAATTGAATTTATAGTTTTAAGTAAAATTTTCTGTTATTTGAGTTGGACTTGTTATATTTGTTATATTTCGAGCCCTGAGTCATGGAAAAGAAAAAATAAAATTTTTTATTTTGAAAACAAGGGAAAAAGAAAATGAAACTTTGGTGGCAGCCTTGAAACAGACAATTCACGAGGTTTCCAAATCCTTTCTCACAACAGGATAAAAGCAAAGTTAATCTTGATAATGGGATTTGGTCGAGTGAGCTCATGTATATAATATTCGAGTCTTTGGCGATTGCCACCTAAATTTTCATTAGTCACATATCTCCCGCTAATGCGAGCATTATTGAATTAAACTTTTAAAGATAATCTCAGATTCCAGTTTTAAGGTAAAATGTCTACTGAAAATGAAGTCAAGAGAGCTCAATACCTGAGGTCTCTTAGAAAGTAATGGTAACGAAGGTCACAAGGTTCTTTCATAGATCTTGTTTGGAAGTCGTTAAAGTTCCTCTTCCCGGAATTTCTCGTATATCGGGGTAAAGATCGCATCGCGCCGCGCTTACCGCCTCCCGCAGTATCCTGTCCTCTTTGCAATTCCGATCTTGCACCTCGATAGTTGCCTGCCTTCGCTCCACCGACGCTCATTTTTGGTACCACCGTTTACTTGCTTAGAGGACCCAATATCATTTTCATCGAGATTTTATCTTTACAAGGTACCAACAAATTGAAAAAATTGTTGTTCTGCGCAACAAAAGATTATATCGTCAAGAATAGAGTCAATATTCGAGAAGAAATATACTAATTAACAAACTGTTCAAATTTCTATTGTTCTCTAACCATTTTTTTCAGGTACTGGAAACACAAGTGCTGATGGAACGTACAAACCCTCTTTCTTGACTGATCAAGAATTGAAACACTTGATTCTTGAAGCTGCGGATGGATTCCTCTTCGTTGTTAGTTGTGATACCGGCAGAATCATTTATGTTTCCGATTCTGTTGCACCTGTTTTAAATTATTCCCAAAGTGATTGGTACGGAACTAGTCTGTATTCCCAGGTTCATCCGGATGACACAGAAAAAGTTCGGGAACAACTCAGCACCGCGGAACCTCAACACGCTGGGAGAGTTCTTGACCTGAAGACTGGAACCGTCAAAAAGGAGGGTCACCAATGTGAGTATAATTATATTTATGTCAAGGAAATCTAGGAAAAGTTACCAAATTTTATCAAAAGTACATACTGGAAAAATATTAACAGACTTCGCATTCGATAATTAATTTAAAAAAATAGTAAACAATATTTTACTTTCCCGACTTTTTCCTAATTTTCATTAAAAATATTTACTTCCTTCTTATCCTATACTGCTAATAAATTGAATTCCTGCAACGAATTTTATTATTCATCAAAGAATTTAAATATTTATAAAAATAATTTAATCTTGCGAAGAATTTTATAATTCTAATAAATTCACATGGAAAAATGATACTAATGATTAAATGTCTATCTAAAAAACCTACTGATTCGAATAATTTTACAATGAAAGATACCTATTCACAAATTAGAATCACAAATTAGAAATATTTCTTATGTATTTAATTATTTTTAGAGTCAATCAGAATTTAGGATCAGAAAAAAGTAAAAATTCCGTCTGAAAATCAGGGAAAGTAAAATAAAATTTTTGTGGCAACTCTGATGACTCTGATACACAAGTAAATCATAAATTGAGCTTATTAAATACTGACCTTACAGCCTCGGTGAGATTATGCATGGGATCCAGGCGAGGTTTCATTTGCCGCATGAAGGTTGGGAATCTGCAAACTACTGGCGATATGGCTGCAGCACATGGTCTTCATCGCATGAAACAAAGAAATTCTCTTGGTCCCGCAAGAGACGGACAAAGTTACGCCGTTGTCCACTGTACGGGGTATATTAAAAATTGGCCCCCCTCCGGTGAGTTTGGTATGGTTTTACGTTCTACTTCTCATGGCATTTTAAAATGCATGCAAAGTAGATTGAAAGAAATCGAAATCAAAAGAAAATGTTCTTCATACAAAATTTTAACTGCATTTTAACTGCATTTATTTTTTCAATTTCTTTTTCGTATTTGTAAACATTTAAAAAATTATACAACTTTTTTAAATGTTGAAAAATTATTCATATTCTCAGTATGAATTTTAGAAACACTTGCTTTGAAAAACTTTGCACTTTTTTTAATTATCCTATGACGAAGAATGAACTGACATATTATTTTGCGCTGTAGGTGATTTTGTTCCTCAATGTGTACCAGGTGTGGGGTTAGGTGACAGGGGCGGTCAACCTGGACCGGATGGTGTTGTCGGTGATGATAACTCGACACATTATTGTCTTGTTGCTATTGGGAGATTACAAGTTACTAGTACCCCGAATACAAGTGACTTGGCTGGCTCCAATAGTAATAGTGGTGAGTCTTTTTCTTTTTTCAAAGACATTCGATTTACAATGATTTTTTTATTCAAAAAATTACTTTTTTCTCTTTTAAAGAATTCATCTCTCGTCACACTGAGGAAGGGAAATTTACTTTTGTGGATCAGAGGGTTGGTGGAATTTTAGGATATTCACCGTCCGAACTTTTGGGTCATCCTTGCTACGAGTTCTTTCATCCGGATGATCTTCCTCATATGCGAGGCAATTTTGAAGAAGGTGAGAGAATAATATTTTTAGAATTTTATAATTTTTCTTTTCAACTTTATTTAACTTTATCTCAATTTCTTATAGTTATAAAAATGAAGGGACAAGTATATGCATGGAATTATCGGTTTCGAGCCAAAAATCGCGATTGGGTATTTTTAAGGACATCTGCTTATTCTTTCGTAAATCCATTCACCAACGATGTGGAGTATATCGTCTGTACAAATCAATTACTTAAGTAAGTAGTTAATAAAATTTAATGGAATAGAGAAAAGAAAGTGAAACTGAAATTTGAATTTAATTTTTCTAGACATTTCCATCCTGGAAGTGAAGGGCAACCGGAGAATGAAACCGTGGCTTATGGTCAGCCTGGATTGGACTATTCTCTTCAGAGACATCCAACTCGTGATGCAATTTATCCTACACAGCATATGATGCAGCATCCAGCAGCCGTAGCTACTGCAGGTATTTATTATTATTATTATTATTATTTGATATTGAAATACATAGTTTATGTCAAGATAGTGGTAAATAGATAAAAATTTAGTTACAGGTCCGCAACAAGCCAGACCGTCAAGCACACAGAATGTTTATCAAGGATATGAAACCACACAATCTCCAATCGCTTATGGTTCCCCTGGTCAGCAGAGTGCATCGTCTTCGGTTTTGAATCGAATACAGAAACCAACCAACACTTCTCCGACACCTGTTCAACAATCTTGGGCTATTGGTCGACAGGTGATTTTTTTGTCCACCTTTTAGTGTTTCTTGAATTTATTTTCCAATGAAATAACGAATGAAATAATTTTATTTTTACAGCAACCTGTGACGGAAGGTTATCAGTATAGTCAATTAAGTCCCTCTAGATCTCCGAGTGGTCCGACGTACACTCAACTGAGCAGTGGTGCGAGAACTCCTGCTACACAATATCATGCTGTTACAACTGTGCCTAATAATCCAGGTAATTCAGTTTATAAATTATAACTGCAAGCAATTTATAAATAAAAATGAAATGAATTTTTTTAAGGAATGTGGGGATGGCAAGGACAACAGCATCAAGCACAACAACAAGATAATGGTCAGAATTCCGCTCAAGTAACTGGACAAGCTCAACAGTCTCACGCCACAGCAAATGCACCTGGTCCCCAACCTCAAGAGTTGTCTGATATGTTGCAAATGCTCCAGGATCAAGGAGGAGCTTCTGGATTTGAAGATCTGACCATGTTCAATGCCAGTTTTTAGTAGCAGGTAAATAATTAAAGTGAAAAAGCTCCTGTTCAATAGAATTCTCCAATTTTTAATTCGTCAGCGATTGTTGCGATAATTTGCAATCACTTCTTATAAATTAGTTAGTGAATCACCAGCTCTAAGTTTTACGCTGCAGCCCAAGTAAAAATGCAAATTACATTGCACAATAACTTTTTTTCAAAATATTTACAATGCTCGACAATTTGTCGAGGAAACCGATTTTTTATACGTATCGCATAAAAGTATAAATAATGTCTTGTAGTAAATATTGTCTGCTCGTGAACTCTGGTAAACGATTATTTACGAAAAAATGAACGAACGTACGAGTGTGTTGAAATTTCTGTAAAAGTGCCATTAGTAGTATGGACTGGAAATATCGCTTAAGATTTGATAATTCAAACATGTGTCGATTTAAAGTAATCATGATTTATAGCAAACATGGATGATCGGAGCCTTTAAATATTGTTATATTTATAGATAAGTCGGTAGCCACTTTTAACGCTGCATAGGCACCATCTGTGAATGACATTGACTATTATATATAAATATATATATATATATATATAATTCCTATTACATTCGTAATTACAAGTACATAGTTAAACATTAGTGAGTAATTCTGAAATTTTGAGCGACATTTTATCGCCTCAATTTAAAACAAAATTTTGCAAATGTGTCACGCAAAAATTTTTAAACACATTGTTTTTTTAGTTCTATTGACTCGCAAAGAAAAATGATAAATCAAAATCAACCAGAGAATTCCCATTGATTTATTGAAATTTCTTTAATACTATATATTTTTAGTAAAATTTTTCTCAATTGTGTGGTTGTTTTTCGAAAAAAATGTGAATGAATTTCGTATGTAATTAGTTGGTATTATGAGATAGTTTTATCAATGAGCATTATTCATCTGCGCTTATTATAAGTGAAATCATAAAATTATAAATTTGACAACGTCAGAATTTGTGCAAGTATAATTTCTCCCTTCCCACTTGATGGAATTATAATTTATTTATAAATAGAAATCATTTTTTGAAATGCTCGCGATTATTGGCGTTCATTGCTTAGAATAAGTTTAATAATAATTTTAAATTAAAAACCTGACTGTAAGCAGTGCAATCGTTAAGAAATACATATTATTATAAATATATTTCCAAATGTTCAAAGGAATGTACAAAATTATGCAAACTGTTTAGTCTCACCTAGATATTCAACTTGAAACAATTAGTGTAGGATTTAACATCCTATTTTTTTAAAAATTTCTCAAAATTTTTAATTTTTCATATTTTTTATTGTAATTATAAATTCCCAGATATCTTGGAAATATTTCAAAACACACATAAGAATATTTGTAAGTCTTGAATAGTTTGGAAAGATTAACTTCCGATAACATATCACAAGAAATAAAAATGAAATCTTTGTCGCAAACTAGGACTTTTAATTATTCCAAATTTACAAAATACAATGTATTTAAAAAAAATGTCTGTATCTACAAAATTTACAATTTGAGCTTAATAGCCGAGATTTTGGATTTGTCCTTTTTTTCAGGCTTTTTGCTCGATTTTATTTTAATTAAACTCTGAACTTCATCTTGTAATTGATTGAAGAAGGCAGTCGAAGATTTTGTCGTCTTATGATCTTTTTCGTCCATTTTTATAACATTTCGGCTCTTTGTTAATTTCTCTACCGCCTTAGCCGATTCCTTGTTTCGTTTTTTACGAACTTCAGACACAGCTTTAAGTTTCTCCTTCGCTTCTTTAGCTTCTTGAATTTCTCGTTGTTTCTTTTTCCTTTTTCGAACTTCGCGTTTCTTGTCTGTTTTTGTTCTTTCTCCTTTTCCAAGATAATCTCCGCGTTTTTTGGCTGTAACAAAAAGTTAATAATTTAAAAATACGTAGTCGAGTTTTTAAAATAATTAAACAACAATCGGAGATAATATTACCATGAACTTCCTCAGGAGCAAGCAACGTTGCATCACTTGTCGATACTGGAGCTACTTCTTCCATGCTGACAGCAGGTATATTACTGACAATCTTAAGTTCTGGTTTAGCCTGAAATTTAATTAAAAATAATTTTTTTTATGTCTACAATACCTTAAGAAAACTATTAAATCAATAATAATTTTACTCACTGGTATAGGAGTGTAATGATAATTAGAAAGCGCGTCCAACTTTTTCATTACTGAATGCATCATTTCCTTTATTTCAATGTGTTCCTTAGGTTCAGCCTCTTCAGTATTTTGCTCCGGATCCAAAGCTTGCTTTTGCTTGACATATTCCTTCTCATAAATTTCTGCCAAACTTAATTTACTTTTCTCCTGATCCATTATTAACTTCTTTTTATATTCAGTTGGTGTTTCTACTGGTTTTATTTTTTTCTCTACATCGTCCCAAGCTTTATCTTTTATTCTCTGTCGAATAATGTCTTCCAAGTCTAGAGTACATTGTTCGGTAATAATTGGCGGTGGTCTAGAAACAACGTCAACTTCTACAAAGTCTTCGAGAAGTGAATTTTGCGGTCGATTCGAAGCACTAACTTCTCCCTTTAATTGCCATGGTTTCTCGGATATAGCTTCCTCTTCTAATACTTTAATTTTTTTATTAATTCGTTCCTGTCGTTCTTCAAGCGAGGATTTTACTTTCTGTTTCTCTAGCTTTTCAGAATTATCATCTGACTCATTTGACTCCTCGGAATCGAGAGGTAAGTTAAACTTGACTCGTTTTGCTGCTGGAGATGTTTGTTCTTCAGAATTCTCCATCAACTCACCATCTGATTCTAATTCTTCTTCATTAGAAAAATTTCCTTCTTGCTGCGATTGTTCTTGGTTATTTTCTGTTTCGCCATCTGATTCAGGACTGTCGAAAAAATCTGCATATTTAACAAGTCTTCCATTCTGTGTTTCTTCGTTCTCATCCTCGTCATCGGAGAAATCATTAAATAAATCAACAAACTCATCATCCGAGGTTACCTTCGTTTTACTCAAGTTCTTTGATTCTTTTCTATCTTCTCTGTTTAAATATTCATTTAATTCTTGTATTTTAAAAAATTTATCATCTACTATGGAAGGTTCTTGTTTTCGTTTTTTTGTTTTGTTCATTTTACTGTTGGTATTTGTACTTTCAGATTCACTGCCTGAATTTTCTTCTGCGCTATTTAATTTATCGTCAAATTCTTCATCACTCATTTCTGCTTCATCATCATCATCATCATCATCATCGTCGTCGTCATCATTTTCATCTTCTTCAGACATTCTTTTAGAATTCTTTTTTGATTTCAAATCATCCAAAAATTCCAGAGGTTGTGTTAATTGTTTATTTGATAAAAGTTTTGATATGTCAGCTATTAATGCTGGAATTACATGATCATTCTGTAATTCGATTTGCTGCCAAATTTGTTCTTCATCAAATCCATCAATTATTAATTCCGGAAGAGATTGAGCTTCATTGTCTGTTTTTTTCTTTGTAAAATCGTAAAGAATTTTTGTTGCTCGTTTGAAGGATTTTGCTGCTTTATCCTGAACGCTGAAATTTAAAATTAGTGTCTGTTTATTTATAGAACCAAAAACAATTATAAAAATTCAATTGATAAAAGAACTAGATTTAAAATTTTTAATATCGACATGTATTTTAAGAAATTTGCTATATCTATTAGACTAATACTTTGAAAAATATAGAAAAACTAGAAAAATATCAAAAACCTAACCTATTAACAACAAAAAATTATGTTTTTTGAAAACTTACTTGAAAAATAATGTTGGGTCTGAAGTATTATCTTCGATTATAGATAGAATACTGTTTATAAAACTTTCACTGGTCATTTTGAAAGTTTCATTTGGTTTACAAGGCAATTATTAGTATTTTATTTTTTATAATAAATAAAAGTTTAACTTGACATTCAACACGTGCAAAATCGGAAAACATTTACTGCGCATGCGGTTTACTTTGTTAGCAGACGACAAAATTTAAAGGCTTTAAAGGAAGGAAATTGTTTGTTTTGTGTTTTCTTGGTTTTCTTAGAAATTTTAAAAGAAAATATCCGAAAAATATTATAATACTGTATGAAAATAAATTATAAAATATATAGATTTTGAAACTAATGTAAATAATGAATCATTGATATGTAATAAAGTTGAGAATAACTTTGTTTAAATGATACGACACATCGGATGACAAGTGGTGATAAATGACAATTATTTAATTTATTCTCTTTTCATCAATGATTTTAAGGACTTTAAGTAAGTAAAATTAATGTAGTATACAAAAATTTCATTATACAAGAAAAAATTTACATTTATTTAAATTTTAATATTTAATAATATCTAAATTTTGATATTTTGTCAGGTTAAATTGTTTCCTCTGGGTGATCGACATTTTCCTATATCTCAGTTTTTAATTAATTTATGACAATGATTGGAATGCGAATGAATGCATTTAATGATGCGGGTATTGGAGAACCAGAACAAGATGCAAATTCAGCTCTCATAGAGCTAGATAAAGGTATAAATTTGATTTAAATCTCATTCTAATCTCTATTGTACACACGATTACAAGATAATGTTATCAATTATATTTTTCAGGATTACGTTCTAACAAAATTGGAGAACAATGTGAAGCAATAGTTCGGTTCCCTAGACTTTTTGAAAAATACCCTTTTCCAATTTTGATAAACTCCCTCCTCTTGAAACTGGCCGATGTATTTCGCATGGGAAGCAATTTTTTAAGAGTTTGGGTTCTAAGAGTCTGTCAGCAAAGTGAAAAACATTTAGACAAAATATTAAATGTTGATGAATTTGTCAGACGGATATACAGCGTTATACACTCCAATGATCCAGTTGCCAGAGCACTCACTCTCCGAACTTTAGGCAGCATCGCAGGCATAATTCCTGAACGCCAACAGGTTCATCATAGTATTCGTAGATCTCTAGACTCTCATGACTCTGTTGAAGTTGAGGCTGCAATTTATGCAGCTCAAATGTTTGCTGCACAATCTAAATTATTTGCCGTTTCAATGTGCAGCAAAATCTCTGACATGATTAGAGGACAAGCAACTCCTGCTTCTATGAAACTGCAACTTATACCAATTTTGCAATATATGCATCACGATACTTCAACTGCTTCAATGGTAAATTATTGATGTTCATAAAATAAAAATATCGTAATTCGGTTTTAAAGCTGTGCATTTGTAGGTAAATGAATTATGTATGGAACTACTGGGAAGTTACCCAGCAGTGGAATTTGTGAGAGTAACTCTCAGTGCATTGACGACTCTAGCTTCTGCAACTTTAATAGACGTTCCTGGTCAAGTGGCTCTGCTTTTAAAATATTTGCATGATGATCCACGGTTATCCATTAAAAGACACGCGCTTCATCAACTACATTCTTTGGCTCAAAAAGGAGCTCATCTTTGGCCTCAAGGCGCTCTTACGAATTTAGTCGGTATGTTGAATATTTCAGATATATAAGATATTTCATGAAACACTAAAAATTAAAATAAAAATTTTTAAAAAATTTATTTACAGATAGTACAACAATACTTTTACAAGAAGGGACGGCAAATTCTGATCTTTTGGTCAGAACATTAGACGTAATAGAGGTAAATCACTAAATCAAGTACGAGAGTAAATAATATTATTCAGTTTTGAAAATCATTCAGTTTAAAAATTTCAATTTAGGTTTTAAGCCAGAGCGCAATAACTTGTGATGCTAACAGACTAGAAGACAGTCCTCTTTTATCTCTTTGCCTGAACGCTTGTTATTCACCGGATCCTATTGTTGCTGTCAAAGCTGTTACAATTCTCGCTAGAATTGCTTGTTACTGGTATGAATAACAAATTTTGTTATTCAAATGTATTGAATGTATAATTTTCACTTTTTGTTATTTTCAGCTATGAAGAAGATTTGCAAGATTCAACAGCACTTTCAAATACAAGAATAGAGGAAGTAATTTCTTGTCTCGAGTCCCTAATTATGCTATTGGCGCTCGATGATAAATACTTGTATCAATTAAAAGTTTGTTTACACTCAACAGTGAAACTTTGTCAAGCACATCGCAATCATTGTCCCGAATTTGTCGATGCAATTGGTTCTACCTTGATTAGTGAGAATTCAGAAAATCGACAAAGTGATAATCAAACCATCGCATTGTGTGAAGCTTTAGGTGCCATTGGAAGTCTTGGAGAAAATATTCTTCTTCCTCTTCTTCCAGATATTTTAGTGAAATTAAGACAAACCACACACGCTCATATAAAGGTTAAAATCTATTTTTTGCAATATTTGTTTTTATCTGTCTAGCGAGTTAATAATTTATTTATTTTGATTAATGATTAATGACTTTTTTCTGCTTTAGTCAATGCTTTGTACTCTTCTTTTCCAAATAATCGCTTGCGGTCACGAGTGGAATGTCGAGTGTTTAGAGGAAATAGAAAATGTCATAAAGAACGTCGATGGTTGGACAAAATATCGAATTGGACGGAGTGCTGCAAGATATGGACATCATGAAATTGCTACTCGTATTTTTAAAGAATTGAAAGAAGCCGTTGCCTCGGAACAATTGCATTTTTGGCTTTCTGGATTGGAACTTGTGACAAATGCCGAAGCTCATTTAATGTAAATTTGCTTTTCCCATATTTTTCTCATCTCTTTCATTTATTTTTTCTGTTTTTCTATTTCTATTTTTTATTTATTCTAACTAGGGAAGAAATGTGCGAAAGTGAATCCAAAAGTAGTATTGTGGAAAAACTGAACGGAGCGATTTCACGTTATGCGAGCGCTTGCGCTTCTTTGAAAGCTGCCAGTACTCCTCTTCGAAGTCTTCACTTCCGAAGTGAATATGCAAAGCTTCGCTGTGAATTTCTCCAGGCTTTAGTGCAACTTTTGCATGCTTGCAGGCAAGAAAACTTGAAATATATATGTATTTCAATTTTAATGTGAATCTATTAATCACTGCTATCTTTAAAACAATAAATTTTCATTTTTTTGTAGATGTTTGTGCACTGCACCTCCATACGCAATCGCAGGTCATGAAGCTTTAACAGTTAAAGACGATCTCCAAAGATATGGTCGAGTTACCTTCCAAGTACGTTAAAATTAAAAAATACAAGCTTACTTTTAACTTTAAAAGACAATCAATAACTATTTTTTCTTTTTCAGCTTAGAAAATCTGTTCAAGAATTTAAAAATTGTGCCGAAAATTACCAGAAACTTTATGAATCTGCTTTTGATGCTGACCCAGAATCTCTTGACAACATTCGAGCGTATCCTTTTAAATATTGAAACTACTATTTTTTAGTAGACATTAGTTTTAGCAAATATTTTCCTTAATGCTTTGCAGTCTTCAAGATATGTGTCAATTAATGGCAAATAGTGTAGAGCGTGTTTGTGGAAAACCTACCGTATTTAACATCTATCAACCGAATGAGGGTGAATTTAATTTTGGTACTACGGTAGAAATGCGTCAACTTTCTCGATGCTGCTCAAAACTGAGACAATTGGCGCCCTCGAATGAATTGAATCAAGTTGCGGGAATAACTCACTTGAGAGTGAACTGTCTTATATCCCAGGTGTCTCTATTGGCTGTGGGAAAAATGAGACTTCCAATACCTCGATATTTTTTCCAGTCTCTGCAAATGACAAGTGTCAAATTGTCAGTGTCGCCACAACCTCGAGTTTTAGGCGAACCCGTCTCTGTTCCCCAGGGAAGTCAATTGGCTTTAAAAGTGGAAGGTGTATTGAGACATGGACCCAAACCTTATCTGTTTCGTTCCGTCAGTGCTGTTCGTATTTCGATTTCCTCTACGCCTCCCTCGAAAATTAATTCGGACCAAAAGGTATTTAATATTAAATAAGTTGACATACTTTGTAATAAGTTGATAATTTTGTAATTAAATTTCCAAATTCCTAGGATTCAAATATCAATGAGTTGCAACAAACGGTAATACCTCACAGAGATTTCTTCGCCTGTGAATTTCTCTTATCGCTCGGTAGCCCCGTTGCAAACGCAAATAGTTGTACGAGCAATTCAGGAGGTGGTGGAAATTACCAAGTGACTGCGAGTGCAAGTTTGATTGACAAAAGTGGCAACATTTGGAAATGTGGACCCCGATCGACACTTCAAGTTAGAGTCCACGAAGAACCGACGAAACGAAAGATACCTTGACTTCGAGGTTTAAATCACTTTGGATTCGGCATATGATAAACAGTAGATAGGTATGAATTATAATCAAATAAAAATATTAGGTATAATTAACAGCACAGTCATGTCGATCTGACACAAAATATTCATTTTCGTGTCACTTGACTTGAATTTAGTTTTTTAGTTTAAAAATAAAAACATTTTAATCTTGGTACGGACGTCGTAAATTTTAGTTATTGGTTCAAAATTGATAACAAACGCCTTTTTTGTTTTAAATTTTATTCGTATAAAATATTTATATTTATATACAATATAGCAAAATGGAATGTATATGAACTTCAACTTGTGCATCATTGTACAAGTTTTAAACTGAAATTCACAATTCGAATGTTTATAATTCTGTATTTACAATTTACATACTTTTATAAAAAATTGAATATTTCTACAATTTGTGACACAATTTTTTCTATTTAAATTTTAAATTCAACTAATAGTTTAATTTTGAGATTCACTACAAGAACTACAAGACTTTAAAAAAGTCTTTCTTGCCTCCGACTTTCGAAACCAATTCTATTCCTGAAATTTTCATGGTATTTGGTGCTGCAGCAGCTTTACACATATCATAAATGGTAAGGGCTGCAACGCTTACTGCAGTAAGAGCTTCCATTTCGACTCCAGTTTTTCCAATGCATCTAACCTCAGATAAAATTTCGACTCTCTCCAGATCATCATTTAGTGTTAACCATACATTCGCATAAGTTATCGATAAAGAATGACACAGGGGAATTAAATCTGCAGTTTTCTTTGTAGCCATTATACCTGCCAATTGCGCAACGGCAAGTACATTTCCCTTTTTTATGCTATTTTCGTTTATCAATTTCATTATCGTTGGGCCAACGTAAATATGTCCTTGGGCTTGAGCGATTCGTTTAGTTGTCTCTTTAGATCCTACGTCCACCATGTTACACTTTCCAGTTTCATCAACGTGTGATAAAGTTGAATAACCCCTTGAGATGCTGCGAGAATCTAGGAAATGTCTTTTTGTACTAAAAATTTCATTATGCAATTTCAATTCGATTGTATATGAATTATTTTCTAGCTTATTAGTAAGTGACTCGTTATTTATCTCTTTTTGCACTTTCTTATTATGCTTCCGCAGTAGTCTTCTGATAAAAGCTGCAAAATAAATGTTTATCAATGATTTGTACTTTTCTGATGGTAAATCAAATTAATCAATTCATATTTAATTAACCACCGATGAGAATCATTGGCCGATTTTCCATTTTGCTCAGGTTAAACATTCCTGTAAGAAGTGTTAATTATAAATTACAATTTAAATCATTTTTTATAGACAATATTTTTTATTTATAGATAATTTATTTTACCAGCATGTTGTTTATTCTTTTGCATAACAGCTGATTTTATCAAGTTTTTCAAGTCGTTTTTGGACATACAGTTTCGAATAGCATCTCTTAATGAAACTTCACCTTTTCCTTCAAACAAACAGACTTTTAAATTCCCATCAGCTGTGATTCTTAACCGATTGCACGATGAACAGAAATTTTGACTCATGGAAGTAATAAATCCAATTTGTCCTTGGAAGTCTTGAACTTTAAACGCCTAAAAAAATATTGTTTTGATTTCAATACTGATTTTTTAACTATAATTAAAGTTTCAAAAAGAATATTTACCTTTGAGGTGTCGTTAGGTTTGTCAGAAATTTTTTCCAGTTCAGGAAATTCTTTTTTAATAATTCCCAACATTTCATTAAAGGAAACCATTTTCTTCTCCTCCCATTCATTTCCAGAAAATGGCATGTACTCGATAAATCGAACATCTACTGGTTTATCTCTAGTAAAATTAACAAAGTCCACCAGTTCGTCTTCATTAAATCCTCTCAATATGACGCAATTCACCTGAATTTAATATTTAGGTTAAAATTAAAATTTTAAAATCATAAATGACTTTAAAGATTTATGATTTCTTTTGTTTAAAGTAAATTACTTTGACTGGATTATATCCTAACTGAACTGCCAAGTCTATAGCAGCTATTACTCTAGACCAACCTCGTCTTCGAGTAAATTTCTCAAATCGAGATTCTTTAAGGGTATCTAATGATATGTTCAGACCATCCAAACCAGCTCTTTGAAGTGACGGCAGCTGACGTGTTAATGTCAAACCGTTTGTTGTCATTGCAATACTCTTCAGACCTTCAAACTGCTTCAACCCAGCTGTAAAAATTCACTATTTATATTTTTTTTCGTTTTCTTAAACATCAAGTTTTACAAAATAATATTTACCAATAATATCCACAATATCTCTACGAACAGTAGGCTCTCCTCCAGTCAATCGGATTTTTTTAACACCCTCTTCAACAAAAATATCTGCTATTTTAAGTATTTCATCCGTGGTAAGAATATTATTTCTAGCAGATAGTTTTACACCTTCAGCAGGCATACAATACAAACCTGAAATGAAATTAAAAAATAAACTATTGTATTGTAAAATTATAAACGTTAATATTTTCTAAAATTCCCATTACATCGAAGATTACAACGTTCAGTCAGTGATATTCTCAAGTAATCATGATGTCGACCAAAGGAATCATTCAGTACATTTTGTTCGACATTTTCTTTTATTTTCTCCCGGAATTTTTGAATCTAGAAAGGAAAATAAGTAATTCACAGGAATTTAGTAAACATAAAATTTCTTTTAAATAAATAATTAAAAAGTATTCTTACTCTGGGTGATATGCCAGCGACTGTGGCGAATTCAGAAGCACATATTGTTGCAAGTCTTTTAGTAATAAAAATTGACCGAAACATCTGAAGATACAATAAATAGAAGAAAAATAATTGATTACAAAAATCGAATATTATTTCTGAATAGACGTAAAAATAAGGAAAAAAGAAACTCACCTTATACTCGTATTTTACTTACAGCGCAGAAAATAAACATATCTTTTTTTAAATGTATAAATAGAATCCTATTAAAGTGTAAAACAACAAAATAATAAGGAAATTAAAATTGACACGTGAAATAGTGAACACGTGTTTTTAGAAAGTAAAACTTGTCCATTAACGTTTTTTGTATTACTGATAATTATTTTAAATTTATCTCGTAAGAAAATCTTATAGGACTGACAAAAAAAAGCTGATTACGCTTATTAGACATATCTACAATTTATTTACTCGTACAATCAGAAGCAAATTAAAAAAAAAATATCATATCACGCTTTCTAGAGATAATGCTGGATAATGCTCATACCTAGTTGACATAAATTTTACAATTTACATAACTGTCAAATTTATTTCGTAAATGGTTATTGAGTTCTTTTAATACAATAAATTTCTTTTTTTTTTAGCTTTTGTTATGTAATTTACTTAAATGCATAGTAAATGCAAGTTTAATGAAGTAAATTAAGTAAATATAGTTTAATTTGGTTATGTCAGTGATAAGAATTTAGTCGTTTCTTTATCTAAGGTTGTCATTCCTGCTCATTGTGATTTCTATAAAAATTTTAATTTTGAAAGTGAAGTTAATAATATTCAAATCGTAATGTTAATTACAACTCTTTTCTAATTAGAACAAATTTTTCAAAGTTAATTGATAATTCAAATAAATAACAAGTAGAAAGTAAAACAATTGAAACAATATTGAAGTTAATTTTTCGTACATTCAAACTTCAGTGCCTTCAGTGTGAAGAAAACAAATGCACTAATTTGATTGGTTTGACCAGTGAAATCTTTTCCAGTGTTCTTGTGGACAGCCAATCATATTTGTTTCTAGTCTAGTTTAAAAAACAGAATTTTTCCAGGTTTTTAAAACAAAAATTAAAAGTATGATTTCTAAAATTGCGGGGATTTCTAATTATAATCTAAAATTTTAATTGAAATTCATTTTTAAATCAATATTTATTAGAAAATTCTACGAGAATAGAATTCAAATTATTTAACTACAAAAATAAATATTTTATTAAATAATTGAATGTTTCTTAAAATTAATTTTGGGAATTTTTATTAAAGTAGGTATATTAGATATTAAAAATCATTGAATTGAGGAAAGTTTTTGAAAATAATTATAAATTTTTTTTAAATAATTGAGTTTTTGAGAAGAATTTGACTACTTTTGAAAAATAATTAAATTTCTGCAATCATTTGTAATTGCTTCAAAATTCAATTTATTTTAGTGTTTTTAACTAAAATTCTTCTATAAATCCATTATTTTTAATAAAACTAGTTAATAATATAATATACGTATTAAAAAATTTAACTAATTTCAGAAGAATTTTAGTTTTAAAATTTCTAATTAAATTTCTTCTAAAGTTCATCTACTTGTAAAAATTAACTTGAATTTTAACTCTTTTGAAATTAGCGATAAATTAGAAGAAAAATGTTTCTTTTATTGTTAGAGTATTGTTTTTTTATTTTTTCTTGAGGTACACGACCGATGTCATTACATTATCGCGATTATGTAATTAATTTCTTTATTATTTCAATTTAATGCTTCATTAATTATATATTCTCAGTAATACTTACATTTATAATTATCATACTTTCAATCGAGTCAACAACATATATATTTTTTATTTATTTATATGTATACATAAGTATCGTGTAATTATGAAGTGGATGCATTGCACTGTAGATTATAACTTCTATTTCATGATACACGAAGCCTTTTTTGCTTTCGAGGAAAGGAGATGGAATCTTTAAGTTCACCTCCCTTATGGCTGTATCTGTTAAAAATTTAAAAAATTCATACATTTAAGAGTTCCATTTCGAGCACGATGTTTTAATATTCAATATTATGACTTAGGCCCGAAAAACACATCTACAACTATGAATATAATTATTTCCTCTATTTTGCGTACATTAATAAAAACGCTACAAATGGAAGGTGAACTTATACAAGAAATTCCAATATTCGCACTCTTGATAAAAAGAAAATTGATTTTTCATCAAAAGCACGTATATTTTTTTTTTTTTTTTTAAATGTGCTGTCGCCAATTTATACATACATATCTCTTTTAAATAAAACTAATCGTTCCTATTATTCTATTAAAATTCTGCTCGGGTGACATTCTTTGGCTTGGAAGTCTCACGAGAGGAAATTAAATGCAAAAACTATAAACAATTTCTCTGATTTCTTTCCATTTCAGAAGGAAATGCTACAAGTCGAAAGCCACGATTATTAATTAGCAAAATGACTAAATCTGACGCATCTCTAGAATCAGAGAGATAATAATCTTTAATTATTACGCAGAAGTTGAACATTGGTTTTCAAAATGAATGGGCTTTGCTTCTTAGTATTATATATTATTTTTGCCAGGATACCCGACATTACGTGTACACATATTCAATTGTTGATTTTCTTTTATGATCCACACAAACACGTCGCAGAGACTCGAGATTTTCTTGTAATTAACAAGTCGTTACGAAAAGGAACGCAGACATCGATTGTACTTTTTGTGAAAACTGAAAGAAAACTTGACAATTTCAATTTAGGTTTGAACAATTTTCAACTTTATATTATTTACAATTTTGAATTTTTCACCAGATGGACGTTTTCAACTTTAAATGTCGAACCGAATATGGAGTGTTTTCAATGAAAATTAACAAAGCATTGAAAACCTTATTGTCAAATTTGTTTCATTTGAAGATTTTTTTTTTTTTTATTTTTTATTTTTTTATTTTTTTTTTTGTAATCTAAAGGTATTTGTGCGATCAATGTCCAGCGTGAACCATTGATGAATACAATCACTTAACTTCCAGCTGATAAATTTAAAGCAGCTTCACGTCAGCGTACACAGCCAATAAAATGCATACAACGAATCATCCAAAAAAACAATTCTTACAAAATTTTCCTATTCGTTTTTTGAAATTCATTCAATATTTGCAATATTTGCAATAGTAGGAATTTTGTAGGAATTTTGAATTTTAGTTGAAATGTAAAATCGTAATTTAGTGATCAGTCGTAGGAATAACGCCAATATGTCTTAAAATTAATATTGATATATTATTCTCGAGATTTTTTTGCCTTCTTTACTTGAGATCTTCCACATCTCCAAGGAGATCGTCAATCTGCTCCTCCCAATCATCTTTTCCCGAATTCGTTGCAGTCGATTGACTCTTCCCCTGTCCTGGAACGACTTCAAAATCCTTGAGTTCCGCTTCCAATTCTCGTTCCCAATCTTCTTCTGCGGAGAGTCACAAGTAGCGTTGAAGTTTTTATTCCAGAGGACCACTGGACGTGTGTATGTGTGTATCTTTTTTTTATTTCTTTATTTCTTTATTTCTGTGTACGAATGTATGTTGTGCATATTGTGTTTGTGGCAATGTAGAGGATGAATGTTCGCTAGTTAATGCAACTCAAAATAAGAAAGAAACAAAATGAACGTCACTGCCAAAAAAGAAAAATATATGACGAAAACGAGAAGCGACACGCAAAAGACCAAAACTTCAATCTTAAGATCGATTCAGGAAAGAATTGTTGGTCTTTTCCAACTTGAATTATCAATTTTTAGATATTATATCATTTTATTGCCTAATTTTTCAATAATTTATCAATTTAAAACTGAATAATCCAACAATTCTTTGATTTTTGCTTCTGCAAATCAAACATATAGAGACCTCATTTTTTTCTACTTGATAATATTCAGCACATCTACGTTTAAAAGCAAAATCGCCTGAACGCACAAACTCTTTATCCATCGAATCACAGATTAACAACGATTAATAATTGACTGTTCATTGAGAAAGATAATATCAAGAGGAATAACACGAGTCGTCATGAAATTTGAAAAACGCGAGACATTGCAACGAAACTTTGGAAAGTGTATCAAAAAATCTTACAATAATTTCATTTCCCCCAAAATTATTATTCAAATTATTAACGATTTTATAATTATATTTCAAGTATGTTTGTTAAAACAATTTTAACATTTTTTGAATACCTATAGTCTTCTTAATCCGAAAAATAAAATAAATATTACAAAGAAAAAAATTCCGTGCAAATCTCCCGATTGATCTAATTTCTACAATTTTCTCTGAATCTTTTTGTATAATCTCCGGAAAAAGCTTTATATCGAGAGGTTTTTAAAAATTTTAAAGAAGGAAACATTTCAACACAAGGGCTGCAAAATTTAGCTCATAATTTTTGCACCGTACTTTTTAAAATAATTGCTAAAAATGCAAGCACGTCCTGCGCGCGAATTATTATCATTATTTTTCTTCTGCATTTTTTTAAGAAGTAGATAGGCCTGCAGTTTCTTCCTCACACTTATACCTTTCTCTCTTGTGATTATTTTTATGTTAACTCGTCTTTATTTAACGAACGATAAACTCTCGACATTTTAATAATCATGACAAATTTTACTGGCTCAAAAAAATATTATAACTAGGTACTTCTCTTATTTCTTACATAAATTTTATACTGCAACTGTTACTGATTTTTACTATTTTTTAATAATGTTAAGAAAAATTTTTTGGGTCAGTAAAAATTGTATTAGGTATCTATAGCAATCCTAAAAGATCGAATTGAAAATAAAATGACAGGAAATAGTTGTTAGATATTAACTTTGCTTAGAGCATAGTCCAAAAAAGAAATCAAATCTCACGCTTTGGCATTATTTTTTTTTCAAACTGTAAAAATGCGATTAAGCTATTTTTTCGACAAACCGAGCGTTCTTTTTTTTATTAATATTATTATTATATTATTATTATTATTATTATTATTATTATAGCCAGCATTGATATTTTTTTGTCGATCTTCGCGCACGAAGTCTATTTAATATACAATCGTGACATTTATTATCCCGTAAACACGTATTGTCATTCAACGAATTTAATATTCTAAGTTATAGTTTGTTCTTTTATTTATTTATTTTCTTTTATATAATAATCTTCGGTATTATATGTATTTTTACAACTTTTACAACACGGAGAGAATAAAGTGACAAGATAAGTATAGATGACAGACAGACGGACAGACAGAGAGACGACAGCGACAGACAGACGGACAGATAGTCAAATGTAATTTATCTTGTTTTGTTTTATTTTGTATTCCTTATTGATGCGCGCGTGCTTTCGAGTAATGATTCCATTAATTATTATTGTTAAATGCAGCACTCGTGGCTAAAAATGTATTTTCTAAAGTTGTAAATATTATACAATTATAATCCTGAACGTCAATAATCCAAATTTTTCGACTAGGAAGGTCCTTAAACTTTGTCTAGCTTTTCGACCTTATCTGACCCGATCGTGTCACAATCGTAAAAATGAAAGAAAAATCAAAATTAATCACGAATAACTATTTATCGATGAAAGGACAAAAAAAAAATATTGAAAATAAAATCCGAGAGCAAAAATATGAGTAAGTAAACAGAACAAAAGAGAATGGGACTAGCTGAGGAAATAAGTGCAAAATAAAACTCGATAATCGCTAAAACGATGTCGTTTCGAAGAAAAGAGGACTGTGCTTTGGATAATGGTACACGGGATTCTCCTCTTCTTTTAGGCTGTTGACAAAATAGAATAGAAGATTTTAAGCAAATAGAACAACTTTGGCAGTTTTCTTTACGAACCAATTCTAAACACTCGTTTCTATGCCTCTGATAAAAAATTCAGTAAAGCTCCAAGACAAATTTTATTGTGATTAACTCTCTCTCTCTCTCTTTTAACCAGAAGCGAAGAAATATGCAAGACATTCTTTCTCGGACAATTTTACATCATCCGAGGGAGAATATTTTTGTACTTCTCAAAAAAAAATCTTTTTTCTGTAATACGAAGGAACTTTTGCTATTTTTGTGTTGTGAGGTTCAACTAAAAGACGTCAAGAAACAAGAAAGCATAAACAAATCTAAAGCGAACAAAATCTCCACACAATGCCCCTACTTGACAATAAAAACATCGAGGAAACGTACGTGTATTCACATAATTTCAGGCTGTGTAAATATAAAGTACTGAGATTTTTAAATACTCACAAACACTCGTGTGGTCCACGATATTATCAGACAACTTTTTCAATTTCAACAGAATTTTGAATCGACAGTCAGAAAGAAATAGTTACCAACTGGATAATTTAAATTCCATTTCATGGAAATAGATAATAAAAAAATTCTTCCGACTGTCTATTCAAACTGCATTTACTATAAATCTGTTTCCGGTAAGCAAAACTCGAATTTAAAGAATTGTAAATATTAAATACGATTAGACAATTTTTACAGACTTGAATAACTATTATCTGACAAACTGAATAGAAATTATTAAACCATTTAAATTCAAATTTTGCTTATTAGATTACATTTAAAGGTATGCAAATTGGCAAAATTAGATTCACTAATTAGCATCCGATTGAATTTCGAAGTTTATGCAAAATTCGATTCTCTCAGATTCTCTTTTGCACAGCTTTAAATTAAAATTACTCAATTATAGTTTACTGTACCAATTTCCAATTGTGAAGTCATTGATAACGAGATTGTCAGTTAACGAATATACTGACCTTTTGGCGATTGTATCCCCAGTTTCTTCATGCCCTCTCTTACTTCTTGGATATCTGTATCTGAAGCTCGAACACTATCAGAAACAAATTCATGGCTTGGCGAATCCGCAGTTGCTAAATATTTCTTGGAGGATGAATCCACTTCAGTCGTTCCTTGAGCAGAGATCACTTGAACTGTTTGTCAGACAATACTTACGGCTAAGTAGAATGGTTTTTTTCTTTTCGCATGTATACAATGTTCCAAATTTCCCATAAGGTGTTATAATTATTTAAATAAAGATTGAACGTATCAAAATGTTTTAATACGTTTTTTGTCTTCATTTGATATCCATGGCAATTTTTTCAACGTTTTGATACGTTAAATTTAAATTTTATAGATTTACTTAGCACCTAAGGGGCCGTGGCCGTCCATAAATTACGTAAGTCACTTTTTTGGCAAATTTGACCATCCACCCCCCCTTCGTAAGATTTTTTACATACATTAGCGCCATTTTTTCTACGGTTCGTAACATTTAGCAGACCTACCCCTCCCCCCAAAATGTCTTACGTAATTTATGGACGACCCCTAATGGGAAAAATCGGAAAAATGTATTTTAATAGCAGTACATTTTCATAAACTTTTGGAGCATAATTTAAAACCATTTTCTGCTTCGAAATTATAAAAAATAGAAAATCTGCCTAAAAATGTGTGCATAAGAAAAATCATGCTCAACAAATGCATTTACATACTTCCACATTTAATTATTTAACTAAAAAAAATCAAATTAAAAACATTTAAGGAACAATAAAGCTCTGCATTTATTAAAATTAACAATTATAAAATACGCGATCAACAGAGCTTTCTATAAACATAGCTTTATGAAAAAAATTATATACATTCTAAAGATCATCTACATCAGCAAGTAGAATATTTTAAATATTTTTAAAAATTATTAACTTATATCTCTCTAAATTTAAATTAGTGAAAATGTTTACTAATTAGAATTAGCGACAGACTTTTTGCTCTTGAAAATAAATTTGAAAATAAATTCACAAAATAGATACATTATTTATCGTTATAGTAAATAGTGGAAAGGATAATTTCTTCTCTTTATTCTCTGTCAAACTAATTTTTCAATAAAGATTATTTTTTTCATCATAATAATTAACTTTCTGCAAATGAAATTGAATTAAATTTTATTAGTCCCTAAAGTTCTGTATGTTCAAACGAACGGATTATATTTTTTTCTTTTAAATTTTTATTGTAATAAATCATTACAATACATATATGAATCATGATTCTAAATGTTTAAATTTGTTTAAATTTGTTTAAACTTTCTAACTCTCTAAATTTGAATTAGTAAAAATGTTTACTAATTTTAATTGACTTTTTGCTTTTAAATTAGTAAACCTTACTCATAAATAGTAATTTCTACTAATTTATTAGTAAAATTTACTACAATTCAAGAGGAAAAATTCTGTGGTAAACATTTTTACTAATTTAAATTTAGAGAGAAGTTAATAATTTTTGAAAATATTCAAAAAATTTCGTTCATTTGAACATTCAAATCTTGTGGAACCAAGAAAATTAATAGGGGAGGGTGGTCCCATACCGACCCCCTAAAGTGCAAAGGCTGAAAATGTTTCAAAAATGTGTTTCTTTGTTTTCGTCAAAATTTTTTTGAGTAAAGGAACTATTTTTCAATGTTTTCTGATGATTGCCGAGGTTTCTGATTGTCGTTAATAAAAGATCTAAAGAAAAAGCAAAAATTTACGTTTTGAACTTTCTCAAAATGGGTGGTCCGAAACCGACCTCCCATTTTTTTGGGGGAAATCTCAAGAATAATTAAGATATCAAATTCTGATAGTAACGGATAGTAATTAAAATAAAATTCAACAGTCTGTAATGAACTGTTAAATTATTTTGACTTCATTTAAATACATTTTTGGACCTTTTTCTGAACAAAAAGTTAAATAAATGAATCATTAGTAACTTTACTCTGAGATTATTTATGTCTATAAGTTATGTTGACATAGTTAAACTTGAATTAATAATATTATTACTTTATTTAAATAAATTTGAAGGCCTTTTTTGAAATGATAATATAAATATAAATTGTGAAACAGTGTCTATAAATTTCCAATATAATAGCATAGCAATGGTTTTGCCTGTTTTAATTTTCGCCCTATTTCTAGTAAAATATATACGAATTTTGTTATTAATTTTTTTCGTTTTTGTACTTAATTGCTTCCAAAGATGTCGAAAAGTACAACGTTTCTTAATTCATATCGTCTTGTCAAGAACATTTTACAACTGACAATGAATAAAATATTTAACCAAAAGAGAATTTAAATATTTTATAAATTCCTAAAAAATAAAAGTAAATATGCAAATCTATCCTCACTTCATGTGAACAATAAGGAAGAAGAGAATAAACAATTAGAATGTAAAAATATGGGGGTCGGTTTCGGACCACCCCCACTATTTTCACAAAATGTTTTGCCAATCACTTATATCAATGGAATCAATTTAATTTGAATGTTGTGCGTTGAAGTTAAGGTCATACACAATCAAAATTAATTTCGTAAAAATTTTCCCGTATTCAAAAAACACTGTTAGCTCAAATTCCGTAGAGGTCAAAAATTAATTTAACCAATGCTAAAATCTAATATTGCTTGAATCTCCAAAATGCAATCAAACGCATTGATAAAACCTATGGCCCATAGTTGTTGGTGTTGTGAAAGTGTTCGACTGATGATACTGACGAATTCTTTAATGGTACCATCTTTAAGAAACATAAGGGGGTCGGTATGGGACCACCCTCCCCTATTCTTGGAAAATTGAATATTGATTATTGAAAAAAGTCAAAAATGATTCAAAGAAATTACTTGCGTTTGTGGATATCTGTATAAATGTCTAAATTGCATACATTTACTGTGCATTACTTTTCTAGTGGCATAAATATTTTTGCTCAACAGTAACTACATATAATATTAATTTAAAAAAAAATGTATTATAAAAGAAATCTAAAGTTACCTTGAGTTTGGTCGATGCTACCAGTAGATGTAAGAGTTTGAGAGGGATTACTTTCTGCTTGGCTCGCCATAGCATTAAGTTCATGACTTTGTCGAAGGAGGGATACTCGGTAAAAGTAATTACGCCAAAAGTTTTCTTCCGATATTCTGCGAATAAACAAATTAGATAGTTTCAAAAACCATTAATACTGTTACTGATCTATTTGAAAAAGAAAGAAAAATTATAAATTTCTGAAATATAATAAACTGAAGCAAAAGAAAATTCAAAATTCATTCAAAATTCATTCAAAATTCATTGAAATGACACTTACACTTTGGGAACCAGCTCGAACCTCATTTGTTCCAAGTTAGGGTCTAAGGCAAGAGTTGCTTGTGCCATCGGCTGAACAGCCTCGAAATCCCATGTAAATTCAACGCCTGGAGGTGGTGCTCTCACAAAATTGCGTTTATCCTGTACAAAGTAATTATCTTTAACTCTCAGAAGTAATAAAATTTATTGTTATTAATTTCTTCTAAACTTTTCCAAACAAAGCAATTCAAATTCTATATGGGAAATATAACTAGAAATTGGAAATGAGAAGACGAATTGATAAATTCGAAAAGTTGATAATTAAATTGCATAGAATGAAAATTACTCACGGTTGAAAGGGCTAGACATTCGTCGCGTAATGCATCTTCATTTGGTGCACCCACCCATGGAGCAACAGCTTCACCTTTTTCACTTGGTTTGGCAGCGATAAAAGCATCTTGTTCCTTGTTTAGTTCAGCTATCAGTCTCTGCAGAATAATAAAAAGTTTAATTAAAATTCTATTATTTAACAGGACTCGAAAAAATTAGAAAATATTTTCAAATAAAAGAAATGGCACTTTTCTCTCTCTCTCTCTCACATATTGCAATAAAAATTTTCTTTACTTTTTAAATAATTTCTTCTTTAAAGAAACTTTATAAGAAGGATCTGTAAATGAAAATTAATTAGAAAATTTTGATATTTAAGTCTTTGTTATTTAAAAAAATATGATTTATTTCTGATAAATTTTATTCTCGTCTTTGTGCCTAACAACTAGTTTTCATCATTTGTGTTTCTTAAAAAGATTCCATCAGTTCATCTTCATGTTAACAGATTATTCTCATTATAAGAGCAAAGATAATAATTTATAATCCACTGTATATGAAGAGATTATTATATTTCGTGAAAGCTATATACCTATATTTTTTATTTTTAATTGGAAAAGTCGTTAAGTTTTCATAAAGTAAAAGTAATAAGACTCTTCTAATCAATACTCCAAGAAAATATAGCTTCATTAACTTTTTTGCAAAAAAAATCTATTTACAGAATTTTTATGGTTTTGATTTTATATCCAGAAAAAAACCACACCGATTGTTTCGAATTTGATTTTTAATTCAAACAAATATAGGCAATCAAAGAGAAATTAAAATAAAATAAAAAGAAAAATGTACTAAACGAAGCTGCCGTGGAAGTTGCAGAGGCTATTGATCCATGAACGTTGTGCCAAAACAGAATTTTCTTGACGTAATATCCTAGAAGGTAGCATTCATTCTTAAAACTGATATTAATTTTTAAATTTCTAAAGCCCAATTCAAAAATAATATTCTCATCACAACATGTCTTTGCTCCAGATTTTTTCTTTTATTTAGAAACATAATATTTTTTTTATATTTTTAGCTCAAGACAATTTTCTTTAAAATATTTAATTCTGCGGTAGACAAAAAGGGTAAAAAAGTTCTTTCAACATTTTCAAGATAACTTTGAAACTAGAGGAACCATATTATTATTCTTAAAGAAAAGTTGTTTCACTTATGTGGCTAACGAGAAAAACTTGAAGTTCCTTTCTTAAAAGTCATTTCTTTTCTCATAAAAAAAAGAGTCATTCTCTTCTGTATTATTCATCTTACCTCACGAATATCCTCCTCTAGTTGAAGCTAAAAATATTTATTAAAAGGAATCTAATTAGTTTGGTTCACGATCTCAACGACCCTTATTGAATAATTTAATTTTCCAATTTTTAAAACTTCACTTTCTCATCCTCTTTGAAAAATATAATTCCTGAATAAAAAAGAATCCACAAATTATATTTATTAGCAAATGTTGAGTTAAACGCTCCTGTCAAGTACCAACGATTTTTCATTTGCATCAACTTCTATTTTCATCCGTTTTTCTTGAAAAGTAAAAATAAAGAAACTAATTTGTAATTTTTAAAGACATTGTAGATTTACAACTGGTATTACGAGGAAAAGAAAGTGGAATATGTTTAAAGAATTATGTAATTCGATTGGCATTGGCTTTTTAAAGAAAACAACTCGGTCAACAGGATGATCGTTGTGAGATGCAAATATATATATGTATATAAATATAGAACGCAATTGAAACGTCTAGCAAGTTCTAAAAAATTATCTCTAATAAGCATGGCAAATAAGCTTTTTTGAGATAAAATGCAATTTTCCGCAACTCATTTAAAATTATGTTTTGACTATTTACTGATTGCTTACAAGCAAAACGTCCTCCTTCGACGCAGTCGACGCAGTTATGAAAAAAACGGAGATCTCGCGGTATTCTAGGATAAAACCACTTTTATTTGCATGAAATCGATATCACTCTAACTTTTTTTCCACCATCCTGTATAGTTAACCATTTAATTACAATTTTTTTCATTTAAAAAACTTTCTAAGAAACTTTCAACTTAAAAATATATTAACAGAATTTAAAAATACCTATAATACAACATTAATAATTCCACTAAAATTTTTGAGTGAATGAATATTTTCTTTCGGTTTAAATATTTACATAAAAATTACTGTATACTGCGAAGACTGAATAATGTAAATTCAACATCTATGTACTTAGTTAATAAAATAATTAACCTTTTTCATATTTTTTTTAATTAAAATATTTTTTAATAAAAAACGGATTAAAATTGGCAACAGAAAATAGTAATATAGTTCATAAATAGTAACTTTATTAATATAGTAAAAGGATAAGAAACAAAAAATATAAAATAAAAGAAATGTTATTTGCAATTGAATCAAATATTTCATAAATCAAAATATCTCATGTGTGTTTAACCAACGGATAATTTGATTCTAGCTGGAAAACAAAAGTCTTGAAAATAGGAAAAAAATCTCCAGAGACTTTAATGTTGACAGTGAAAGAAATTTTGCTGTGACAACGAAAAATTGATTGCTGCAGTAGGAATTCGTTGTTAATGCCAAAAGCGCAACCCTCGAATTTTCTTTTTCCCTTATAGTAAAAATAACTTTTAACAAAAAAATAAAAATATTCGAATCTAATGAATTAAAGAGTTTTATATTTAAAAGTTTAAAAACCCCGAACAATTTGTTGCTATAGTTCTACCAAAAAAAGCTTATGTATTTTCTGGAGCAAAAAAGTTAATATCTACCTACTAATTTTGTACCTATTTCCGCGTTTTTTAATTAAAATTGAAATGAATTTTAACACCTAATTGATAGTGACTGATAATGAAACACTCGTTCCGAAAAATATTTCCTTCTTAGAAGATTAAGAGACAGAAACACAATAGAAAAAATTGATATGCGCAGACAAATGATGGTTTTTTTTTAATATTAGAATTAAAGTGAGCAAAAAAAATTTGCATACGTTTGCACCTTCTCGAAAATGTAGGTCAAAGTTTATTCTGACCTAAATGATGGTCGTGACGCCAGGCAGTTTCATCCCCACTAAAATAAAGTTTCGTGACGAAAAATGAAAAAACTCGGTTCACTAAATCCCGTTTTCCTCGAGATTACATATTTTATTTTTTAAGTGTCAAAACGTACTTTTCTCAAGAGAACCACAAAAAACTATTCAACTTTTCGATTTGACTCGTAAAGTGTACAGAAGTTGAACAACGCCAAGAGCAACCCACCACACATATTATGTACATTTAATTTATCAAAACTTATTTTAACAACGACATTTCAACATAACTTAAACTTGAAATGTGAAACTCATGACATGAAAGGATTTTATAAATTCCAGATCTATTCAGGTGATAATTCTTCGGAATATAATTAGAATAATAATATTAAACTATAATAAAAATTATAAATAAAACTTTGAGATTAACGATCATGAATTTGACTCGAGATCGTTATTTTATCTCCAAGTTTTATTTATAATTCGATTACCGAGTGATAAAGTCAAAAAATTATAAATACAAAAAATATTTTTCTACAAAATTTCAATTTAGAAAAATGACATGAAAATTTAGATCTCTATTAAAAATATGAGAAATGAAATACTTTTTCTTAAAAGTTTGGTCCTTTAATATAAATTAATTATTCTTATTTTAAAAGTACACGTAAAAAATAAACGTTCCATAAAAATTCTAAACTCAAGACTTTTTAACGTAATAATAAATACCGTGACCTCTATATATTCGACGCTCTTGTATTAAATCATTTTGCAATATATGCATAGTGAGAAGCACGCAAGGGTTTCATGGTGACAATACCTTTATCACGCACTATCATTAGTGCACAATAAAAGTTTTTTTCTGCCAATAACATTTTTTTCAAATTTTATTTATCTTTCAATAAAAAAAGAATAAATAGCGTGAAAGCATTTTCGCCAGTGTAATTTTCTATTTTTGTACATAATTAAAAAATTGTTCTTGTTTTATTTTTCTTATGTAAGATTCATTACGAATAAGATTAGTAATCAGTTAAAATAGTTGCCTTGAGTCTTTAGCATGCTATTAAACTTACTAGAAAATTGCCCTCCCTCGACATAAAATAATTGAATTTCCCTCGGAAATTAAGCTAAGGAAAATCTTTCAAGAGATTTCAATTCTTGGTAGTGAAGATTTTATTCTCGAAATTTTTTTTACTAAAGCCCTAGTTTTTTCCTAATGTGAGAAATATTATTTAAATACTCCAGTTTATTCACTATACATATAAAGAAAAATATTAAATATTTTTCCTAATTAAAAATAATATTTTTATATTTCAGTTAAAATGAATGAGTAAAACAATATTTTAACGTACGAGTGAAATATTTGTTTTTAAATTGCTTCTCTCGAGAAAGTAACGCTACATTTTCAAGAAGTAAATTTAAAAAATTAAGCCTCTTAAAAATTTCTTAAATATATTTTGCAATTGATGAGAATTTTACAGCGAAAGATAAAATTGAATAAGTACAGGGTTGCTACAGGTCAGGGAAATCAGGGAAAAGTCATCAACTTTTATTAAAAGTACTGTAAAAAATTATTACTTATGAATTATTTAATTAATAATTTTATTTAAATATTTTTAAATGTTTAAAAAAATTCAATTATGTTCAAAAAATTAAAAAAAATTCTCGTCAAAATTTCAATCCTGTTAATAATAAAAGAATTTTATTATTTATGAATATAATTGAATTCTTGTAAAGAACTTTATTATTTATGAAAATAATTGATTTTTTGCAATGAATTTTATCAAAAAATTTTAAAATACCTCATTGAATTCTCGCGAAGAATTTTATTAAATTTTTTTAAAATAATTAAATTGATGTGAAATATTGTATTACTTTTGGTAAAATTCTCTGAATTTTCCTGACTTGTGACAACCCTGTTAATCAAGATAAAATTTACAAAAATACTTTGCATTACAATTTAAATTATTTTACGTTACAATTTCTCTCTCTAAAGTAAACTGTAACAAATAGAATAGAGTATGTATGTATTTTACCTGATTGTGTACCTGTGTATTGTGTAGTGCATGAAAATAAAAAGAGGCGCATTATTGTCTTGAATCCATTATTTTTTGAACTTAAAAATTTAAAGTCCATGCGAGTGAAATGTCAACCTAGAAATGCTTATATGGAAACATAAAAAAGCATATTTTCTTTTTGAAAACTTATATATAAAAAGAGAAAGAACTTTACGTATTCACTGATATTGTTATTGTAAAATGTCAAAAATTGTCTCCCTTGACAGGAATATTGATGAAAAACTTTTTTGAATCAAAAATAGCTTCAGTCCCTAAAGTAAAGAAGCGAAAAAATCTAGACTGGAATTAAATATAGAAAATCCCCTGGAAGTATATTAAAGATTAATCTAGGAGAAGAAAAATGAAATAATACGAATAATCAATATTTCAATGGGAATGTCACTACAAGGTACGCAAAGACTTACTTGCCCTAACAAGGTCAAGGTTCAAAGCTGATTACTCGTTCAATGTCTCACTTATTTCTCTCTATTTTCAAATAAGGTGTGTCGTAATGACGATGACGGAAAATTACATTCAGAAGCCAAAGTACACTTAATTGATTTACATCGAGTTTACATTTTCTCAGAAGAAGTAGATTTGCAAAAGATTATTTGCAAAACTTGTTAACAGCAAGTTTTCTGTGCAATATGAAAATTGCAATTTTTATTTTTAACTAGTAAAATGTTTCTCAAAATTCTTTTCATTTTCCCTCGCATCTATAACAGAATTTGAGACTAATTTCAAACTATGAGTTTATGAGGATGGACAATTAATAGAGCTTGAAATTTATGGGTCATACTCTGATGGCTGACAATGGTGACCCGAAACCTTGTTATTATGCACTAATACCTGACAATTATAACATCTTCTCTCAGATGAACGATTAGCTTTGGAGTTAATTCTATAGACTGAGAGCGAGAGAGCGAGAGAGCGAGAGAGAGAAGATGTAGGACATGAAGATTGAAGAGTGAAGTTCAAGGCTGGCCTGTCGATTCATCAGTCGATTCAGGGGGTGTGAGATTGTTGCGACGTGTTGGCTGCAGTGGCTATTTTATCAGTAAAGTATCAGTTGATTTTAGCGAATACCCGTGTATTCGAATAGAGAATATTGGCCGAGTGTTGGTTACCCTTCTTCTTGTATGAAACTTGACTGCGGGTGCGTCTGTATAAGAGGGTGGCGTGCGGATCAATACCAACTGCCCCTATTCTTCAGCTATATACACAATCCCTCGCAAAGTATATAAGTGTCAAATTCTACGTGTTAGTGTCACTTGGAATCATTGTTCACGTGTCTCTGTAACAAAACTCATAAACTAAATATACAAAATTTTAAATTACTTTTCAAAAAAAATACTATTCCTTTTTTTCTCTTTCGAAATATTTCTATTTCTATTTCTATTTCTATTTTTATTTTCATTTTTATTCTATATTTCACGTTTCGAAAATTCCCCACACGCACTCAAAGAAAAAAAAAGCTCTTTGTCATCCTCCCTTTACAAGTACGAGAGAAAAGATTTTCTTATTTATCACATCAGTGGTAATATTATGTACATATCAAAATTCTCCATTTTATACTCAAATTCTGTATAAAAAGCTTGAAATGTGTTTAGAAATACCTAAATGAATAGTTTTTCAATAACAACAAAAAAAAGAAGAAATAACAATTGCTTTTAAACATCCATTTCTCTATTGACACTCAATATTGGAATTGTAGAAATAAAAATACCTGTGGGGTGTCTAAATTTTCAACCACAATTTTAGTTTTTAGTTTTCTTTTGTAACGAGAAAAAAACACGAGTGCGAAATATTCGCTTTTGAAAGATATTGTGGAAAAATAAAGTGATTAGCATTCACTTTTTTTTATTGAAGAAATCTATATTTATACATATACCTAGTCGTTGTATTTTCCCATATATTATTGTTCGCTTTTTTGTTTTTTAGATTTTAAAATAATTTTTCTTTTTAAATGTTTTCATTTTTTTAAATTAATACCTATGCTGAAAATCATTGAATTCTTGCTAAGAATTTTATCCAAAAATTTGAAAATAATTGAATTCCTTCCAAAAACTTTATTATTATTTATGACAATAATTAAAAATTCTTGTATGAAGAATTTCATCAAAAAATTTGAAATTAATTGAATTCTTTTGAAGAATTTTTTTTTACGAAAATAATTTAATTTCTTTGAATTTTTTGTATAATAATAATAATAATAATAAAAAATTGACTATCATGTTTAGCCCGTACTTTCAAATGAGTAAAGAAGTTCGTCTATACAATCGAAGAAAAACAATATTTGAATTATATATATATAATAATTTGAAAATACTGAAATGTTGAAATTATCAACTAATTAAAAGAGAATTATGAACAGAATGATGAAATAAAGAAAAGATAAACGAAATTAATTAAAACTGAAGTGAAACGAGTTAAAATTCTCTATGGTGTCTGACTATAAAGTGTCGAGACTACTGCCCTTATGAAAGAGGTTTTACCTTTTCCACTTGTTGACTGTACCATCAATTATTCTGAAACAACTCTTGCCTTACATAGAACATATGAAAAGAAATTGTTTTCTAAAATTTCTGAAATTTAGTTAAAGTTTCACTCCACCGCACCGCCAGTCCTTTGACAGTGAATTTTCAATAATTATTAAATGTCGCATCCTAAAATTCAATTAGTTGTCTAATTACTGTCTTTTTCCAACGACGAAGCAAAGTTAACGATTTTAACTTCCTTTTTAACTCTAAGAAGTTTCGAACCATACAAATTGATCCTGAATACAATTGTCGATAAAAGGAATAGACGTATTTGATGAGGAAAATACTGAATGCGTTGAAAACTTATTCAGTTAATTGAGAAATGCTATATCGGAAATATCCATTCAGTTAAATATGACACAATGGTTTGTACACAATTACTCGTTTTTTTTTATTAAGAGGAGTAGAATTTTACAATAAATTTTAAGTCTTATATAAAAGAGAGATCAAAAGCGTAAGTCTTATAAATCTGATAGAGAATTATACAGATCAAATTGAGACAAAAACGACAATTTTTGTCCTTTTTTTGTCTCAATTTGATATTCTTAAAAAAGGAAAAATTTGATTTATATTTGAAAGAATTCGTCAGATGTCAAAGTGCAAGCTTTTTAATTAAAGTACAGCATCTTACGCTGAAGATCTAATTCACAAAGGGAAAGTCTCTCCGATTTTGAGGAAGTTCCTTGAAAAAAGAGGTATTTGAATTCTAAGAGACAAATTGTATGTAGGCAGCGGTTAGTCCTTCAATTTCTTTGAAAGTGTCGAGAAAAATCGATTCAGCGAAAACGCCGTACTGCAGTTTAGACTTGAGAAGAGAAGCAGAGAAAGGAGAATGATCACGTTCAGGGTCATGTAAATAGATTTGTCGTACGTTATAAATAAACATACATGTTTACTGCGAATGTCAATGATAAAAGGATAAAACTATAATAAAATATAGCTTTTATATTAAATTTTATTTTAAATTCAAAGAATGATAAGCTTTTTTCGAGAATAATAACTATTTCAATATCCTCTCAACATTTTTTTTAAATCTCTTATTTCAAACGTATTTAACGTTTTAAACACTAAGTTAGAGCTTTAAACTATTTTCCTGTTTTTAAATAATTTAATTTTCTACTCAAGATTATTGGTAATCTATTTGATAAAAAGTGCCATTTCTTTTTTAAATATTATATTATTATTAAAAATAAAATGGACTTACATTTTCTTCAACTGTCTTCTTGATTTTTGCACTAGCTTCGACGACCGATTTTCCTGCTTTGTTTACGGCACTGTATAAAAATCCGCCAAGACTCTTCGCTCCTGCCAAAGCTTTCGTAGAAACTGAAAACATGCCAAAAAATTGTAAATATTAATAAAAAAAAGTTAGGTAACTGTATTAAAAAATAATTTATATAGGTATCAAGTGTTGCATTTAAATTTTTAAACATGTAAACGATAATTTTAATTTGTAGCATTATACGCAGTGAAAATAAATTCAATTTAAATTCAGAAGACACATAAAAGTTTGAAGGCTCAGTTACAATTAATTCAGTAATAAATTTTCATCAAACCAAAACTTTTATCGCTTCTTTTTTTAATTTAATGTAACAAGTTTTAATTCGATACGTTTTATACATTTTATAAATTTCACACATTTCATATATGTATTTTTGTATTTTTCAGATAGTTCAAAAAAAGAATATAAAACACATTGAATATAAAATATATAGATATTCATAGAATATAAAACACTATGTAGATTGAATTCATACATGTGAATACGCGGTTTGAATGGAATATTGTATTATTTCTGTCCAAACGTTGTGCTGATTTAATTGTTCCTCTATGTATCATTTTATTTTTGACAGTACAAAAATATATTTTTTATTCAAAGAGTTTTATCTTAACCGCAAAATTTAGCATTTGACTTTTTAACTCAAATTTAAATTCAATTCAATTTTGTTATCTGTGTTTCTTTTAAAAACTAACAAACATGTTTCTTTTCCTTTGACTCTTGCATTAACTTTTAAGTATTTTACTACAAAATATTTAAAGTTAAAAAAAACTGTTTTCTTTTCATGTCTAAATTTGAAAATGTTAAAATAAATTTTCCATTTTTTACCACGTTTATTCAATTTTAAAACAATTTCCCCCCATCCTATGGAAATATTCAGCTAATATTTGAATTGCGCCGAGAGATAAAAACGTCAGAACGATTTGAAATAGAGGAAATAAAAGAATTTTTCTTTGCTTTTGAATCAAGGCTGCAATTCCAGACAATGAGGGAACTATCAACATTTTCTCATCTTCTGATCCCTGGAGAGCAACTCCAGAAACTGGAGAACCTAAGGATAGGAATAAATCAGCAAGTTACAGCTAACACCTTCGATCTGGGTACTGTAAACGCTATAGACGACGACCCTTCTCGTGGAAATGGGCGAAGAGGGATATTAAAGTAAAAGAAGGTGTCTATGTTCAAAAAAAGAAGAAAAAAAGAAGAAAAAAGTTAAGAGGGCCAACAGGCCAATGAGGCCACATGTATAAAATGTAGTCGTTGATAACTGAGCGAGAAGTCAGAGGGGTGCTGTATTGATCGCAGATATACCGACGCGAAGGACGGTTGCTTGCTGACTCTCAATCTGGTTAGCTAAACTTCGCTCTTCATTTCAAATGGTTATTGATGATCCAACGATTATTCTACGTAACCGTAATGACACATTTACCGATAGTTCCAACCAAAAACTATTAATTATTGATTTATTTTCACTAGCAAACAAAAAAAAGGCACAAGCAAAAGAAATCTGAAACGAAAGAAATCTAGAGTTACGTAATTTTTTGTATATCAATTTGTATCATTTTAGTATCAAATTGATAGTTTCAAAGAAAATGGCAATTTTTGCTACTTTGGTTAATTTTAAAAATTATGAAAACCTTTTTCGAATTATGCATTGCAAACTTTAACTTTTGTTATCAAATAACAGAACGTGGAAAGTCGAAAGATTCCATAGTTTGATGAATAAAAAAAAATTCCAGTAGGTTCAAGTTTGAATTGAGTAAATATTGCCCGATGGGTGAAGAAACTTGTTTATTTCTAAATAATGGAAAAGTTGAAGATGAAAATTATACGTGGGTTTGTAAAAACAAGGTTCCTTGTGTTCTATAAAAAGAAAACTTTTTTTTACCCTTTTCTAGTTCTATTTTCTACTTTTGTTGATTTTGATAAGCTAATTAAAGAATTTTCTTTTTCTGCCAAAGAAATTCCTTTGAAAAAAGTGTTTGTTCCCTTTTTGGAATTAGCAAAGAGGACTCAGACTCACCAGCTCCAAACGCTTGCTGTCCGTCCTTATCTTCCGTAGGCGTTCCCTCGAGACTGGCCGGACCACTGTCAGCACTCCCGGTGGCACTGAAATTGATCATAGTTTGATAGTAGCACGTGTAAGAGGTTCATTAGCACAATAACTAGAACTATGTATCGTAGCGTGTAATGTCGAACGCACGTACCCAGCAACCCACCTGCTTGCATCATCATCTTTTACATTATCTGTTGTTACACCTTGAGCAGAATCCCTTGCTACTTCGTTATCATTTATTTCCCCCGACACTGGGGCATCGCCTTCATTGGGGCCAGCTGCTCCACGACCTAAACCAGGAATCCCTCCGCTCAGCCAGCCGGTCATCTGGGACTTCACACCTGCCAGCATTTCAAGTTTACTGCCTCCTCCCTGTTGACTAATGAGAAAGAAAAATCAAATAAACATTTTTTTCATTCTCTTCAACCATTCTTTACTCCCTAGAACTCAAATCAATCTATTAATAATTCAATTCTCTTCTTGAAAATCATTTTCGTTCAAATTGTTTCTTTCCAAAAATTCAAATAAATTAATAAATAATAATATTGTTTTTAAATTTCTGATCAATTCACATTCTGGGAATGGAGTTTTCTTTCATCAGTTAAGTGATCTGTCTCCTCTGAAATGTTATGATAGAATTAATGATTTTCTGAGATTAGGTGAAAATCCTCGTGAAACCTTACACATGCAAGGACAAGGCTGCATTTACTTTAAGATTACTTAATTAAACGTTACTACCGGATTTACTACCGGAGTCGCTGTCAGTGACTTTTGTTTCGAAAAAAAAATTCCGAACTTTAATACATTTACATAAAAAAAAATATTCAAGTCTAGAAAACAAATATAAAATCATTACCTACATTCGAATTTCAATTCATTTTTACACGTATCAAAATTTAAAACACATTGTAAAATCTTTTAGGAACAGTATCTTTCCTTGACCTATCAATCGATTTTCTTTAAATCTTGTCCAGCATTTTACAACCAATCATTATATGATTCATAATTTTTACTATTTGTATGAACAAAAAGAAGCCTACGTAAAAGAAAATAAAAAACAAAATTATTTATATTAATTTTAAGAATAAAGAATAATTTTATTATACCTCGTAACGTCAAATAGAATGCTAAAATTTTAGATATTTTCAGAAATTTAGTTTATTCTAAGTATTTGAATAGAAAAAAATGAATTAGTATTTTATCTACAAAAAACAGAACTAAACAGGAAATTGATTCATTTTTGCAATTTTAATCTTAGAAAATTATTATTAAAAAAAAGTAGTAAAATCTACGAGATATTAATTTTACAGGAAACAATACAATATTCTAGAGCTTAATGTTTTAGTAAAATGATACAATAATTAAACTATTTGTCTTCTAATGCATTGGAAAAATTTTAGGTGGCACAGAAATTGACTGAATCATTTCCAAAATCTACATTTAAACTTGCGCTTTGACAGCAAGTTTCCGATCGATACATTTGTGAAGAAAAGTCACTTTTTAACAGGAAATTATCTCTCTTCGAAATTCTGTAATTAGTAGTTATATATTTATAGTTTTTACAAGGAAAAAATAACAACAATAGTAACAGAAAACAAATTTACCAAAAAAAGTAATTAGAAAATTTTCGAAAAATTTTAATAGACTTTGAAATTGAAAAATTTGAATGTTAATTAATTAATTAACTTATCTTCCTTTTTTTGTACCTATATGTATATAAAAAGAATAAAGTATCTTTTAATGGTTAAAACAGTTATTACGTGTGGAATTTGTATTACTGTTTATGAAACATTGATCTATTGACGAAAAATTTGTAAGAACTGAACAGAATTTACATGTAAATTTAAAAGATTGTATGAATACCTGTTATCTTTTTTTTCTGCATCTAAATCACCACCGGCACCAGGAGATCCGACTTTTTCCTCTGGCACAACGGAGTCATCCTCGCCTTTCTTACCTATCCAAGTAGACACTTGATTCGTAAGGCCAGAGAACATTTTGAATACGTCGCGGACTCAACACTGGAAATTCGCGACCTGGACGTTGACCGCGGATTATGTTGGCGAATTTGGAGATTTTTTTTCACTTATGGAAACCTTTTCTGACACTCGTAAAATTGAAATGACAAGTAATAAGAGCGATCTCTCGTATCTGACACCAGACTGCGTAAAATATTTCAGTGGATACTGCGCAACATGCACGGCGCAACACTACATGCTCTGGCATGTATGCGTGAAAGTGTCCAGAAAATGTTGTCTGATAAAAAATTCCATTTATTATGACAATATCAAAATAAATATTGCAACTTCCCCCCAAATATTCTCTCTCAAAAATAAAAGCATAATTAAACCAACATTTTTTTAATATTTCCTTCTCTTCATTTACACCTAAAAAATTAATCTTTTAACATTTATTAGCATTAATAATTATTGTCTAATCACCCTATATGTATCGATTACTTTTTTCTAGGATATAAACACGTGTCAATGAATTTTACATCGTTCTTAGTATTTTTTTTCCTAATTCATTGATTAATTTAATATATTAAAATAGGTTTTATTTAATTTATCAATTATAAACTTTGCGGTATTTTCAAAATAGCTTAATAATTACAAAGACACTATAATTCAATAGTTAGAAATCTTTATTATAAACGCAATTGTCACAAATAATTATTTTAAATGATTCAAAAATTAAAAAAAAAATTGAGTTTTATACTTGCAAAAAACTCAGGAGATGAAGCATCTACGTGACGAATACTTCAATCGATGTATCACTCGAACTTATTATAATCACATGGGGAGATGAATATCAGTTCCTTGGGGTTTGACTGCTGTTTCCTGGTGCTACAGACATCTCACCACCCTGAATATTTTGTTTCTGTTTATTTCGTTTAAAAATTTAAAATGTTTCATCAGCAAAACTAAAGACTTTCTTTTTAATATTCATGCCAAATATTGAATTTTTAAATTTACCTTTACTTGAATTTGATTTTTTAACATCGCCGACCTCAAAATTAACATTCGTGTTCGTCTTTGATACTCTTTTCCTAGACTTATTGATTTTTCGAATGTTGTGCTTCGCTGGTCCACATCTTTGGCGTACAAAATCTAACAAGAAAAATAGAAATTTAATAGTTTAGAAAATTTAATATTAATGAAAATTACAAGTTTTCAGATGATCAGTTCATCTTTCACTGATCAACTGAGGTAAATTGAATGAAAATTAAAAATTACTTTGTTGTGTGAATCAATACGAGCTTGAATTTGCCCATCGAGGATTAATTGCATAAGTTCGTCTTCTAATGCGGAGACAGTTCTGTTAAATGCAGTGGCCATTCGCCTCATGTCAGCGCTCAAATAAGGGCTGAAATATTGTATTAGAGCTCGATTACGAATTTGAGTATAGAGATTGTTTACATGTGGCGCTATGTACATGTCAAGGAGAATATTATCCTTGATTTCATCTAGAAGTTTTAAGCATGAAGCGTATTTGGATTCATAAAATTTAAAGATAATATCCCTCAGTTGTGGTTCCAATTCCAAAAAGAGCTTAAAAGAACTGCTAAAAATGACTTGCTTCTGTAGTTCATGCCTATCGAAAGTGGCAAGCGCACACAATCCACCATAAAGTGCTACATTCCCCGGCGAAAGCAATTCCGGAAAATCACAATGATCCAAAGAAGCCTGGAGGAACAATTTCGCTGCAAATTTATACTTTTTTGTTGCTAATTCGGCCAATCCTGCAGCCACTTTCAGTTTTGTAATGATGGCCAAATTACTATCTTTGCCATGAACGTCAGGAAAGTCCGGAGTGTCTTCTGCCTTAGTGACGTAACTAATAACGTGGGTCCAATTTTGGAGATAGACAGAAACTTTTAAAACATTCCAACACATGTTAACGACGTGCTTTCCGCTTGTGCAATAATTTCTAGCTCTCGAATAACATTTGAGTGCATTGGCCAGATCACCACAATCAAGGTAATGATCCCCTAGATCATCGTGTCCTCTTCTTATACTTTCTTTGATGGAATTACTTTTATAATTTTTTAAATCGGTGTCAAATTTTTCCAGTTTGAGGGCAGCCTTCTTGGAACGGGATTCCATCCAAGCTTGATCAATTGTTGGCAAATCTTGTGAACTAGACTGAGCTGCAACGTCAGGTAAGCCTGGAGTACTTATTGCTTGTGAAAGTCTTCTATGAAGTGACAAATATAAAGAGACATTGTATGTTGTCATCACGTATGTTATTGCCATTTTCAAAGCTTCTATCCGCAACGTAGGGCAGTGATCTGCGATGTATATTAGTCTATAAAGCTTTGCTAATCCTGTATAACTGTTGGCATACACCTCCAAATCCTTAAAACAAAAACAAATTTATCAAATTTATCAAATTTTACAAATCGAGAAATTATAATTCAAACCAATAATGTCAAAATTTAGTTATAAAAGAAATATTAAAATGACAACTTACCAGTGTCGGATTTTCGACAATGTACGATTCCTCCTCTGCATTGTCATTATCCTCCACCGGGGCATCGACCTGCATTGGCTCGACATATTGCTAAAAAAGAAAATAATTCCCATTCAAATTGTAATTTGTTACATTGCAGTAAAACTTTAGAATTATTTCACAGTTATTCGAAGATTGTTTGTAAATATTTGTTCAAAAGCAGTTTAAACTAACCTTAAAATTCACGATTTCGAAAATGAATACAAAATATCTCTTTTTTTTTTTTTTGTAAAAAAAATTTAACTTACCTCTTTCATAAGTTTTTCCTGTTGAAGCATTTGTTGCTATTGTGTTAAAAATTATAAAATTTATAACTTCTCTCCCACAACCACTTATTTTCTTTTCTTTTTTTGAACAAACAACATGAATAACCACAAACCAATAAACCATAGAAGATGAAAATGTAAAGTCAAGTTCACATTGCACAAAACTGAACCTTGACGATGACGACTTGACGACGGACGACTTTCTCTTAAGACCATGCACCAATAAGAATGCTTTAAAAGAAAGAGGAAGATTGGCTAATAAAAACCGGGAGATTCAATTTCAACTGGTGGAATTGTTATTAATTAAGTTAATGAATAATGTTGAAAAAATATCGATTAGATTGTAAAAAATTGTTAATTACCGCAACAATAATATCTTTTTATTGAAATCTAACTGTAAATATGAATATGTCACCTTGAAGGAATTAAAGTGTTCTGAGAGAGAAGAATTTTAGACTGATGGCAATCTATATATTTTGCTGTCAGTGGAGCTGCCATATTTTTTAGACAGAGACCTGCCTGCCTGGGGGGTCAAACGCAGGGGGTTTCTTTGGTTTGGAGTGATTTTTGGAGGTGTGATACAAGATGTTTAGTAATAAATAAATGGTGCCCGTAATAAACAATTAAGAAATTTGTTGGAGCTGCCGTGTGCAGGTATGCTCGTTCTTTATCTTGATACATTCTTGGTATCAAACTCAGCATTTTTTCTGAAAATAACTCGAAATGCATTAGATTTTACGTCATATTGATAAATACAAGCTAAGTTCGGTGCTGTGATAAGGTTATAAGAGAAATTAGGACAATGGATATTAAGTATTATAGTCCTGTTTCGTGAAAAATGTAAGTTGTGCTATTAAAGAATCTCGGATTTTTTTGGAATTTCATGGACGGAAGAAATATTTCAGGTTGCTGCCTGATTACGTGCGCCCTACCCCAGTGTACTATTTTTATATATACTTTTTATTTACACGTTCTCAGAGCGAGCGTTTGTCTTATTGCGTATTTTCGCTAAATATTTTAGCTACGTTGGACTTAGATTACGTAATTTCAGTATGATCGATCATTTTATTGTCGTTAAAGGTGAATATAAAATCCGATATTACATTTCTGGTTGGAGACCGCTTGAGAAAATTGATTTTTGACAACAGTATTGAACTCGGTTACTATACATACCTAATTTAGTTTTAATCTGAAAATTAGAAATTTCTTATGGTTCATTTTTTTTATGGGAATCGTGATTTATTTTGCAAATTAAAAAATTATTTTACTGTTATTTTTGAATATCTTTTTCCTTAAAGAATGTACGTATTGGTTTTTATCTCGAATTTTGTTAAATGCGACTATTTCCTTTGTCTTTAAATAATTTTTATTTGGCACTACGTGCTGTTTATATTTATAAACAAACATGCTTTTAAAATATGCTTTTCTGAAAAATATTTTCAGAAAAGATTTACATACTGACATTAGATGCCTTGGAGTTTCAAGTTATTTTAGATATAGCAGCTATCAAAATGACAATGTCACAAATGACTAAATGAGTTTACGATTATTACTTGAAAAAATATAAGTTATGGGAGAAGGGAGAATTGTAAAAATAAATGTGTTATTAAATTTTAGCAGATTTATTTTCCCGTAATGACGTGGTGGAATAAAGAGATCGAAACTGTCTTCAACGATGATAGAAGCATCTTTAAAAGATCGTGGTAAAGAGACAATTAATTAACAAACAATCATGTCGGAACCACCTCATCATTACAGTCACCCTCCACCAGATATAATGCCTAAAGGACTTGCTATAAACGGTAAATATCCTCTTCTTCGGTAATCCATTTTATTTCATCCATTTTTAAAAATTGTGAAATTAAATTTCCAGGTGTGGGAGGAAGACTTCGTCAATTAGAAGCTCTATTCAGTGGTGGTCCAATTCAAGGTGGAAGATCTGGTCACACGTTTTCCATCGAAACTCTCATTGATATCTTATTAGTTTTATACGACGAGTGTTGCAACTCTTCTTTGCGTCGAGAAAAGACTGTCTCCGATTTCATTGAGTTTGGTATGTTAAAGATTAATTCAAGAATTTCTATTCTAATTGTTTAATTTTTTTGCCCATGTATTTATTTTAAAAGCCCCTAACTCTTAATTTACAGTAAAACCTGTAGCCACTTGTATAAAGAGTTTGCAGTTAGCGCGTGAAGATTTTGAGATTATAAAAGTAATCGGAAGAGGTGCGTTCGGGGAAGTATGTGTAGTTCGGATGCGAGGTTCAGATAAGGTTTTCGCCATGAAAATCTTGAATAAATGGGAGATGCTCAAAAGAGCTGAGACTGCATGTTTCAGAGAAGAGCGTGACGTTTTAGTTTATGGAGATCGACGATGGATAACAAACCTTCATTATGCCTTTCAAGATGACAATAATCTGGTAATTTAAAAAATAAAAAGCAAAAAACAAATAAGTATATATGGTATATAATAAATATTAAATTAAAAAATTTGCTTTTCAGTACCTGGTCATGGATTATTACTGTGGTGGGGATTTATTAACTTTACTTAGCAAGTTCGAGGACCGACTTCCAGAAGATATGGCTCGTTTTTACATAGCGGAAATGGTGCTAGCCATAGGATCAATTCACGATTTGCGATATGTTCATCGAGATATTAAACCTGACAATGTTCTACTAGATGCTAACGGACACATTCGATTAGCTGACTTTGGTTCTTGCCTACGATTATTTGAAGATGGAACTGTTCAAAGCAATGTTGCAGTCGGAACGCCGGATTACATTTCTCCAGAGATTTTAAGGGTATATAAATTTTTGAAGATAAATATTACTGAAACTATTTTCAGATCTCTTTGTTTATGTGCTTTTTTATTTTTCAGGCAATGGAAGACGGACAAGGAAGATATGGTCCCGAATGTGATTGGTGGTCTTTGGGTGTCTGTATGTATGAAATGCTTTATGGAGAAACACCTTTTTACGCTGAATCTCTAGTCGAAACTTATGGAAAAATTATGAATCATAAGGTAAATAGTTTTTATAAATTGACTACTTATTGCGCCACGTTTGGAATTATTAATTATTTTTAAATTTTAGAATTGCTTTGACTTCCCCACGGAAGACATATATGACGTTTCTGAAGAAGCAAAAGATTTAATGCGAAAGTTAATTTGCAGTTCGGAATTTAGACTAGGACAAAACGGAATTGAAGATTTTAAGGTAAGTTATAAAATTGAGGGATCTTAAAAACTATTTACTGGTAAATTTTATGACAATTTTATTTACAACTAATTTTTTTAGAAACATCCTTGGTTCGAAGGAGTAAGTTGGGATACTGTAAGAGATAGTACGGCACCTTACATTCCTGAAGTTTCTTCGCCAACAGACACTTCAAATTTTGATGTTGATGATACAGACGTTCGTAGTTCTGATGCTGTTCCACCCTCTGCCAATTCGGCTTTCTCTGCTTTACATCTGCCATTCGTTGGCTTTAGTTTCACTCAAGGAAGGTAAATGTCCAGAAGATAATTATTTAAATCCCTAAAAACTAATTTTTATTTTTATACAAATTAAAATGTTTTCGCTTTCTAGTTGTATATCGGATTTGGGTTCTATGCTGGGAATTACACAAAAAGATAAGAATCTCAAAATGTTGCAAGAGGAGAACGCGCAATTATCTCAGACAATTGCTGATCTAAAGAATCAGGTCACTCACCAATCGCCTACAATATCACCAGATTCAAATAATGCTACTAGGAAACTCCAGGATGAAATAAACACACTTACTAAACGAAATTGCGGTAAATATCTTTTGTTAATTAATTATATTGGCTAAGGGTAATAATTCATAAATAAAACGACTAAATTTTTCCCCAACAGAATTAGAATCTCAATTAAAATCTCTGGAAGTACCTCGAGAATTACGTAGTATAGACAATGGAGAATTAATGAAACTTCGTGAATTGGAGAAAATGGTACGAACACTTAGAATGGAAAAAGATGAAGCCGTGAAAGAGAAGCAGGACGTTCAGGAAAAATTCAAATCTCAAGATAAAGAACTCAAAGATGCTTTAACTCAACGCAAATTAGCAATGGCAGAATACACAGAAGTAACTGATAAATTATCCGAACTGCGACAGCATAAGCAAAAATTATCAAGACAAGTCCGAGATAAAGAGGAAGAATTGGAAGTGGTTATGCAGAAAGTTGATAGTTTGCGGCACGACATTCGAAAAGCCGAGAAACTTCGAAGAGAACTCGAAAATAGAGTTGAAGAAGCAATGGCCGAAACCAGTAAAGAGAGAAAACTCCGAGAGCGTAGTGAAGAATATTGTAAACAAATGCAGGAAGAAACTGAAAAAATTAGACAGCGCTCAGCTGGAAATGATACAAGTACGAATAATGCTCTTGCGACCCAAGAGATTAATAGACTTAAGGCGGAAGTTGAGAAGCTTGAAGTTCAATACAATGAGAACTCGAGTCAACAACAAAGTAGATTTAATTTAGAAATCCGAAGTCTTCAAGAGCAGCTGCACGAGGGTGAAGTAAAGAGAGAATTTTTAGAGCGTGAAGTTCAATTGACAAAGGATAAATTAGACGCCGCGAGACTCGAAAATATTACCGACAGTGAAGAAACAATTAATGAATTAACGAGGCGACACGATAGAGAGAAGATGATGCTTGCCGAGGAGAATAAGAAGCTTTTACTCGAATTGAATTCTGTTACAGATACTGTTAATAGAATACAATCAGAAAGGAGGCAAATTGAGGAAGAATACGAAGAATTGAGAAATAAAAAGGAGGCAATCGCCCAGTGGGAGGCTCAAATAACAGAGATTATTCAATGGGTTTCAGACGAAAAAGATGCTAGAGGATATTTACAGGTAAAAATAATATTCGTATTTATTTTTAGGTTTCACAAGTTTTCAATTTCGGAAAGTGACACTTGATTTGTTTTTTAGGCCTTAGCTACGAAAATGACCGAGGAACTAGAATTCCTTAAACACTCTGGTGGAGTCGGTGGCGTTGGTAGTGTTTCCACAATAACAGATAAGAATTGGAGAAATCGAAGATCTCAAAAGTTGGATAAAATGGAACTTTTGAATCTTCAGAGTTCGTTACAGAGCGAAATTCAAGCCAAGCAAGCCATCTCAGAGGAACTTACAAAGACACGATCTGATTTAATAGCTGCACAGAAGTACGTATTCTTGCTTTTTGGTTTTAAATTAAAATTTCAGAATTTTATTGTTTTTCACGCTCTTTTTTTATTTACAGGGAGCTACGTGATTTTAAGCAACGGCTTGATTGTGTTTCACATGAAATGAAGCGTAAAGAGTTGCAAATAAAAGAACTACAGACTCGACTTGAGACTGGCGATAGCTGTAAGTATCCTCTAATTGAATCCAGTACAACAAACAATCGTTCAATATTAGTTTTTCCTCAATCTTTTGGAAACTTAGTATCCTTGATAGTGCTACACACTGCGGTAATACATGCTGCCTTAGTAGTTTGCAGAAACTTTAATTTTTTTCACGGCCTTTTTAAAAAGTAATACATATTTGATATTTTGCTTTCATTAATTTGTCCTTTTTATAAAGTAATTAATTATTTCTTTTTATTTTGTATTAATTGTTAATTAATTAATTAATTTTGTAGTTTATATGTATTAATTTATACAGTTTTAAAAGTTCATTTAATGTTTACTCAAACAGTACAGCTCTGCATTTCTGAAATTCTACACAAAGGCTTTTATTACAGTAATTTTTTTCTAGTATTAAAAATAGTTGTAAACATTCCCCTTTACATTCTTTTTATTTCTTCTTTATTTTTAGTTGTTTTTTTTACCCATAGCAAATGTATTTTTTCTTTTCCCTTTCTTTATATAGAAATATTATTTTGTAGAAAAATTTGTTAGACATTTTTTTTTGACAATTCAATAAATTTTTTTTTTTTAATTTCTTACCACCAATAGGAGCGAAATTGATTTATTATTGTTTGCAGATTGAAACTCTAATTTGAGATATGAGATTTATATTTTGGAATTTTATTTCGATTTCGATTTTATTTTTGAAATATTAAATATTTCATGTATTAGAGATTCAATCTGTGCATTTGATTGATGTATATTAATTGTGGAGTTCTCTCTTAAGTAATTTAAGTGGCTCGTTACAGCCTTGAAAAAAGTGAACAGAGTTTTAATTTCGTGTTTTCAACTGCATTTCAAATTTGCATTAAAATTTACGAATTTGATACTTACGATTAAAAATGATACACACTCGTCGCAATAGGAAGATCATGTTTGAACAATCATCTGTTACAGTTTTTTTCTACTAATTAAAATCGCATTAAAGACGTTTTAATAAAACACTAATTTTAATCATTTTAGCTTTTATTTCAAACATTACGAATAAAATTGTTAAATTTAGAGCGCACAAAGCAATAAAATTAAAAAAAAAAAAAAAAAAAAAAAAAAAGGATAGACATTGTGAAATATATCGGCAATTACAAACCTTTGTCATTTTCAAAATGAATGATTGAGTTGAAAATTGTGGATAATATAAAATAAAGAGTAATTAATAATAATTAAACTGATCGGAAAAAGGGTGAGACACAGGAATTTACACTGGGATATTTAATTAGCTTTGTAAGTCAAATGTTCGGTACGGTATGCAATTCTGATTTCTAGACTGCAAAGTGCCTCTGTTTATTGGCGTAACGAGCTGCGTGTGGGGCCTCTTGTTGCTCATCATCAAACTGTATTTGTGACAGCACTTATATCAACCAAATCTTCAAACATCGTTACAACTAAACCCCAGAGAATCATCGTACATCAGCCGTCATCACCCCTACCAGTAATGCGTGCCCCCCGCAACACCAAATGTCGCTTATTAACTAGATTTGTTCCTGTCAATTCACTGGTTAATCGCGATGCCGTCAGCGTGAAAATGTCGCCTGGTAAATCAAATTTCAGGGCGTGCGACTTTCATAGTCGATTCAGTTGTTGTTAATTTGTCATTTTTCATTTTTCATTTTTCATTTTTAAAAACGCAGCGCTATGTTTTTAGTACATTATTTTTTTAGGGATTTTTCAAATATCGCTGCTTACTGATTTGAATTTAAATGATTAACGTTAAAATAGATCTGAAGATGATTCCTTGAGTTGTATTTTTTACCAGAGGTATTTCAGGATTTTCATATGTTAAACCTAAAGTGGAAAATGAGAAAAAAGAAGCTTTTTATCTTGACATTTGTTGCATTTCATTGCAGCAACAGGGAAGTATATTGAATGTTTGAGTGTACATATAACAATATGTACTAATATACTTACTGAAACATAGCACTGTGTTAAATTTAACATATAGACTGATTTTTCTTAATTGTCTTAATCATGATGAGGACTTAACTTCTAATAATTATTGTAGTATTGACAAAATTTAAAACAGTAAAATAATATTAAATTTTAATTCCAATCATGATTTTTAAAAGCAGTTTGTATGAATGCAATAGCCGCATTTTGTTTGACCCTTGTTAGATTTTAATTTTAATGCGATTTTTTTGTGTTAAAAGAGCGATTAACAAGCGACGTTGTTACCAATCTTTTTTCAGTTTTTCAGAAAAAAGCCTTGTGTGGGTTTGCCTGGATTTATTGTGGGTGCTTTGGTGAATTTTTCTATTCCTTTGCTGAGACAATGACCCACATTCTTCTTTAATAAATTAATTTTATGAGTTAAATAGGATTTTACCCTAACAAAATTACCAAATTACAATGAAATGAATAGGTCCAATATTCTCCTAATTTTCCTCTGATAATTCGTAAGAAAAAAAAAAAAATGTTGGACGCTAACTCTCAAATTAAACCTTCTAACATTTAATTAAAAATTCTCGAGTTTGGTATTTTTTTCTTTCTAATAATTTTTATTTGTTACTTTCAGTTTTGGAACGGCCTACCTCCCAAATGTCATACCTGGAACACTTCTTGAAGGAAACCGCCAGTAGTACTCGTCATGGAAGTGTGGATAGTGTAGAAGGTGACATTGAGGACAATCGAGCTCCAAGTATCACAAGCAGTAAAAGCAATCTCTCCGAACTTAGTATTGTAAGCATTAGTATCCGGGAAAAACAAATTAAATTTTTATGGAAATTCTATATGTGAACTTATTATGAAATGTTATTATTTCTTAATCTTCATCTCTTTTCTTATTTCAGGATCCAACTTCTCCTTTATCACATGAGTTACTTAATAAGTCTTCATCTGTCCACAATCAACCAAACGTACAACCAAAGCCAAAATCTCATCAGTTCCTGGTACGAACCTTTTCAGCTCCGACAAAATGCAATCACTGCACTTCTCTAATGGTTGGTTTAACAAGACAAGGAGTCGTTTGTGAAGTTTGTGGTTTTGCGTGTCACATGCCCTGTTGCGACAAAGTACCTCCAATGTGTCCTGTTCCTCACGATCAGAGTAAGTGTTTTTTTTTATCCCTCAATTATTCCGCACTGAAATACAAAGAAGAAACTTAAATTTCTGTTTCTTTCAGCTAAACGACCGTTAGGAATCGATCCAACCAGAGGCATTGGTACTGCCTATGAAGGTTACGTGAAAGTCCCTAAAATGGGTGGTGTCAAAAAGGGATGGGTGAGGCAGTTTGTAGTCGTTTGTGATTTTAAATTATTCCTTTACGATATATCACCAGACAGAAATGCGATTCCTTCAGTTTACGTCTCGCAAGTTTTGGATATGCGTGATGAGGAGTTTAGTGTGAGCTCTGTGCGTGATTCTGATGTTATACATGCGACAAAAAAAGACATTCCATGTATATTTAGGGTAAGTAAATCCGCAAGAATCTTCAGTGTAAATGTTCAATTTTCCATTAATAGTTTAATAACCAGAAAATTAAAACTCTAATATTTTTTTAATGCGCAATAATAATTCATCATATTTCTGTACTTAAAAGTCCTGACACCTCAATAAAACAATGTTCCTTGACTAGATAACAACATCCTTACTGGAACCACCTGGATTGCGGAACCATACGTTAATGCTTGCTGACACAGAAAGTGAAAAAACTAAATGGGTAGTGGCCTTAAGCGAACTTCATCGAATTCTCAAAAGAAATAATCTCCCTAATACAACAGTACGATTTTTTGTCTAATTAATTGTTTCTCATTTTTTTTTCTTTTTTTTTCTTTTTGCATTTAACTAATTTTGAAATTCTTTTCTATTGCAGATATTTAGAGCTAAAGAATTATTGGACAACACTTTGGCGCTTATTAAAAATGTGATGTCAGGAGCAATTATAGACCCGGATCGTCTAGTCATTGGCACGGAAGAAGGCTTATTTTGTTTAGATTTAGATCGTAGTGGTATGTTGTCTGTCCCTTTGGAAATTCAATACAAAACAAATGTTTATTACCAATTTCTCTTAATTTTTAATTTGTTTTTGTTTTCAGAAATAGCAAGAGTCGGGGAAGGGAAAAAGGTTTATCTTCTCGAATATGTAACGGAGGAGCAATTGATTGTAGTACTTAGTGGAAAGCAGCGACACGTTCGCTTAGTTCCTGTTCGCGCATTAGACGGAGATGAAGTCGAATGGATCAAAGTGGCTGAAACTAAAGGATGTATAACTTTAACTACTGGAGTAGTGCGTCGAAAGCCTTTAACTTATTGTCTTTGTGTCGCAATCAAGAAACAGAATGCCTCGCAAGTCATTATTTACGAGATAACGCGTACAAAAACGAGACATAAACGTGTTCGCGAACTGATGTTGCCTTGTCACGCACAAACGTTGCAAGTTCTCTCCGAGGGAAGACTTTGTGTTGGATACCCGTCTGGTTTTTCTATATACAGCATATTGGGAGACCATCAACCTATATGTAAGTATTCTCTTGAAATCCGCTTTTCACTTTTTTCACTTTTTTCACTTTCAATTTAATCATCTTTCAGCATTGGTCCACCCGGAAAACACTCTTCTGGGATTTTTGACTTATAGCGCTGTCGACGCTTTACGTTGTATTGAACTGCCAAAGGGTGAATTTTTGTTAGTTTTTCACACACTTGCAGTTTACGTTGATAATCAAGGAAGAAAGAGTCGAGATAGGGAAATTATGTATCCCGCTGTTCCTACAGCAGTCAGTAAGTTGAATCGTTTTTTCAAATAAGTCAAGAATTACAATTCTTTTTATTCGCAATATAATATTGATTAACCATAATAATTATTTTTATTCTCTAGGTTGTTGTGAAGGTTACTTACTCGTATATAGTGAAACTCATATCGATGTGTTCGATTGTACAACCGGTGATTGGTTGCAAACATTAAATGTTAAGAAAGCCAGACCTTTAAATACTTCCGGATCACTAACCACGTGTGCCATTAACGACATGTCGCACGTTATTTATCTAAGCAATTTACATCAACGTAAGTTTTTTTTAAACTCCTAATTTAATGAAACATTCATTTTTTGTTCAATAGTTATAAATTTCTACAATTTTATAAGTTTATTAACGATCGTTAAATGAAATATTTTCAGGTGAATTATTAAATCTAGCTCCAATGGAAACAAGTGGCAAACAAATGACTCGACCAAGAAGGAGATTCTCATTGAGAGAGGGAAACAGAGCTGCTCGACCTACAGATCGTCGTTCGAAAATGATATCAGCACCTACCAATTTTAATCACATCAGTCATATGGGACCTGGAAATGGCATTAAAGTGAGAAAAAGAGCATATTTACTTTTTATACTATATGACGATATGATTTTCATACCATGTGATTTATTTTGTTTAATAATTCAGCACTTACTTGATTTGCCAACAACATTGGAAACTGCTGATCAACCGCCTCCACCTTACAATGCAGCTGTAACAGGACATCATAGTGGAGCTCAATTCCTCAGCAGTCAACAAAGAGTATGAACCTAGTGTTACGAATAAAATATTTCAATTATAGAAAATTATAATAATATTATAAAATAAAATTCACATTCGATTCTCAATTACAGACATACAGTTCAGGATTGCAAGCTCCCAATAAACCAGCACCTTTGCCTCCGAGACATCCTCCTTCTGACTCCAGGCGCCTTAGCTCTCACATGTCAAAGCACTCGGGATACTCGCCACACAATGGTGAGTAAAAAAAGAACGGAAAATTTGCATTTTTCAGTATATTCAAACTTTGTGAAACTAAATTAAATTTGTTGGAGTAAAATCCTCTTTTAATAATCTATATTAATAATCGTTGTATTCCGGTAATCTGCTTGCAATTTCAAGTTATTTGTTTAATTTTTTTTAATAATTCTTTTATGAACAATTTGTTTCAAGTTTTTAAAATAATCGTGTTTGTTAAAAATTGAAATTAAACATTTAATTATTGGATTTTATTAAAATTTTAGAAAGTAATTGAATTGTTTTGAAAAATTTTATAACGAATTAAGAAAAAAATTATTGAATTCTTTCGTGGAATTGTGTTGAAGAGAATTCTACTATTTATGAAAATAATTTAATTGTTTCGAAGGATTCATTCAAATTAATGAAATTAATAAACAAGAATAATTAATTAGTAGGTAAATTAGTTAATAATTGAATTTTTTTAAAGTTTGAGTCTGAAATTATTCAAAAATTTATATTTAAAAATAAAAAATGTTGTAATTTGCATAATAATAATAATAATAATAATAATAAATTGAATATCAAGTTCCGCGCATAACATTTGCTAGTTGCTTTAATAAAATTCAAAATTTTTTTAAAATAAAGGAAAAAAATGTTTATAAATTCTATTTGTCAATTACAAATTTTAATTGAAAATGAAATTAAAACTTTTTAAATTTTTAGAATATAATGAAAGAATTTTACTCAAAAAAATGTTCTATTACATTTATTTACGGATTTTCTTTAATTGTAAAATTATTCGAAAACATCAATAACTTGATTATAAAATTTGAAAAATTTCAAATCCAAACCTTTTAAAATATTCAAAAATTTATAAAAATATTGTTATAAAACATGAAGATTTCTTAATTTTTTATAATAATTAAAATTGACCGAGTGTGAAAATTTGATTAAAATACCTAGTAGATTTTGAAAATAATTGAAATTAGGACAAGTGTTTTATTGACATTTTTGAAACTAATTGAACTTTATTATTTATTGTAATTTCTCCAAAATTGAATTATTTGAGTGTTTTTAACAAAAATTTGAATTCAAAATTTTTAAATTCTTTTATTTTTAAAATTGCTAATTTTATTTTTAAAAAAATTAGGTAAACAGTTGCTCGTTTCTTTTTAATAAAGAAGAAAAATAAACTATAAACAATTTGACAGGTTCAACTTCTGCGCGAAGAGGTCCAGCTCCTCCGAGACCAACAGCTACACCACCATCGTTACCGCGTACGCCTGATCAGGTTGATTCTGATTCACTACATATGCGATCACATACTCCACTTTCCCTTGGCAGCATTTCGTCCCTACACGATAAAGTAAGTTTCACTAAAACATTTTTTTATCTTTGAAATTTTTATAGCTTTAACAAAACATAATTTGTAATTTAGGAGCCAGTATCTGGTGGAAGTCCTCGACATTCGATAGCTTCAAATAATAGTTCAAATCCATCAACGCCTCCGAGTCCAGCGCATGATCATGGATCATCGTCCTATGATTCATGAACGTTCAATTTATTAAGGGCCTAAAAATAGAGTTAAAAGTTTCTCGCCATGTTTGATTGTACATGAAATTCTAAGCTTTAGTCACATTATTAATTTGAGGAGTATTCATTTTTATTTGATTTTGTTACTTTTTGGTTCTTCTTTTGTCGTTTGTTTAAAAGGTTAACAAACTCTTTTTTTTGTTTTTACTATGATGAATAGAATATGACAAAGCTTTAACGCTTAAAAGCGTTTAAATTAGATTATCTATTTAACCCACTGCCAAGCCCAAATTGCTGCCAATATTGTTTGCAGTTAGCATACGTATGCAATCTACAAAATGAAATTCGAATAATGTAAACTGATTTTAAATGACGCATAAAAAGTTTGTGTTTTTTGTGGAACTTGAAATTAAATTTTATCCACAAAATTTAGAAATTAAAAGCGAGTAGATTTTATATTGTGTGGTCAAAGTATGCAATGTGCAAATGGCACCGGGTTAAGCAACTCATTTTACAACTCATTTTTCCTTTTCGTTGAAATTTTACCTTAAATTATCTCATTCCATATTTTATTATTATCATGATGAAATATGCATATTTTGTTAAAATTTTTTTTTATTAACAAAAAATGTAATTCAGCATAAGATTCTGAAGGTATCCCAGTTTTTTTTACTATAGATACTTTTTTTACTATTTTGCATCTCAAAGATGTAGTTTGCTTACAAAAATCAATGAAATTTATGTTTAAACTCTTACAAAAAAGACATTTCATGAAGAAATAAATTTGAAACTTAAGCGTGCGCTTAAGTGATTAATTCTTTGAATAATTCTAGCAAAGAATGAAATGTACATAATTTATGTATTTAAATCATTAATAAGCAATAGCTGCCGTAGCTTACTAGCAAAGTCATAATTATTGTCAAGCATCGGCTGGAGTTGTTTTCTTTTTCGTTTTATATATACTATATATATATATATATATTTTTATTTTCTATTTTCTTTGAATTCATATTTACAATTCAATTGCTTTTTACCGAGGTATAATGCTTTGAAAAATATATTTACACGTTGACAAATTTTTTTTATAAAATTTAATTAATCTTTTACCGTCGCGACGACGGTAGGGATTTTTCGAATTAAATTTCAGAGCTAAGTTTATTTATCACTGTGAATAATGAGTCAAGAATATTAAGTGCAATTTGTCAGAACCTTATGCTGCAAATATTTAGGATTATAGTTCGATTTAGGAATATCGTCATTGTTCTGAATACTTAATAATGTACGAATTGTATTATTTTTTAGTTGTGAAGGAAGAGTGCATGACGTAGAGGTCAATTCATATCGATTATTTCTAAAAACTTTAATAATTAATAACAAATATGAACATAAACTTACTGACAATAGAATTTTTTAACAATTTTTTACAAGTGTGTGCGTATTTTTACAAATTTTAACATATCAGATTTTTTAACAGCATTAATGCATTGACAAACTGATATTGAACGTCATATTTTTTATCACGATTGGCAGTTTTAAACAAAAATACTGTAATTTATATAAATTTTTTAATTATCAAGAATCTACATTGTTCTATACGATAGTAAACGAAAAGGCTGTACATAATAGAAAGCATAATAATTAGGTATAAAGTTAAAACTTTATTAAAATTTGTACTTCTTTATAATAATCTTAAAGATGGATAAGATTTAGAAAATAATCGAGAAAATATGAAGTATTATATTTAGTAGACTGAATCTTCGCTTTTATTTTTCTCATGCGCTCTTTCTTGTCACAAAAGTATTATCTGAATTTTCTATTGCGTTTTTTTTATTATTTTTAATTATATACAAATTTTCATATTTATAATTTTGCAGTTACTGCAAAGTAAAGAATTCTGTTTGCTTCCGAAACATATTTGAATAAATAAAAGACGAAAATAAAGAATAATTCATATATTATACACTGCTATAGTCATAAAGAATAGAATAAAATTTAACGAATATAACAAATTTAACAAATTTAACACTCTTATACATATAAAAGAAAAAAAACTAGAAAGGCCGTTATTATAGAAGAAACGTTAACATATTGTATGAAATTGTAATACATAGTACTGACACACCGCTACCCATGATTATATTATTATTATTATAATTAAAAAGTAGAATTATAAATCCGAAATTGAATTAATTTAGAAGGCAGTTAAAGAGAATTGGATTATATAATTTTCAAGTTCGTGTTATAGTACATGAAATCGTAAGGAATTTCTACGGATTTCTATTCCAACCCATCTTCCGTCGTTGTTATACTTACTTGAGGGTTCTAAAATCAAAAGTGTTACTATATACCTAAAACTTTGTATCTTCGTCAATTTGAGAAATTTATTGCTCATAAAACACGTTAATCGATATTCGAAATTTATAGTTTTACGTTTCTATTTTTGTATATACATATGATAATGTATCTAAAATATTTAATTACGATCATTCTATAATTTCCTATGTACTTCACGAACTTTATCTGATTTTAGATCCCTAACTTATACGCTTTAGAGTGCATCAAATAATCTTGTGCGAGCGTGTTGCAAAACTTTATCGATATAGTTTTTATTGTAGATCATATTGTAAAGATATTTTTTTTTTTTTTTACTTTCTTTTACTTTCTTTTACTTTTTGCGTTTAAATCGTACAATTGTTTTGCATTCATTGCATAATTATCTAGTTTTCTCTTGCATTCTAATAGTTTTTTTTCTTATTTGTAATACCGTATTTTAAGAATTATAATAATCTGATTTTATTATTCTGCATTTTCAAACGCATAGTTGTAGAAAAACTTATTTATAATATTTGTGTATTGTTTATAATATTTATTAAAAGAAATTATAAATGATATTCTGTTATGACAGTACTTGAATTGGGTATATTATACATTCGAATTTTTTTTGTTTCCTAACTTTTTTAATAATTCTACTCTTCAAATATTTTCAATTTTAAAATTAATATATTAAAACTCATTGAATTCCTTCGCAGAATTTTATTATTTATGAAAATAATTTAATTCTCGCGAAAATTTTTATTAAACTTATTTTGAAGAATTTCTTTGAATTTTTTTAAAAATAATGGACTTTTTTTTAATAATTATAATTGGAAATTTTGAAAGTACCTAATTGAATTTTATGAAGAATTTTTTCGAGTTAAACATTTGATTATTCAATTTTATTAAAATTTTTAGAATTATAATTAAATTCTTCTCAGAATTTTATTAGAGTTTTTGTAAATAATTGAATTCTTTTGAAGACTTTTCTTTGTGTATTCTTCATCGTGTCTGTTAATAATTATAATGAAATATTTGATTTTTGAAGTTTATTAAAATTATACATATATTGAAAATAATTGAATTCCACAGGAGAATTTTATTATTTTATAAAAAATAATTAAATTTTTGCGATGAATTTTACTTCGAAAGGATTTCTTGACAAGAATTTGTTTCAAATTTTTGAAAATAATTTAGGTAAATTCTGTAAAGAATTCAATTATTTAGCCAAAAAATTGAATTCTCGACCAGAATTTGTTTCAAATTTTTAAAAATAATTGAAATCCTTCGAAGAATTTTATTATTAATGAAAACAATTAAAATCTTCCAAAGAATTTTATTCTTTATCAAGATAATTGAATTCTTGAGAAGAATTTTATTAAAAATTTTGAAAATAATTGAAATCCTCCAAAAAATTTTATATTATTTAAGAAAATAATTGAAATCTTCAAAAGAATTTTACTTTTTTGAAAATAATTAAATTTTTAGGAAGAATTTTTAAAAAATTTTGAAAATAATTGAAATCTCCAAAAGAATTTTACTTTTTTTGAAGATAATTGCATTTTTAGGAAGAATTTAAAAAAAATTTTAGAAAATAATTGGAATTTTTTGGAATATTTTATAACGAATTAAGAAAAAATTGAATTCTTTCGTGAAATTTAATTGATAATAATTGAATTTTTGCAAAATATTTTACTATTTAAATAATTGCGAATTCTTCCAAAGAATAATGTTATTATTTATGAAAATAATTGAATTCTTGCGAAGAATTATATAAAAATTTTTGAAAATATAGGTAAACAATAATAATTAATTATGTACATAATACCTAAGTGAATTTTTTAAATTTTGATTATGAAATTATTAAAAAATTTATATATTTGAAAATAACAAATTTTGTGATTTGCATAATATACACAAAGGGACTTTTTTATTGGCTCTTCATTTTCAAAATGGAATTAATTTCTTAATAGATAACACCAATCAAATTAAAGATTTATGCAAACATGTGACTCGACCCTAAGGTTAACTACAATTCCTACAATTTCTTATCTACATGTCTTGTACATTAATGGCTATACTATTAAAGTACATTTTTTTCAAAAGTAAACAAACCTTTTTTTCAAAATTTAAAATTTATATTTATATATAAAATAAGCTCTCAATCTTCTATAAAATATACAATAAAATATTTTTTATATTCGGGAAATTTACAAACGAAAATAAAGGAAGTATCCTTTATGTACACATAAGTTTATAATGATATAAACTAAGATTAAATTTAAGAAAGGAAAGAGATGATTTATGATGACTTCGGCAGAACAATTTATTAGTTTAATTACTGTGGCAAGTGCAAAAAAATTAGCGACAGCTCTAATCGTGTGTTTTATTTTTTATCATGGAATGTTACATATTATTTATGGTGAGTCAAATCTAAATATTAAAATTTGTCAATTTCTATATTAATATAATATCATACTTTTATTTTTTCTTTTTTATATATAATAAAGAAAATGAAATATTTTTTTAATTTTAGATAGTGATTCTTGTAAGTGGTTATTAACAGAAGGAAGATATAAAGGAGACAAAGAATGGCAACCGTACGGTTGTATGATGCATCATTATACACAAACGTAAGAAAACTAATGTTTTTCTGTATCTAACTTTTTTAGTTACAATGTTACATGTAAATGGGCTAGAAAAAATTTCTATTGTAAATTTTGCAGAGATAGTCGAAGATGTCTGAGATATTTAGCTTTCATGGGTCACCACAATCAATTTGTTTTTAGTGGCGATGCCCGTATAAGACAATTGTATAAAACTTTTGTATCACAATTTATAGTCGATGGCAAAACATCTGATTTAGTGGAATTGCCAGAAAATTCAGATCTTAATTTTAATGATGCACAACTCAGACTTAATGTTCAATTTCTTTGGAGACCGCAAATCAATGCTGCAATGGTATCTGATTTTCGAAATTGGATGGTATGATAAATATTAATTTCAATTTATTTTAACAATTTGTATCCGTTTTAACTTGAAAATTTTATTAATAGACAGGAGAATCGCCAAGTATGATTATTGCCGGTTGCGCCGTGGCCGATATTCTTGCAAACAATGCCAGTGATCTTACGCTACATTCAATATATAGTAGAAATTTAATGAAACTTGTTCGTCCAGCTGAAGTTGTTGCTCAAAAAGGTACTCGATTCTTATGGACATTACAAGATCCTATTTTAAAAGAACGCCTGTCTCCTCAGTTGTCAAACGTTGATAACAGACAGATTGACGTCTGCAACAAAGCAGCTATCGAGGTTCGATATATAATTAAGTACTTTATTTCAAGAAATTAAAATTGTTTATTAATATTAACGAACTTGATTTTTTCAAGGTGTTCTCGCACAGTGAGGCTCATTTATGGGAGAGCAGTAGACTCGTAGGCAGTGGAATTTTAGAACAAAGTCCGGATGGATATCTGTCGAGCCCCTTATCATTGCGGCACAAAATTCAAATACTTTTAAATACACATTGCAACGATCATATGAACTTTGACGATGGTAGCTGCTGCAGTTCCCCAGAAGCGGCAACGACCTTGCAACTCGTTTCACTTTTTGTTCTAGCTTTATGGTAAATGATACTAAACAATTATCAAATAAGTCGGCAAATTGTACCTAATATTAATATTTAATTTTAATTTCAGCATAATAATAGGAGGTAGTATTTGGCTGTACAGAAAAGTTTGTCAATATCAGACTGAAGTTTTGTATTCCGGTTTAGCAATGGAAGAAATTGAGAGAGCAGAAGAAACAAATGTAACTGATATTCTAAAAAGTGAACCACCTCAAGTTCAGGATTTTTATACTCTTGTTACTTCGCTAGCGCTCTTGTCAATAATATTTGCTTACTTTTATTTATGTGACAGGTAAGTGACTTAGTGACTACAAATATCAGAAAAAACGTATAAATATAAAGTTTGTAATGAAATTATTTAAATTTTCAATAATTCCAGAACTAATTTCTTCATGAAGGAGAATAAATACTATAGTGAATTTAGTTTTTGGTTGCCTCTGGGATATATTTTAGCTCTTAGTCTCTTTTTCACTGAAGATCGTGAACGGGGTCCAAGATTTTTAAATCGAGAACAAACTGATGAGTGGAGAGGTCTTATGCAAGCAGTCGTGTTAATTTATCATGTTACAGGCGCTAAAAACGTGCTGCCGATTTACATGCATTTAAGATTAATTAATTCCGCTTATTTATTTCTCTCTGGATATGGACACTTTTATTATTTCTGGCAGACGGGCGATATTTCACTGGTCAGATTTTTTCGGGTGAGTTTTTCAAAACTAATTTCTCGTAAACATTGAAAAGAGTTCGTTTTTTAAATTCAAGTAAAAATTGTAAACGACTTTTGCAGGTACTCTTCAGACTAAATCTCTTAACTGTGTCTCTCTGTCTGTGTATGAATCGACCTTATCAATTCTATCACTTCGTCCCCTTGGCATCTTTTTGGTTTTTAATCGTCTATTTCTTGGCGTGGTTACCTCCGAGGGTTTATTCCGGAACTTTAGCCGAATATGGACCCAGAGCACTGCTTTATTTAGCACTTAAACTATTGGGTCTTATTTGCATCATCACGATTCTCTACATGTCTGAGGTGTGGAAATGCATGATTCTTTATAGTTATAGTGCGTAAAGTTAATTTAAACATAATTTATAAAAAATGTTTCTTGCAGGTATTTTTTGAGAAGATTTTTGTCACTCGACCTTGGAAAGCATTATTTGTAACAACGGATGACGATATTCGAGAATGGTGGTCAAGGTGGCGCATTGATAGATACAGCGTGGCTTGGGGAATTGCTTTTGGAGCAGGTTTAGTCGGTCTGCAAAGAGTGGACCACATTCCAGGAACAACTATAGCTCCTATTCTAGCCCTTATTTCATTAGCTGCATACACAAGTTACACACTTCTCTGTCATTCTCTTTCCGAATGTGAAGAGATTCATTCCTATGTTGCATTTATTCCTGTAAGAATTTGCAAATAATCTTAATCTTACAATCTGAAATGAACAATTATTTTTCGTTTATTATTATTATTTTCTACATAGTTCATTATTTTTTCTAGATTTTGGGATACATTGTCCTTCGAAATGCTTCATTAGCACTGCGAGGGAAACATTCTTCCCTTCTGGCTGGTCTCGGTCGAATAAGTTTAGAAACTCTCGTCAGCCAAGGACATGTTTGGCTCGCAGCCGATTCTCACGGAGTTCTAGTTCTTCTACCTCGATTTCCAGTATTAAATCTACTGCTTTCTTCCTTCATTTTTATTTGTGCTAGTCATGAGGTAATTTTTTTCTTTTAAATAACAAAATTTCAATTCCATTTTCTAAAAGTGACATTTTCTTCTATTCTAATTGAAATATTTCATTCAGATACACAGATTAACATTAGTTCTTGCACCGTATGCTGTGCCAAGTGATTGGAAGCTGGTTATTAGAAATCTTTTACTTTTCACTGTGGTCTTAGTTCCAATTGGAATACATGATGGGATGTTTTAATAAGACAAATGAGGCTATAATTTATAATTCTTAGTAAATATTTTATTTTATTAAAAGTCGTTGCAGATTTGTAAATATGTACAAAGTAATAAAACTTAGGTAGCAGAGTGGTTTAAAAAAATCTTTGAAACTAAAATTCAATACAATGTACAAAATAGTAAGTGTTTGAAATCACTCTGTTATTATAACAATCGTCTAATTCTCTAATTATTTAGATATGCATCCATTACAATTATACGATACATATTACCTTTCACTTCTATTTATACATTTTATTTATTGAAATTAATCTATGGAACTTTGAAATAAAATTACTAGAATGATTTCATATTAAAAATTTGTTTTTTATATTCCTTCTATCATTTGAGTACTCTATTTTAAAATTGTTAATAAAACTTTTATAAAAAATTTTATTTTATTTTATTTCTTTTTGTAATCTTCAGGTAACTTGGCATTCATTTGAGAAAATAATTGTCTATCTAAAATCCTGGCAAGAGGATTAATTATTTTGATTTAAAATATTATCATGTTTAACTTGACTTGTATAAACATCATAACCCAGAGATATAGTATTGTCATAAAGAACTCTATATCTCGTTGGTAGAAAATAGAAATTAATTATTTGAGCGGGCGGCCAAACTACCCACTCAGCTATATACAGTTTATGTGCCTTATTTTTAACTTCTCTTTTAAACTCTTCCCAGTCGTTTCTTTCTAATATAGCTAGTGTTAAAAAAAACATTCCTATACACAATGGTGAACATATAAATTGATCAATTACAACTTTTCTTATTACGGTCCCAATTGTTTTTCCCGGCAGACGAGAATCGAGAAAACGATACCAATAATGGCATATTATCCCTACTGACATTCCCGACAAGGCCATGTGTGCAGTTCTTTTTGCACAAAATTTTTTCCATTCCCCCTAAAAAAAAAGGATAATTTATTAATAGAATATTTGTTTCAAAAAAATAGTATTAGGTACATTTTTTAAAAATAATTCATTATTCAAAATTTTAATCCTCTATACATACATAACTAGTGCGTACTTTTCAATATACTTGTAAGCTCAAAATAAGCTCAAAAAATAATTCTTACCTTTAAAATTTCATAATGTTGTTCGAGAAAATCACCAGTTGCAGAGAGAGAAATTGAGATAGCAACATTAGTGTATAATAAATTTTTTGAGGAAAATAGTTTCTCTTTAATTGGACCGAATTTTGTAATCATCAATCTCATATTTCTTATTGTTGACATTTCCTAAAAAATGAAATATAATGAACAAAAAAATAGATTTGCATGTAGTGTGTGTATGAGTGTCAGTTTATATGCGAAGAATACAAAATTATTAAAAACAAATTACTAAATTCCACATGTATATTAACTGTATAAATAATTTAATACGATATTTACCATAAATTATTTAAAGTTACCTTTGCTAGAAGTAATTAACTTTCGTTTCTTATTATATTACTTAACACCATTCAAGAGTTTTTTTTACTAAAACATTTATCTTAAAAATAAAATAAATCTTAAAAATAAGAGAGGTTATATATTATGTCAATACATATATATATATAACATAAATATCTACACGTGCGACTGCAACATGAATAACAATGTGCACTGAGCATAAATGCACAAAACAAAATTGGACAAGATAAATGTGTGTGTAAACACCTTTAACTTTTACTCTCCCAAGTCAGAAGTCACAACTCTGCAGGAAAATATTGTTTTTTATTTTTAAATTAAATATTTATTTATTCAAATTATTCAAAAAATAAGAAAATTTAAAAAAAGTGGAAAATATTTTAATTTTTTGTTATCAACGTTATTGTTTCTATTCATAAAATGGAATCTTTATTAATTAATGATACGAACAAGTATAATTTAGAGAATAACATTGTTCGAGAGGTATTTATTATTTATATTTTGTATTATACATTGTATATATTTATTTACAAATGAAATTGAAATAAATTTATAATCGTAGGTACCTTCTTTAGCATACTATGTACCAAATTTTTTAACAAAAGCTGATGAAGAAGAGATAATAAAATGTGTAAATAAATCTCCTCAACCGAAATGGACACAATTAAGTCACAGAAGACTACAAAACTGGGGAGGAATTCCTCATCAAAAAGGAATGTTAGCTGAGGAAATACCAAGTGTAAGGTTAATTTATATTAAAAAATAAGAATACTATATTTCTAAATTTATTTTAATTAAAAACAGTGGCTGCAGAAATATGTCGACAAAATGTCAAAGCTAAATGTATTTGAAGAATTGAAACAACCAAATCATGTTCTCATTAACGAATATTTATCAGGGCAAGGAATTATGGTAAGCGCAATGAATGTAGAAAATTGAAAAATATGTAAAAGTTGAAGTATATTTAAAGTAAATTTACAATGTGCATAATATACAAATTAAAACTACATTTTTTCAATTCAGCCGCATTCAGATGGACCACTTTTTCATCCAATTGTCAGTACAATAAGCTGCGGTTCACATACTTTTTTGAATTTTTATGAACGTGTGGAAACTGAAAAAATTGTAAGATCTTTATCACAATCTCAATTGGTAAAATCTATCAATTACCTGGTAAAATATTTCAAATATTTTTATGTTAATTTTAAATTTTAGGATAAAACGCCAAAATATGAATTCAGTTTACTATTGGAACCTAGAAGTTTGCTTATTTTAAAAGAAGATTTGTATCATAATTATCTACACTCCATAGATTGCAAGAATGAAGATATTATTTCGGAAAATACAATAAAGAACTTGAATTTGTGTTCACAAAGTTATGTGGATAAACAAGTTTTGTTACGATCTACAAGAATATCGTTAACAATTAGACACGTTCCGAAAGTTAGTAAAATGAAGTTAAAAATTGGAAAATAATATTCGATTTTAATTTTAAAAATTTGTTCATTAAAATTTAAGGCAAAGTTACTAAAGTACAAAATATTTTATAGAATAAAAAAAAATTTTATTACCTCAATTATTACCAGTTTTTGTCAATGTCACAGTGTCTGTATCTTCATAATTTTCTAGACTTACATCCATTATTTCTTCGTCAACTTCATCTAACATTCCTTGTAATGAATGTATTGAAGATATCAAAACATGAAACTGTTTCCTTCTCATTTCTAATTTACGCTCAAGTTGTTCCGAATTTTCCTACATTAAACAAATTAAGATAAAAAGATTCATTATTAGGTAAAGTAAACAAACTATTCTTTTGTATTGAATATTAGACTCACTTTTAAACAACCTAATTCATCTCGAAGTGTATTGAGTTTAGAATTTGTTTGTACTCGATCAGGTTGTTCATTAATAACTTTCGCCAAAACGTCATATTCAATTCTATTTTTGCGTACACGTTTAGCCTCTTCCAACCCAATTTTTGTTTTTTCAATATCCTTTTTTGCTTCTTCAATTTCAACTTGAATCTGATTAGACAAACTTTCGTAATTTCTTAACTCCTCCTGACTCATGTTTGAAACAAAACGTGATTTCTTTTGTGCAAATTCACATTGTGCCAGTTGAGACAGCATCCGCTCATGTAAAATATTATCAGCATCTGAACTGTTTACCCATTTTATGAAAGACTTTAATAGAACATTAATTCTGCGGTCATCTCCTGTCCCATCGCCGTCAATTAATAATCTTCGTCGAATTACTTCCTCTGTAATCAAAATTGATTTTTTATTTTTCCTCTACTAAAATTTCATTCTGGAAATATTTTCTATAAAATATTCCTTTGTAAAAGTTGAATACCTTTTTTAAAAAAGTTACAACATAGTCAAAATCTTTTTGATTTAAATTTCAATGTAAATTAAAAAACGGAAATAAGTTTTATTTCTTAAAAAAATATTTTTATCATTGGCTTCGCAATGGGTTAGTAGTTAATTGAATTGAACAATATTCTAATTTATTAATTCTTAAAACAAAATATTTACCGTCTGACATTCTTTGTTGTGTTGTTTAAATATAAACAAACATAAACTAGCAAGTTTAACATAGAAGTATAATTCATTCGATTATTATTAGGCATGCAGTGAGTGAGTGTTACTAAAGTTGCTAAAATGTGATTGGGTCTATTTCAAAGGTAGGTCTTTTTTAGCAGAACCAATCAAATTTTTGTATTTCTATGCATGCCAGCAATTGGGGATGTGATCAAAACTTAAAGTCTCAAGTGAGTGACTCCTCTATACCCATTAGTGTCTTTCGTGTCTTTCTGTCACTTAATCAAAACAAAATTCAAACTTGTCAACAAATTTCACTTGCCAGTTAAAATTTATTAAAATTGCTGCAGGAATTACAAAATTAATACTGATTACGCTGATTGCTTTCTTCACTCATTGCTTTTATTTAATAAACTGATAAAAATGGCGCAAAATCTCTCTCCTGTTGAACGAAAACAAGTTTTGAACCGCTATTTAACAAGAGCACGAGCTCTACGTAAGTACTTTAAATTAAATTGTTTTTCATTATTTCCTCTTATTATTAAAACTATTTTGCGTTTTTTAGAAGATGCAATTGGTTCTAGAACATTGGTGAATTTAAATGAATTTACTGAAAAGGAAGATGCTGTAATGGAAGAAACAAGTTTGGAAGAAAAAAGTAAGAGAATAATTATTATAATAAAAATTGAATTGTTGGGAAATGTAATATCTACAATGATTTGTAAAATAATATAAATTCCATTATTCCAGTTGAAAATCAAGTGGAAGTGATATTGGATTCAGAGATTGTAGGCTGCATTTCGAAGATTATTGAACAATGTACAGTCACATTACTGAAAGATGCAAACACTTATAATTATGATGATTACGCAGAAATGATAGTAAGTCATCATGTTCATATAATATTTATTTTAGAAATAATATTTATTTCTATTTCTTTTCATATCTTACTTTTAGCACGATTACGTTCAACAAATGTCTGATACAATATCAGACGAACCGGAAAATTTAAATTGGCGTGCTCTGGAAGTTGATGTTGAAAAAATTTTTAAGAAAACCCCATATTCTTCATCTCTTTCAGGTGAATTCGTGAATTCAAAATAGAAATCAGTATTGAAATAATGTTTATAATTTTCTTTTGCTGACTGATATTTTCAATTTTACAGGAGCTTTGAAACCATTGCCAAAAAAACCTATTCAAAGAAGAGGACCACATAAAAGAGACGCACGAGCTGTTACGAAGAAACCGGAAAACGTCATTTCGACTGAAAAAAATGAAGGAAGTGTTGAAGAGACTGTTGAGAAAATCAGAAAAAAAATTATTCAATATCAAAGAATAAATCAAAAACCTCTTGATTACTTCCAGTTGGTTTTACATCCAACTGATTTTGGGCATACAATTGAAAATGTATTGCATGTTGCCTTTTTGGCTCGTGATGGAGTTATTCAGATCAAAAAGGGTAATGCAAATTTTTAAAAACTTTTAAAATCTTTTAAAATACACAGCAATACTGAGAAGAAATGAAATTTTATTTCAGATCAATCTACAGGAGGATTATTAATAGAACCTTGCACAAAAGATATGGCACAACAAGCTAAAAGAATTGGCAAATCATCGGTTCAAAACATAATTAATTTAAATCCACAACAGTGGAAAGTAAGTATTTAAAACTGACAAGTAAATTTTGTACAAAACGAAAAAAATAATACTTTTATTATTTTAATAATTAATTAATAATACATTGTTTATAAAATATTATTATGTTAAATTTTTCCATTTTTTGTTGCAGACTTTAGTAAAGTATTATAATGTCAAAGAACCAATGATCAATTTTACTGAGGAAGTCCTATAGTATTTATCAGGTTCTACCAAAATTGAAAAAGCAAAAAAAAAAAAGCTTAATTTCAGATTTTTTAAAATAATTTATGCTTGAACAGAGTTAAGAAAAATAAGACTAATTTTTAATTTATGAATAAGGTGTAAATTATATAAATATGTGCATTGCTTTGCATGTAAATACGAGAGGCATTTCTACAATAATATTTGTTATAATGTAATTTTACATCTTAACAGAATTTATAATATTGATAAAAATTTTTATAAATATATATTTTATGACAAATTTATTGAGTTTTATTTTATTTATAAAGTTTATAAATAAATTACTTAAAAATATTTAGTTTTATGACAATAATAATCACCAGATGGCGTATATTTTTCCGGTATCCGGTAGACACGTGACTTTTGTACTACAATCTATTAGAGTTGTTTTCTTTATGGTTTTTTTGTATAAATTTTTAAAGTGCACGGGTTAATGTAATTCAATTAAAATTAAGTTTTGTCAAAAAATTAAATGAAAATTAACATTTTCTTTACTTATATTTCATAAGTGGACTGTTAAAATGATATGTCCTATTCGCCTGTAAGCGGAATTAAAAAGAAAAATTGAATTTGAAGGTTATGATAAGTGATATTAATTCATTGTTATATATGGTTTTCTACATTATTAAGTATTATTATTATTATTTTGCAACATTTACAACTAACACGACGAATAGCATCAATATTAAAATTTTCAAATTACAATTTAAATGTGTCATTTTATTTTTATATATTGTCTTTGAATGTTTCAGATTATAACCTATATGCATTCCAGGTTTATCATAGGCTAAAATTTATAAACTTTATAAAGCATAACAAAGTTGAATGAAAAATAAATCAGAATGGCAACATTTTTAAGATCTCAGAAATACATCAATTTCTTTAATGGTTACCATCTTAAAACATTTCAAAGTGCATTAAGATTACAGTCTACCGTTGTTGAAATAAATGGGTTAGTCTCAATTTTTACACGCATAAATTTTTGTTTTTTGTAAAAAAAAATTCTAAATAGTTTAATTATTATACTAATATTTTTCTTTTCTCGTTAAATTTTGATATTTATAGAAAAACTGCAGAAATTGATAACACCATCTTTCCGAAGACTATTGAGACCAACATTAATATTCTAACTCGTATTAAAAACAAATATTTAATTAAATATTATGCATCCTATGAAGATATGTTAAGTTTAGTGGACAAAATGTACAACGAAGACAAAAATACAAAGAAGCAGCAGTGTTAGTAGTTTCAATTTTTTAAAATTTTGGTAAATATACTGAATAAATAAGATATTAATTTAATATATTTAGTTCTACATGTTATTCAAGATAATGACATTCTGATGTTAATTCGTTGTTGTGGAAATAAAATGAAACATGAAATGCCGGATGAAAGATTAAAAATTCTCGATTCTATGTGTCAAGTACTGAAATCAAAGGGTAAGCAAACTTTACTTCTTCCGAAGTCATGACAATTTTTCAAAATGAAAAATTAATATAATTTCAAAATAGTTAAATGAGTATATAAATTTGCTTGTAGAGGTAAAATTTTACCACTTTTTGCAAATAGTAAAAGTAGAGATGATGACAAATTTGACTAAAATTGTAGTTACAGTTAATAAATTGTATATTTTTTAGGTTTCAAATTTAACGTGAATCATTATAATGCCTTAATTGAGATATACATGGAAAATGAGAAGGATTTTTCCCCAACAACCATTTTATCAGAAATGCTTAGTAATAACGTTCAGCCAAATACACTTACATATGAGTATTTATTAACATATTACTGCAGCAAAGGAAACATTTCTGACGCAAATAAAATATTGCACTATTTTAAAGAGAATGAAATTCCCATTAATGAGAAGACTTTTAGTTCATTAATTATTGGCAATGCTCAAGCAAAGTAAGTGTATACAATTTTATAATATAATATAAAAATAATATAAATTTATATTATTTGTTTGTTTAGTGATATGAATGGTGCTCTGAATATCTTGAGTACAATGAAAATAATGGGCTGTATTCCTTCATCTAATGCTTACAATGCTCTTTTGTATTCCTATGCAAAAAAAGGTGACATTGTAAATATAATGGAAACTCTTAAATCTTGTGAGCGGCAAAATATTCCTATTGACGATATTAATAAAATTGAAATCATTTATTATTTAGCTATAAATGGACATTCTGATCATATTGATAAGGTTTTAATTTTTTTGTTCATTGTAATTAAATATATTATTTAAAAAATTTCAAATTAAATATAATTTTTTTATATACAGATATTGTCACTGATCTCTTGGGATTCATCTATATTTGACATGAGCCATTTTATTACAAAGCTTTTGCATCATAAACAAATCGATGTTGCTTTTCAGCTTATACAATCGGCTAGTAAAGCTGATAAAATGAATTTTGTATTAGTACATGCTGTTCAATTTATGAGGAATATTATTAAATGTGAATTAGTAAGTACATACATTTAAATCTATTTTTAAATAATAACTAACTCTGGAAATAATATATTTATTAACCTAATATGTAATTGTTCTTTTAGCCTGCGGAGACAGTCATCAATTACCTCAATTTAATTGAACAATTGAAAGTTCCTGCCTATGAATCTACAATTCTCCATTGTTTTGTAAAGAACAAGGAACATTATTGTATTCCTTTTTTCAAAGCTTGGCAAAAAATGGATGCTTCAATAAACGAACATTTCTTCTGGCCACTTTTGTCGAAGCATGGATCTCAAAAAGATGGAAGTTAGTTAATTATTTATTTAAAATTACAAAAATATTTATAGACTACAAATGATTTTTAATTGTTTATTTAGCTATTTTCAACACAATTAAGGCAATGAAAGAGGATTTTAACATTGAACCGAGCGAAGAAACTCTATTGCATTTTATAATACCCTTCGTAAATACTTTCTCAGCGCCAGATATAATGAAAACACTAATAGAAGATTACAAATTATCTGCTGAAAATGTTATAAATTCTTTGTTACAATATTATCTATCAAACAGAAAATTACTATCTGTTGAAAAGTGTAGTAAGTTTAAAATTTTTTTAAAGTTTTATTCCTTTTTTTTTGCAGTGTAATAATTTTTCTTTCAATATATTTTTACAGTTAAATTTTCTGAGAGATATAATGTTAAATACAATTCAAAAAATTTGTATCGTCTTCTGCAATCACTGAATAACATTAAGAGCAAGAAAATTTTATTATTCAGAGACAACATTAAATTGCAGAATCAATTGTCTAAGAGAAATCAGAATAATGAGGCAAGTTTCTATAATATATGAACTAAATATTAATTTGAAAATTTGTAATAGAAAAAATATTGACTATGTGAATCTGAAAAATTCTTTTCTTTTTAGGAAAAAAGAATGGTAGCGCACCTAGAACACGTTGATTTAGGATATAAATTGAGAAACTATAGCCAAAAAGGAGATATTTTAAATGCTGAAATAACAATAAAAAGTTTACAGAACTCTTATAATTACTTATTAAATTTTGATAAATTATTAAGTTATTTCGATTTATTAGTAAAGAAAGACAGAATTAAAGGTAAGGATATACGTAATAAATAAGTCTATTAAGAAATAAATTGTTTGAATACAGAGTATTTATGAAAATTTACTTTTTTTTATAGATGCTTTACAGATACTCGCAGATTTTACAAATAAGAAAAAAATTATGTTTATACCATCGAGAGAACTTGATCAACAGTGTGTAAATTCTTTAAATTTATTAGCGGAAAAAGGCTCTGTTGATGGTGTTTCTAAGTTGCTGGATACTATCAAAGATTATAAAATTAAAATAACTAGGGAGATGACACAATCTTTAATTAATGTTCATTTAGAAAAGTAAGCCTTTTAAAGGTCAATTCATTAACTATTTAGGAATAACACATTTTTGCAATGGTAAAAATAGTTTTAAAAATTATTTTTTTAAAGGAACAATTTTGAACAAGTTTTGGAAGTTGTTAAAAATATAGAAAAAGAACATGGTTGGCTGACAAGTGAAATTCAAATAATGGAAGCTTTTATTAAAGTTGAGGATGCGAATTCCTTACAACACTTTACAAACTTCTCAAACCAACACAGTGGATACATAAAAACATTATTGAATCTTGCTATTGCATTTCTTAGGAATAATCGTTTATCCCAGAGTAAACAAGTTTTACAAGTAAGCTTTACTGTTCTTTAGAGTTAATTGCTAATAATTTAGTAGATATTAAAATTATTATACTTTAAATAAAAATGTGGAACTAACTAAATATTTTTTTCAATAGTCAGGAGATTTCTTTATTAAAGGAAATAATTTAAGAAAGATAATGCACGATCTTTTACTGAACAATGAATACCATATGATCAATGACTTGCTTCAAATCACCAAAGGAGTCAACAACATAGGTCGTAACGTTCTGTATGATGTGTTACTTGAAAACTACAGTAAGTTATTGCATTCAAATTTAAAATAGTAAAGGAAAAATCGTTTATTATTTGCAATTTTAAATCTGCCTAGGTGCATCAAACAAATGGACTGAAGGTCTTGAATTATGGAATCAAATTATAGAGGAGAATACTGTCCCATCATCGTTATTTTTATTAATGATGACAGAATTATTGAAAAGAAACAATCAACGATTACCTGATTCTATGAAACAGTTTCTAATCGATCAACAAGAAGAGCAACAAACAAATATTTACACAAAAATAGTTCAAACTTTCATTAAAGAAAATGCATCTCCAAATCAATCTTATACAAATATTTTATTGGATAACTTAATCAAAATTGGAGACACAAAATCAATTGGTCTAATTGATAAATATTTTAATTTTGTAAGTACATGTGAAATTATTTTTTTCGCTCTATAAACTTTATTCATATATAATTTTTATTTTCTAATCAGATCCAAAGAAATGAGGGAAATGAATACAACATATTTGAATCGTGTGAAAATTCAAATCAAGTTAAAAACTATTTAGAATATGTGGATGCAGCAATAACAGTAGATAACAAGAAGCAAATAAGAAATACTTCCAATGTTTGTAATTACAAGTCTTTGAAGTACTTTATCAATCACCCGGAAAATTTTGAATTATGTAAGTTTTGTAATTATGTAATTATTTTGTTGCTTGAGAAAAAGTCCTAATTGCAATTTTTATTTCAGTTGAATCTTTGGCAATCAAAATTTTTGCAAATACAGAATTGTATAAACCGATATTAACTGTGGTTGCCTTCCATTGCTATAAGAATCCGTCACAAGCTTTAAATATATGGAATCAATATGCACCGAAATTGACGACAAATGCCTTTTCATACAGTTTTATTATGGAGTCTTTTCTTTACGCCGACTGTCTTGACATACTACCACAAGTTGAAAAATCATTCGAAAAGATAAATCGCTTTCATTATCAGAAATTTTATGAAACTTTGCTGCAAGCTTTTGGTAATTATTAACAATTATTTACTGATCTTTAATTATTTAAATTTACAATAATCTTTCATTGTTTTATAGACTCTCGAGGAAAATACAAGAAAGGATTGGATATACTTTTAAACGCTGAGATTAAAAGAAGAAGTAAAATTAAAAGCAATGAAGAGTCTGATTACTTAGAACCTAGGAGTTTACGAGTGACAGCATAAGTAATTAGAAACGAATAAAATTATTCTTTTTTTATGATGAAGGTAATCTAAGTCATATTAATTGTTTACTAATATGTAAAAAAAAAAATTTCAACTAGTTTTGTTCTTTTATAATAAAATATTAAAATTCAGCTACATTTTTTGTTGTTTTTTCGGTATAAAATTCAATACAACTTGAAATATTTCTTTAAAATTTATTTTATAAAATAGTATTTCTTATTCATTATTCTCTAAACATTTGTATACAATCTAGTTTAATATTTATTATTTTCAATAGCATTTATATTTTATAATAAAATGTCATAAATTTTATCTTTAATGCTTCCTTTTTTTTTTTTTTTACTAAAATCGTTTTTACAACACATTAAAAAATAAGTCTTTGTTGTGTACACTTTATGTTTATGTAGAGTCAATAAGTCACTATATTTAGCACATACGCCATACAGTCTCGTCTAAATAGAAATAAAAGTCAAGTATTTACGTTTACAAAATAGATAAAAATTACTTTAAATGGAAAATTATTGTATCATATAAAAGTTGGTTATTAGATTATAGGAATTCGTCACACCAATCAGTTAAACATTGATAACAATCATGCGACTGTTTCGCATTTGCGGAACACACGTCCTTCATCCACTCTTGAAATAGTTCTTCATTCTTCTTTAAAACTAAAAATTGCCCGAGTACCACAGATGCCTAGAAGATTAAAGAAAATGTATTTACTTTCATTTCTTGAAAATTAAATATTTTACCGCATTATTTAAATTACTGGATTTACCTTATCAAAACCCGCAGCTTCTAACCTCTTGCCCAAAACCTCACCAACACCGGCAAGCTCCGTAACTCGTTTATCACCCATCGGTTCCGCTACAAAATTTTTATGCTTTTGGGATGTGCTCGACATGATTGAGCTTAAATTTCAATGTCTGAAAAACAGTATAAAAAATATTCTTTATATCAATTGAAAAATGATAACCAAATCTCTTGTGCAAAATTGCCGAAATAAAATTTACCACCAATATTATATATCTATATACATTTAAATTTTATTTCAGAAATTCAGTTAAAAATGTATACTCACATAATTTATTGAGGTATACTTTCTTCGTCTATTCCTAGTATTTTCTAGAAAAGAAGTTTAATTATTAATCGGCACTCTTTCACTTTTTATACTTTTCATTAAATTATGTGCGTAAAATGAATCACTAAATTTTTTGTGTATAAATTACTTTTAGCTTGTAACCGCAACTTTGTGAACATAGAAGTGAAGCGTTTCTCTTACGTAATTTGACAATTTTCAAAATTTGTCCGACAAGGAACCAATGAAATTCGAGAATACATGAAAATAAGCTTGATGCTGCACTGTGAACTTGACTTAATTAAAGCCATGCCCATCCCTGGTAGTCTGCAAAATGCTGGTTTCCTGTGGATTATACTTTTAATTTATTATAAAACTTTTAAATATTTTCTCAGGTTAAATGCTTAATTAAATTGTATTCTTTTAACGAATTGTTAATTTTGAAGCCTTCTGATACGAAATTAAATATGAAATTGATTTGAAAATATTTTCAGAAATTGTGCATTAAATTTTGTAAAATTTTGTAAAATTGGCGCATGCGCATAAACTCAGAAACTAACTTGTTAATTGACCGTTATAAAAGTACGCCGCTTTTTAGCACTTTTCAGCTTGCTTGCGCTTTAGAAATGTGTTTTTCAGTATATGACTATAAAATTATTTGGGCATACTCAAGTGCAGTAATTGAAAAAGTTTAATTAAAATAAGAAGAGTACGACTGTCTCATGTAAGTTATCAGTTCTTAGAAGCAGATGAAAACAAAAATCATCAGAATAGTGCTAAAGTAAGCAAAGCCTTTTCTAGTTTTGTGTGTGATAGTCGTAGAGAACAGATTTTGCTCGTGAAACTTGTAACAAGTGGACAAGTACAGATTTTTCTCTAAATTTTTTTCTTTTGTTTTGATTGTGTGTCTTTAAACCTGCAGTCAAAATGTCTTTAGACAATCTAAGTGATTCAGAATTGCGTAAAAAACTCGTTGAACATGGGTTTCCCGCCGGTCCGGTCACGCATACAACAAGGAACATTCTTATCAAGAAGTTGAAAAATCTGATTGAAGCAAAAGGCAGTGGTGCGTCGAGACATTCGCTTGCGGCAAGGTAACTAACCTCTTATTCCTGAAAATTTACAATTCTTTCTAATTCTCATATTGTATTGAAATTTCATTCTTGTTTTTTTAATTATTTGCCAATTTTTTACCAGTAAATAAACATTATCTATTTTAAAATAAAGGTACAGCAGTGATGAAACAGATGAAGATTCATCGGTGGCTACAAACAGAAAAAAGAAGGCTACAGCAGCGATAAGGAGACAAACATTAGCAAATCCAATGCCTCCACCGTTGACGACGTCCGTAGTTTCCAGCATATCAAGCACATCTAAATCTCCAGTGAAAAAGAAAGAGAAATCACGAAATACCGAGTCGGCCGACTCTGAGTACGATAATCCATCTGTCTCAACAAGTCGGATTGTTAAAAAACCAGAGACACCGAAAGTAACAAAAACTTACAAATTCACACCAATAAATGACGGATTAGAGACAGGTTCCGATTCAGATATGCCTGAAGAACCGGAGAAAGTCATACATACAGCTAAATTTGGCGATACTGGGAAATCATTCGAGCCTAGAATTCAAAATCAAAGTATTCCAGATCTTGGCTTATCTACGAAATCATCCGCACATGAAATTAAAACAAAGCCATTGTATATAGCAAAAGATGAAAAGTTTTCTACTCCTCAATTTAAAAACTCGAGTCCCATCGTGTCCAACAGAGGAGACTTCACAAAAGATTATGGAAATACAAGCACCAATAAAAATGACGTTCTCGCTAACTTCGAAACACCGTATCTATCGGAATTCACCAGGAGACTGAGTTCGCGAACTTCTATAAATGTTCCTTCAGTTTCAAAATTCTCTCCTAAAAGTAAGTTTCATTCATTAAAATTACATTTTATATAATGCTTTCATTTTGTAAATTCTCAATTGATAATTGATTATTTAATTACAGGTCCGTATCGCCAAACCAACACTACCCCAGAAGTTTCAGAATCAGACACAAATGGTCATTATTCTTCTTCAAGGCCCATTTATCCTTCAACTTCAAGGTAACTTATTTTATCGAAATAAAATATACATATTTATATTCAAAAGTTGTTCAAAAAGACTAATTGCTTTAATCCAAAATATCTTTTTACTACATAGATACATAACTTCAATTATGGACAGATCTAGAGAAATTGTTAAGAGAAATGTTAAACCAACGGCAAAAACTAAGGACGAAATGAGGAACAACCAAAATATCGTATCTATGATTCTAGTAATAGTGTTGGCCTTATTTTTCGGAGTTTTAGCAATTGTTTATCTTGGTCTCGGCGGTAAAACTGAAACTGTCCCATCACTTTCAGCTGGTAGGTATTCAGTATAAGCTTCTTTTTTATATAATAATAATAAAAGAATACTAATAAAATTAAACTCACATTTGGAAACTTGTTCAATATTAAAGTTTCATTTCTACTAATATTTTAAATAAAGAGATTTCAATTGAAAACACTGAAAATTCTTATATAAGATTTATTGATAATTAAATGTTAAAATTAGTTATTACTTATAACGCTCAAATAAATTGAGCAAACTTAATCAACTATTTTTCTTTTGACACACTAAGAATTACGAATAAATATTGCAATAAAAAAATGAAAATTCATTTAAAATTTATCTATTTTGTATATTATAGAAAAAAAATTGTGCCTGATTAAATGTATTTTTAATGCAACATCAACTTTTTTTCACAATATATATTTTTGATAGTCCACAGAAAAATTTACACCAGAATGCAAAAAAATCTTTTTTTTTTATATATTTTATAAAACTAGTTTAGAAAATAGCAAATTAATTAATTAACTAAGGTACAAAATGTATATTAAAAATACATTTATTATATTACATTATAATTGTCAACCATAAACCTTAAAATATGTACTTTTTTCATTTAAACAATAAAGATTTTACATTAGAGAATTTTATATTTAAAGATTTATTTCACCCTCCTTGCTTTCAGTAATAAAAGAACAACACATTTCCTTTAGCGTAAAATTATATATTTTTAGCATTAATTTTACATCTATTATTTTAACCGAAATTTGAAAAATGCATTAATTTTATTTTAATTTATTATTTTAATAGTTTCTTTTTTTTAACAAAAATTATTACTTTGTAAACATTAATCTTGTAAATTGTAATTTTTAGATAGCAACGTTCCTCTTTGCGTTTCGGACCTTCAAAATCAAAATCACCCAAAAGTGAATTGTGTTCTAGAAGAAAATCTTGGGAACGTATTTGACTTACTTGAGAAACTACAGCAAATGTTAATGCAAAAAGCAGTGTCTTCAATTTGTGATGATTCCGAAGTGAAACCTTATCTTACTGACAATGACATCATAAAATTATTTAAAAACCAAAAAGTGGTAAGTGAAGATTTTTTTTTTTTTTTTTTTTTTTTTTTTTTTTTTTTAATTTTTTAAGATTACTAGTACTTTTTAAAGATGAACTTTTATAAATATTTCAGTCGGAATTTGAAGTCAAGGAAGATTTGTATAATGCGCAAATATTGATATTATCAAATCCAAAATGGGGAATGTCGCTTATCGAAATTGATCTGGAAAATAAAGGAATTACTGAAATTGTCGATACAATGGTAATTTAAAAAAGAAAAAGATGAATTTTCAACTACTTAGCAAAATGACTTTTAGTGTTTATTAAAGTTTATTATTAATTTCAGGAGAAACTATTTTCAGTTCGAGTGGCAGAAAAACTTGGAATACAAATTACAAATCCCGCATTACCGATGCAGTGTCTCATAAAAAGAAAAGTTTTCACTTTATTTTCATCAATGCTTCTTATTGCTTTTAGTAAGTGAAATTTAAAAATTTGATTCCTTTTGAGTTGCAAATTTAATTTTTGCCATGGAGTTATATAACTTTCTTGTAATTTTTTAGGCGCATTGCTTATAATCGGTGGTCACAAAGTGACAACATGGTACATGCAACAAAAAAAGAAGACAGAGAAGGAAGTTTTTCAACTTGTCAGTGAAATTATCAGTATGGTGGAGATTAATCATCAAAATTCTGTAACAAGTAGTCCCGGCGGTACTCAAGAAAGTTACCTTGCTATAAATCACGTTCGAGATAATCTTATACCACCGAAAAATCGCAAAAAACTAGCTAGTACATGGGAAAAGGCAGTTAAATTTTTAGACGAGAACGAATCAAGGTATGAATGATCATTTTTGAATTTATAATTTTAATAATAAATGGACAACTAAATTGAATTTTTCTTTAATGTTTAGAATTCGACGAGAAGTTCAACAAGTTGCAGGAGAAGAGTATCATGTTTGGCGGTGGTTGCCAAGTAGCAGTTTAAATACTTCGAATACTCAAAATTCAAGTATGCAGAAAAAAACGAAAGTATGGCAAGGCCAGGCTTTTGAAACAATGGAAGGGTCCGTGAACAGTCCGCTGAGTTCGCCTACACCTTGCCTCAAGATAAGAAATATGTTCAAACAGGATGGTGAATTTGAGGACGACTGGGAGACAAAAGTTAAGGATGCTATTCTTGAAAAATGCGGAGAAGGAGTTAATATTTTCCACATCAACGTTGATCGTGGTAGTCGGGAAGGTTGTGTTTACATGAAGTGCATGTCCAAAGAAGATGCTGGAAAGGCGTATAGAGCTTTGCATGGTTGTTGGTACGATGGTGAGTTCTCTTGAATAGATTTATTTTCATTACTACAAGGTTGCCACAGGTCAGGGAATTTTATCAAAAGTACTGAAGAAAATATTTCATCATTTCTAGAATTCATAAGAAAATTGTACATTAAATAAATTCAGAATTTTCTTATAAATTCTAGAAATTAAATATTAAATAGAAAGAATTTAAAATTGAAAGAAGAGATTGAAGAGATTTAATTTAATTTTAAACTCTTTCTATTTCTAACAATATTTGAACTTTACATATATATATATATATAAGATTGATTTAAAACAGGGTGGTCACATGTCAGTAAAGTCAGGGAAATGTCAGGGAAAAAAATATTTTGTCAGTAAAGTCAGGGAAATGTCAGGAAAAAAAATTTTTTGCCAGTAAAGTCAGGGAAATGTCAGGAAAAATTTTTTTGTCATGGCAATTAAAGAAATTAAGACGGTCATGCAATACATTTTTTGCTCTAAACAAAAAAATTTTTTCAGGGAAATTCGTTGTTATGTCAGTAAAATGTCAGGGAAATTGATAAAGTCAATCTTGCGGCCACCCTATAAAATTTATAAATATTCTTCAAAACAATATTAAATTTTTTGAAAAAAGCTAATAAAATTCTTCGTACGAGATTCAATTATTTTCAATATAATTTTAATAAAATTTAGTATCTATATTCAAATGGCAATTTTTCAAAATATTGAAATTTTAGAAAATATAAGCAAGTAGATTCCAGAAATATTTTAAGTTAAATTTGTTTTTCTTTAATTAAATAATTGAATTTCTAAGGAACTTTCTCAAAAATTATTAAAAATAATTGAATTAATAAAGAATTTTTGTTGAAAGTTCTAGAAAATAATTGAATTTTTAATCTTGAAAATAATTTTCGATAAATTACAGTACCTAGCAATTCATTCTTATGAATTATTGATTTTCAAAGGATTTGAAATTTTTAAAAATTTTAATTTCTATGGAAAAATAATAACAATTGTTAAATATTTATTTAAAAAATTAAAAACTGTTGATGTTTTGAATAATTTTACAATTAAAGATATTTAAAAATAAATGTATTTCAAACATTTTTTCTGTATCTAATAATTTTTAGAGTGAATTAAAATATTCAGGAAAAAAGTCAAAGTTCTGTCTGGAAAGCAGAAAAAAATTAAATTATAAATTGTGGCAACCCTTTATTAGTTTATTTTTATCTTTAAAAGAAATTGTTGTGAAATGCTTGTACATTTTTTATTCCAGGACGTTTGGTCACAGTCAAATATTTAAGATTAGAAAGATATCACGAACGATTCCCAGATGCCGTATATTTTACAACTCCGTTGAAGCCAAGTAATAATCAGCGACTCTCTTTGCAGTCGAATTACTGGCAAACACCAATGGAGGCAAATTAAGTTTTATTCTAAAGCAACAAGTACTTTTTCTTTAATGGATCATATGTTGGGTGCCATAAGATGAATGTTTTATTAAAAAAAAAAAAAACTTATTACACAGAACAATTACCTGACTAAGTGAAAATATTATAACGTAAGTCTTTATTTGTACTTGAATCTAAAGAATTGCGTGTTACTTACAATTTTATAACAGCAATTAATGATATGCTAATGACAAATGCTAATCCTTTTTAGTTTTATAAGGTAAATATTTACAAATATCATTTTTTTTTCATCAATCCTTATTCTTTTCTTAATTTATAATAAGTGAAAAGTCAAAAAATAACTGTTATGTAAAGTTAATAAGGCGTTGTAAAACAAAGACAAATTTAAATGAATTTAAATTTTCTGTGTTACTATATATTTTCATTTAGACATTTGTTTTAAAAAAAAAAAAATTTTGGTTCCTAGCACCATTGATTGTATTTGACAGTATTAAGTTGACATGACTAAGCATTCTGAATGCTACATTTGGTTTACTATGGATAAAGGTTAAAACTGAAATTGTTCTTAATTTGTTTTTAATACTTGAGTCATTGATATTTATCCCGTTTCTTTGTAACCAGTTATATACCTGTTAAATAACTCGTTGATTGTACACATCAGCAAAAACAAAAACAAAAACAAAAAAAACAAAAAAATTTCTAATATTGCTGATTGTAAGCTGTAAATACATTAAAGATTTAGATTTTATTATCATCTCTATTACGGATAAAAAATAAATTAATTTAGTAGTAAAATACTATTTTCCATTAAATTATGTAATTTTTATTTTATCATACTTTCAAAATCCAAGTTATTAAATGTAGGTTTAATTTACTGTTTTTTGTTCAGAATAGCACATTTTTTTCCTTTCTTCAAGTTTATTTTGAAATGGTACTTTCATCATGGATTTCTCAACTCATCAGATTGAATTCACTTTTGCTTGACATTGCGAAAAGCTATTGATGCTTCGAATTCATCCTGTGCGATAAACCACAATATAAGTTGCCATGGAAGTTTGTGAGGTCATGCATAGTAGTTTGAATGAATCGATCATACTTTTTTCGCGCATTGTCAGTGTTAATCGACGTGATCTAACAATATGATGTACCCAGCAATCACACTTTTGACATAAGGATCGACGCACCGATGTCTCACAAAAATATTGTCACAAAACGTAATTATATTATTGTTTTTTTAACCAGACCAGAAAAGTGTAAAAAAAAAGCGTAATTTGTTCTTTTCTTGTAAGTTTTAATTTACACTTATTGTGAACTTGTTTATTTTTGTTGCTTTTATATTTTAATACAGTTTCATTTCTGTATTATATTGTTAATTACAAATTTTTATAAATTAAAAAATCTAAAAAATATGTAAATTAAACATTTTTTTTGAATATATGTAAATTTCTAAAATTTACAATTGCTTAATTGCACAAAATTAATAAAATTAATAAAATTAATCAAAATAATTTTTTCAAATTTTAGTAAAGTATTGAATTTTTTATTAAAAATGAAAGTATTGAATTCTTTGGTTCATTTTTATGGAATTAAATTTCTTATTACGTATTTTTTTTATTGGTTTAGTAATATATTGACAAATATAGGGATTCGAAGGATAATATAAGACAAAGGTCAATTCTAAAAACTTTTCTTTATTTCTTGGGATATAGTCATTCTATGCGTCAGTCAGTGAAAGATAATTTGTAGTGCGCTGAGATTTAAACAAGCTCAAAATCTTTTGATAATTGGGTTCCCTCTTGCACAGTGAGGTCTTTGAAAAAAATGTCTGTGGGAGTCATGGAAACTGTGATGGGGAAAACTGGAATTATGGAAGCGGCCGCTCAAGTTGTCACGGGACAGGTAAATCATTATCATCAAATTTCAATTTTTAAACATTACAAACAAATTTTTTTTTCTGTTATAATTTTATTATTGCTTCCTCATGAAGAAATGATTATAATATTTTAAATTACTTTCTTTTAACAAAGATGCACATCTGCAATATTTTATCTCAAACGTTTTGTAAATTATTAATCATCAACAATTTCATCACTTTAACTCCGGACAATGAAATTATTATTTATCTTTTGAAAAAGATTTTGTAAAAACAAACCTGAGATGAAAAAAGTCGAAAAAATTAGGAATTTGTAATTAATTCTGTGTATTATTTATTTTTTTGCAAATTAAATTGACTGAAATTAAGTTCATTAAAAATTGACATAAGTTATATTAAAAATATATAAACAATTCCGATCAATAAAGCAATGTCAGCAAATCTTTTTACTCTATAAAGTGTCCCATTTTTTACTTCTTTATACAATTATTTAAAAGCTGTTACTAACTATTTGCTATTAAAAGAAACCCTGGCCTCCTTACACCCTTAAACAATCTGATGGTATAGCATCAAAAGAAATTTTATTTTAGTTACAATTCTCCAACGAACCAAATCACATCTCTTATGGTAATTAAAAAAATAGTTTAAAAATTAACAAATTAAATTTAAAATTAAAATAGTGTTCATTGCTGAAAATAAATACAAATATTCGGAATCGAATGACAACAGATTATCCAAAGTTAATTATAATTTTGTCAAGAGAAATTTCAAGTTTTTCTTGAATATAAAAAAGAATAGCTAAGAAAAGTATTTATTTGTAACAATGACTCGTACTCCTCGTCGTGTCCCTTCTTCAACAACAAAACCAGTGACTTTTGGCCAACCAGTAAATCATAGCAATAATGAAGAGGAATTCGAAAATGTACGAGTTACGCGATCTAATAGAGAACCAATAACTTCTTACAGTCATTATAGTGCGGTACAATTTCAAAGAGAATTTAATAATCGCTATAATACACCTTTCGTTGTTGAATATCCTATTGCTTCTGAAACTGTAAATCAGATTATTAAAAAAGTATGTATATAGAAAAAAAACTGATTTTAACTTATCTTAAACAAATTTTTTCTACTAAAATACTCTATTAGTATTTTACTCATTACTTTATTATTTTATCATGAGATAAAAATTTACTTTACTATTTTATCATAAGATAAAAATTTACTTTCATTGCAGCCTAAATCTTGGGACGTAAATCGATATGCAACAAAGAAAACTATTGCTCAAGGAATGCTGGACATTGCCTTACTTACTACTAATGCATCTCAACTGAAATTTATCCTTCAGGTAATTTTTATATGAAAAAATTATTAATATTATTATTTTAATTTTTATAAAATTTCCTTAGAATATTAGAAAAAAAAATCATCTCATCTCTATTTGTTTAGGTGGGAAGTCAACACGAATTTTATACACTAATGCTGACACTGATTGGTATTTCAATAAGTTTACAGGTAAATATCAAAATTATTCCTAATTTATAATTTCTGATAATTAAACTAATTATGTACGGCTTTTTTTATACTTCTCAGTAAGAGAAAATACTGTCTATAGACAACCTAGATAAGTTGCCTCTTGTATTAATAGTCGCATCCATGTTAATATTAGAATCAATAACTTAAACTTTTATTAATTTTATCATTGACTTTTGTCCTCGTAATACTTTAAAACAATAATTAACTTATTAGAAATTTAATATTTAATATACAATTTAAAATAAAAAATGTCTAGAATGAATTAGAATTAAACTTATTGTTTTCAATATTTATTTTTTTATTTCGTCGATTAATATTTTCGTTATTTATTTATTTTGCGTTTAGCTCCTTCAAGGCATTCTTTGTGTACTACTGGGATCGAGCTTTGATATAAACAAAGAGAATCATCAACGAAGGGCGAATTTGTGGAACGACATTTGCATGTCAATGATGGTTTTAACAGTCGCCGTTAATGTGATATTATCTGCATTTGAAATGCGTGACACAAATTATATTGAATACAGATCAGTAAAGAGCGCTATTCCAACAGAAGAGGAAAAAGCGTGAACAAAAAAATAATTGTAAATAAATCAAAATTTCTTATTCTTTTATATCAAAAAATTAAATAAGAATTAATCTGTATTATTGTACAGACTTTGAATTTTTAACAAATAACAATTTTTACATCTATGAAATTCATTTTTTTTTATACTTATATAAAATTAAATATACTTAATATTAGAAATAATTCAAATTCTTCTTATATTTTATGATAATTTTATTAAATTAAAAACATTTATATATAATAACAGAAATTGTACTGGGTCATAAAGGACCTAAACAGAATGTAATTAATATTGAATAATGAAATATAAGAATTAATACGTAAATTTGATAAATATTTTATGACTGGAATTAAGTCACTTTTTTCCACCTGTAAACATTAAGAATTACTTTTTTATTCTCAGTTTTCTTTTCACTCTTTTTAATGTTTATAAAATTTTCTATTAGTATTGTTACTTTAATTTTGTGTTATGACAATTTTCTCACTGGACTCATTTCATGATAAATACTAATTAGTTATGTTATTACTAGGATCATATCGAAAAATGTTCTATTATCTTTCCTTTTTGTATAAATTACATAATTTGTCCTCAAAATGAACTGAAAATATGGTGTATCATTCTCATAATTTTGAATAAAAAAGAATAAATTTAGTTTTGTGTTTATAAATTTGAAATTTATAAAAGTTGTTTTAATGATAAAAATCGGATGATTTTACCTTTTTTTGCGCCTTTCTTTCCAGCGTCGGCAGGTTCATTTGATTTTGATTGTGTACTTTTTCCACCAGAAGCGCCTCCTGATGATCCTTTCCCTCCTCCGGAATTTCCTTGTTTCTGCTGCAAAATTTTGAGATTTTTAAAAATTCTACATGATAAAAGTATTTTTTTTTCCATTCAAGAAAATTTATTGCAGTGGAATTTAGTTTATATAATATAATTATTATTTCAAAAACTTACATTTCCGCCTTTATTGTTTCCACCTATAAAAATATATACAACAATCTGACTTTCATCATTCGTATCACAATTGCCAAATGCGTAAAATGTTATACAATTACAAATATTTTTTTTAGTCATAAAAAATCAATATATAAAAATATTTCTAATAGTTAAATATTTACTTTACAAACGTAATGTTCAAGTAATAATTTTTTTAAATTAAAATTTCTCTATTTAAGTGATTTGAAAACAATGTCTATTTTTAAATGTTTTTCTCTTGATATTTATAAAAATGTTCAACTTGACAATGAAATCTAATAAAGTGGTATAAATATACTTACCTTTACCCTTGGCCATGGTAATGAAAGAATTAACGAAAAATTTTTCAGTAATTTTAAAGAAAAAAACTGTATAATTAAATCTTGTGACTAGAAGCACCCGAAATAACTAATAACGGAAATTAATGTGAATTAATGCAATAGTTTTTCGTATTTCATTTGTTTTGCAACATCTTCAAATGTTCTGCATGCGATGTTCTCTTCTAGACTGCCTTCAACTTCTTTACCGACGAAAATGCACTAATGCAATTTATCCACTTTATATATAGAAATTTATGCATATATTCTAGTGAGATGAAAATTAAAGATTAAAATATAGTATATTTTATGTAATATAGATCAATAGTATAGTTATAAGAAGCTGCATTGTAAAATATTAAAAATACTATTGAAGCAAACAAGGGTTTTTGCAGATAAATGTTCAGAAATAAAAATATTCATTATATATATATATAATTATAGATTTATTATTTTCCTAATTTAATCTTAAGTTTTTTACAAAAAAATAGTCCAACGTTGAGTTTATTCATCTTCAATTACATTGTCATTTAGTTTATAATTTAAACTTTACTGCTTTATAATACTGAGGATGGTTGTTCTTGTTTGTAAATTGTATACAAGATACAAAAGTATCTTTCAGTAATAAATTTTGACTAGAATTTAAGAAAATTTGATACGTATCTTCAACTCCTTGTTTCCTTTGCAGTTCAGTCATAGTTAACTCTTGATACTTTGTAACTGGTGTAAACTGACAAATGTTATTTGTAATCATCTCGAATAAATTGACAGTTGACTACGCCTTCAGCACTTTCCATTACTACCATCATGTTCTGTAAAAGAACAAAATTCACCTTTAAAATAATTTTCTAAAATAGCCAACTAGATTATATATTAAAAAACTTTCAAATTATTTTACATGCATAGTAAAAATGCTATAATTGTTTTTGTATTAAATATCAAGTAGAATAAATTGGAGTTAAATATTACAAGCAAATTTGAATATAACCTATAAATAATAGATATACATACCTTAATTTCACTGATGCTTTATTCTTTAAACAGAAGTAGTCCAAGTTTATTTTAATTGATCTTATAGGAATTGTAAAACAAATTATATTTTTACTGATTATCACATTCGGTATTTTCAATAATAAATACCATGTTTATTTAATTTTGGAAAGCAAGCGTGACCTAACACACAATCATGTAAATGCGGCAAATGGTAAATCACAAATGGATGAAAGATGAGAGTAAGTTGGCGAAGGCGAAATATAAGCATAAGATCATCTTCTCAAGTGATCCGACAGATGACGTTTCAAACCTGAAAATGAATGAAACTTTTAAGGACGTATTTTTACGGTAAAAATATTTTTACCGCATTTCCCAATATAGAACAAATTATTTATACTCTACATTTTACTAAGTAAATATACACAAAAGTTCATGCAATCATAAATATATTATGATAATTAATTACAGATAAATATATAAAAACTGCTTGAGAATGGAGGTTGAAAATGCTGTATATATGTACTTGTATTGTTGTAGCCACATCCGTTATAAAATTGTATTATTAGATTTCAGCGTTTGTTGAAAATGCTTTCATTGCTTTCTCTAGAAAGTTCCAGAGTACAAAACTTATGTTCAGAATCAAATATATCTGCACAGCAACGGTTCCTTATTGATTAATAATAAACTAATTATTCTGGCATGATGATTTATCAGGTTTTTTTCTCATTTTTTACATCTTTTTTTTATCTTATTGTATAGTATTTTTAGTATTTTCATTCCCTATACAAGGAAAACTTTATAGTAAATAAATAATGTAAAATTTGTAACATTGTAACTTTTAATTCTATTCTGTATGAGACAATAATATTTTTGGTAAAGATCGTAAAGATTAATGAGTATAATTCTTTTTTTATAAATTATAAATTATTCAATTTTATCATATTCCTTCCTAAAAAACCTACGTTAATTCTACGTTTGGAAACGTTTACAAACCCACCGAATCAATAACAAATTATAATTCAAGCCTCTGTCTGCTTTTAGGCATTACACATAATATCGAACCTGGAACAAACCATATATGGTATACACGGCACTGTTATAACGGAAGTTATAAAAGCACTGGATTTTTATAGAAGAAATGAATTCTGTACTATAATATATTTTGATTAAAAAAAACTGTTTCTATGTGCTAGTAATTTAGAAATGATATATTTTACTTTTCTCACCCTTTATATGTTAAAATATTCTAAAAAAGGGACAGGTGTTATGAACTATTTCTTCCAGGAGTAAAAAATTGATGCGTTCTGCGGTTAAAATGTAACCAATCGTAGCGACGATGACAACATAAAGCACCAATCAACGATCAGAGGGGGGAAGTTTACTGGTACTATAAATACCAAACAGACGCGCACCCGCGCGCAGTATTCGTCTTCTCTTTAAACGGTATTGTTGTGCAGTTTGCAGAAGCCGCATTACCAGCTTCAGCCAACAATCAACTTTCCGTCTCACAAGAAAGGAGCACTACTTTAATATTCAAAATGGTAAGTTTCGATATATTAATGTTCAAAATACGTTGGTTTTAATTTGATATCTTTATTTTTTCGACGGAAAAGAGAAAGTTCTGTGTCCGCTTCTCTTGGCCTTTATTCAACCATGGAGTCAGCCATATTGTTGTAACGGTTAACTACCGGCCGGCTCCACCCTTTTTCTGACTCATATTTCTATAGCCCTACCCTTGATAATTTTTCAATTATTTCTATTATTATATCCTTGAGATAATAATTTTATCAAGTAACTTTTATCTTTAACTTTTTTATCTCTATTTTCATATTTATTACTCTACTATAGACAAAGGAAAATTGGAATTTGTAATTCGTATTTTAATTTGGACATGAATTACTGATCAATTTAGAACAATTTACTTGTGCGAAATATTTTCTATAATTTTTTTTAGAGCGGAGCCGTATTTTTTTTATTGTCGATTGTAGAACATTCTTTAGTTTCGTTTCTTAAATTAGAATTAACCTTTAAAGTGCTAAGTGTTGGAAAATCACGCTCAGTGCTAACCCCGGTCTGTCAGACCGCTATTCCCTTTTGACAGTTTTTTAGTCATTTATAATTTTTAAAAGACTACTATTATAAATATTTTTTACTTTTTAACAAAAAAAGTCATTTCTGTATTATGCATTTATTTATTTGATTTATTTTGTAAATGCAGTATATGAGAACTGTCAGTAAAACTAGCTGCGCGTCAAGTTGCGCAGACGTTACTCATGGGAATATACTGGAATATACTTTCACTTAAAGCTAACCCCGGTCTCACAGACCGCTATACTTCAAATATTTATTTATATTAAAAAATTTAACGAATAAAATTTTTTGAAAAAGTTGTCTCCTAACAGATTTTTATAAAATATGAAGCTTCTAAAAAGTTCAAGTTCTTATTATACTTTGAAAAAAAGTTACAAGCAAAGAAAATTTTAATAGCGGTCTGCCAGACCGGCATAGCACTTTAAAGGTTAACTGGAAATGAAGAATTATTGATTCTTTTTTCATGGTATTTTTAAAGTTCTGTTTCTTACGGTATGTTTTATTTTTAGCGTGAATGTATCTCAATCCATGTTGGTCAAGCCGGAGTCCAGATTGGTAACGCCTGTTGGGAACTTTACTGTCTGGAACATGGAATCCAACCGGACGGTCAAATGCCCTCTGACAAGACTATCGGTGGAGGCGATGACAGTTTCAACACCTTTTTCAGTGAAACTGGTGCTGGAAAACACGTTCCTCGAGCTGTCTTCATCGATCTTGAACCAACAGTAGTCGGTAAGATTAAATTTAAGATTAAGATTAATTAAGATTCAACTGCTGTCAAAGAAAAAATTATATTCACACTGAAAGAATTCTGGGCAGACTGCATGCTTTACATGGGAGGCGCCAGAGCTCTCTGTCTCAGGGCTCGTATCTCACCTCAAAAAGGCGAGATGCGAGCCCTGAGACAGAGAGCACTGGCGGTTCTCATGTAAAGCTTGCACTCTGCCCAAAATTCTTTCAGTGCAGAGAATAACTTTTGAAATTTGAAATTTCCAGATGAAGTACGAACTGGAACATATCGTCAGCTGTTCCATCCAGAACAACTAATCACTGGAAAGGAGGACGCAGCTAACAATTATGCTCGAGGTCATTACACTATCGGAAAAGAAATTGTTGACTTGGTTCTCGACCGCATCCGTAAATTGGCCGACCAATGTACTGGACTCCAAGGATTCCTAATCTTCCACTCCTTCGGTGGAGGTACCGGCTCTGGATTCACATCTCTTTTGATGGAAAGACTCTCTGTTGACTATGGAAAGAAGTCGAAATTGGAATTCGCTATCTATCCAGCTCCACAAGTTTCAACTGCTGTTGTCGAACCCTACAATTCAATATTGACAACCCATACTACCTTGGAACACTCCGACTGTGCCTTCATGGTAGACAATGAAGCTATCTACGACATTTGCAGACGAAACTTGGACATTGAACGACCGACCTACACAAATCTTAACAGACTGATTGGACAGATTGTTTCCTCCATCACGGCTTCTCTTCGTTTTGACGGTGCTCTCAATGTCGATCTTACCGAATTCCAAACAAATTTGGTACCATACCCAAGAATCCACTTCCCTCTGGTCACTTACGCTCCAGTCATTTCTGCCGAGAAGGCGTATCACGAACAACTTTCCGTTGGAGAAATCACAAACGCCTGCTTCGAGCCAGCCAACCAAATGGTCAAATGCGACCCCAGACACGGAAAATACATGGCTTGTTGCATGTTGTACAGAGGAGACGTTGTTCCCAAGGACGTCAATGCTGCAATCGCAACAATCAAGACCAAGCGCACAATCCAATTTGTCGACTGGTGTCCAACTGGTTTCAAGGTAAATATTCCTTTTACCTCTATAATATACTTATGAAATTATTAATTATTAATTATGAAATTATCTAATTGTTTGATTTTATCTTTTTCCAGGTCGGTATCAACTATCAACCCCCAACCGTTGTGCCAGGCGGTGATTTGGCCAAGGTACAAAGAGCAGTGTGCATGTTGTCCAACACAACAGCTATTGCTGAAGCGTGGGCAAGACTCGACCATAAATTCGACTTGATGTACGCCAAACGTGCTTTCGTACATTGGTACGTCGGTGAGGGTATGGAGGAAGGCGAATTCTCAGAAGCAAGAGAGGATCTTGCTGCTCTGGAGAAGGACTACGAAGAAGTCGGTATGGACTCCACCGAAGGCGAGGGAGAGGGAGCAGAAGAATACTAGACTACCAAATTTTCATCATTTTAATGACATTCCTCTCTGCAAGAAATTTTTAAACCAATATCTTTTACACCAGTCTTTGTTTACAGCTTTTGCCAGTTGAATAAAAAACAGTAATTTTCAGCAACTTATATGCATGACTCTTTATTTTCCTCCAATTACAAAGAAATTAAAACTTGAATTAAAAAATTATTTAACTAAAGTCAACTGAAATTTAATTTAATTAAAATTAAGCTTGGAAAAATGTATTATTAAAATAATAATTGAAATTAAATTAATTAAATAATAATTGATTATTTTTAAAAAAAAAGAATGTAATGAAATTTAAAAAAGAACGTAATTAAAATTATTTTACCATATATTTAATATTTCATAATATATTAACTATTACAATAATAAATTGCAATTATATTGTTTAATAATACAATAATTATTGTTATACGATAGCATTTCTCGTCAAAGTAATTTTATGTACTCCGTGCCTGAAAATACATTATTTTTTCTGCAATCTTAATATTTCAGTTTACATTCATCTCATTCCTTTTTGTTTTTTTTTTTAGAGAGAAATACAATAGAAAATAATGGAAAGAATCGAATTTGTAACTGATTCTTTTTTTTCGATATTTCCTGTACAAAAAAGCTATTTAATATTTACGTACATCGCGTTAATTTCTGATTCTCATGCAAGTGCTATCAAATATTTACTTCACAATCGCAGTCCACAATTATTACAATATCAATAAAAGTAATCAAAGGAACATTAAAAATAACGAACACAAGTCGTTCGTGTCGTTGTTCAATTCGCTTTAACCCGCATTCATTTTTAAAAGTAAAATTTTTTTATTTAAATCAAAATTATTTTATTTATTTATTAAATAATAATTAAGAAATCATTCAAGTATTAAGTACTTACATTTCTTGGTGTTGAATATTTAAAAAAAAAAATAAACAAACGCAAATTTTATTCCAAAAATTTGCCAACTCAATAAATTATTTAATTTCTTTTAGGATTAATGTTCACATAACATTTGAATGATTCTTATTATTATATCAAAATTATACAACCTATCATAAAAAGTATTAAATTCTTTTTATTTTATTCCAGTAATAAAGTATAAACGCATTTTAAAATTATGGTTAATAAGTCAAAAAACTGAAAAGAACAGTCATAAATAGAAAACTTTGTAAATTGTAAAACCTCATCTTCTTATTTTTAGTTTCACTTTATGTAAAAAATATAAAAGAACAAAGAGTTGAAAACATTTTTTCAATATAATAAAAAATTGTGAAAGAAAATAAATTTCTTAAAATCTAAAGAAATCTTGTCTAGAAATAATAGTATTTACAGAAAGTATTGTCTAAATAATGTTTCGCATTTTTTATTAAAACATTTGTAAGATTTTTTTTAAATACAGGTGGTGTTTTAATTCACAATAACACAAATAATTAAAATGCATTTTGCCCATCTTGAAGTGAAATTTAAATAAAAACTAATAAAAAAACGAATAGATGTATATATATATATATATATATTTATATAGAGATTAAAAAAGCACTTTGGAAATTATTGCAAGCAAGTGCAGCGTGTTTCTTAATTGCAAAACTAATGCGATGGCTCTAAGGCGCGTTTTAGCGAGTTGAAGTGAATCGATCAAAAAAAGGTTGATTATTAAGATTTAGTTTAGAAATACAGTCATAATATCAGCTGGCCATTTTGTGGAACTGCACATCAATATTTCTTTTATCACGTCCTTATTTAGCTTAATATCTTCCATACATATTTTTTTAATTAAAAAACAATGAACGTGATAATTTTTTATGGAAGATGGACAAATGCACAAGTTTAGATATTTCTACATAAAGCGTATCGAAGTATTGAACATTTTTTTTTTTGAAACAACTTCGATTTCTTTTTTATTACCTCATCGATTCCTATAACAGCGATCAAGAGCGCTCGCTAAATCTTCATAGGCCATTTTTTTTAAAGCGGAAGAGAAAAACAATGTGCAAAGATAAAAAGCGACATTCGTTAATATTTCACGAATCTAAATATAATCCTTTTCTTTTTCTGTTTAGAAGGTGGCTCACGATATTCGCCTTACCCTTCCGACTAAGTATCAGGTACGGAGGATCTAGAGAAATCAATCGGAGATCACCATAGAAGAAATATTTTTTGCGACGTATCTCATGCGCAATTAACTTGCTCTCCTTAAATAAAAACGTTCTAACGAGAGTGTTTTGTATCAGAGGCAATCGAAACTTGAGATGATATTGTTATCATTAAATTTCCTTTATTAATGTACTAGCTTAAAAATCTTCTCACTATAAAGTTGCTTAAGAAATAAAGTTTATTAGAGCGCCTTCAATTACATTTTGTTGAAAAAAAGAATCCACTCTCCGTATATTCGAATAAAGAGAGTTGAAAGCTTGAAAAGTGCGCCTCATACGTGTCGAATAATAATAATTATTATTATTATTATTATTATTATTATTATTATTAGGGAAAAAGTCAAGTAGCATCGGACCTTGTTAAAAAATTTCATTACAATTTATCAAATATCATGAAATACATATTAATTGCACCTCAAATTACTTAATATAAAAATTGTTCCCGTTTCTACTAGAAACATGTGGTAAATATATTCTAAACTTGTCACCTTTATATTTATTATATTTTTTACTAAAATGAGTAAAAATCAAAAATAAGAGAATTAATTATGAATAGTCAATTGTTGACAAAAATATTGTCAAAATTCATTAGATCGAATAAAAATATATAATCCTATACAAATATTTTGGTAAAATATTTTTACAACCAAATTATATTGTAATAAAAAGCATCGAAAATATAAATTCAAAAATCTTAGGAAGACGGTGCTACCAGAATTTATCCTAATATTATTATTTTTTTACAAAATATGCAATGCACAAGAGGGTAGAATCCGGTAGCATATATAACTTTCGAATAGAACGTTTCGTGCAATTTACCCGAGAGTGTTAAAAGCACATTATAACGATAATTATGAGGGTGAGTTTCTTCAGATTTTAAATACACAATAAAAAGAGCGCGACTCTTAACAAATTAAAAACGTAAAAACGTTAACAATACAATAAAATTTTCTTATTGTAGACGTAATGCGATGGCAGTCTTGAGTCCTGGAAAGATGCTATGATTGTTTTGCTCGGATGCAATTTACTTGTCCGCTAATTGCTTTATCACGTCTAGTTCCTCATTCTGAACTCGCATTTCGATTCCGGATTGGATGTGTCAACGTTTACTTATGGTAAGCTTTCCTTTCTGGCAGTGTCTGAAAACAATTTGTATAATTGAAAAACAAATTTATTTACAATTAGAATTTATTTATAATTAGACTAAAACTGACATGATGATTTAATCATTCCGAGTGTGAGAAATAAATCTTCTATAATTATAAAAAGGAAATCGAGTAAATCGTAAGAATTAAAAATGAAAAACGGTACCTAACATAACGGTCAATTAATAAAGAACTCGTTAAAAATCAAAACCGTTCATTTTCTACGTATAATAAAACTAGCGAGCTCAACTATCCTATCAACTATCCTAAGGATTAATGCCATTCAGCTTTTCAGAAAGTACAGTCATAAACTATCAGTAAGCAATTTAGTCTTCACAGAACTCGTTAAAAATTTAGGAAGGTGACCTTCATTTTTTAAAGTTAATTCAACTATAGCTGCAATATATTCAGCTATAGATCATGTAAAGACTAAATTTCATTAATCAATAATCTTGACTTTCTTCACTATAATTTCTATTTTTCAACTCGATAGTTAAATTGGCAAAAAATCTGTTCAAGTTAATTCTCTTCCCATGACATGGCAAGCATTTGAATTTTTTTCTAAAAATGATTCTAAATCCTTACCACTCGAATTGATAATAAAATAGGAAATTGGGAATATACATACCGAGTATAGAACTACCTACGCCTCAACAGGCTTCTTCTTTTCCTTTTTCTTTTTAAGGAAAGACGGCGTCCTCAGGCCCTTCTTCTTCTTCTTTTCTTTCTTGGGAGATTCTTCGCTGACGCTGACATCCTGCGACATGGAACCCTTAACATGGAAGGTCCCAACCTTAAACTTTTTCTCATGCACATGCAGTGTTGTGATTCTTATGAATAACTCTAACTTTCAGTCTCAATCCATGCAAGCAGCGTTTATAGCGAATAGCTTGCTTACAGCACTATCATTTATTAATTCTATTGTATCATTTTTTTAATAATAAAATTCTATCTTGATGATTTTAATAAAGTAATGAAGGTACAGAAAAATATATCTAGATATGAATGACTGAATAATTAATTAAATGAACTTTTCATCCAAAAACTACATAAATTCTTGGATTTTTTTCTTTTTTTAAATTATAGAAATAAAACTCTCTAAATATGAAAAACTTAGAATGCATCAAAAGTCTAGCACGCGTAAGAGAAAAGTGCGTATTTAAATTTACAATTCTCAAAAAAGTCGTTTATTTTATCCCAAAAATGTCATTTTGTATTTCCCTGTCCTTTCAATAATTTCTATATTGAATAATTCAAAAATTAAATAAGAAAAATATTTAAATTTTAATTTTCCTGGAATTATTTAGAGTTAATTCCCCATTTTTTCATAGTTTTAATTTATTTTTCAAAAATATTTAAATCTCATTTATTTTTCCACAATAATTAAAGTTTATAAAATTTCAATTTCAAATCCTAATGAAAATCAATTATTTACAAATAAATGCGTACTTCCTTCAAAATCAAATTTTTCAAAGATTTTCCATCCAAAATTATTCCAAAGTTTAATAATTTTTTAAAATAAAAAAAGTGAATTATCGAAAATAAATAAGTGAAATTATTGAAATTATTGAAAATAATTGATTTTCAAAAAATTACCTACCTATAATAAAAGAATTCGGAAAATAATTTTAAAAATACACTAAAAATATTTTTAAATAATATTTGAAAGATAATTAATTTTTACAATTTTATATAATTGAAAAATGTCCAAATAATTCAAGTTTAGTAAAAAATTAATTTGAAAATAATTAGTATTTTAATTCTTATTTGAAAATTAATTTTTTTACACATTAAAAATCGAAATAAGTTCATTTTATACCAAAAAAGTGATATTTTTTGACGCATTTTAAGTGAATTTTCATTTTTTCAGATTTAGAGAGTACAATTATAATTTTTTTCTACAATGAATATTTAAGGAAATAAATGTTCTTTGTATTAAAAATTATCAAAATTACTTTTTGAATCATTTTACAATGTGCAATATGAATATTACTCGTGTAATACATACTGAATAAGAAGACTGAAAAAGAGAGTAATTTTCTGAAACTTGGATCGTTTTTAAAAAGTTTTAAATTTAACAATTAATTTTTTTCAATACACTGAAAAAAGTTTGTTTGATTCAATTAACCGATTATTTGTCTATTATCAAATAAATATTTACTCGAATCAAATAATTATTATTCAAATCAAATTATGTTTGAAATAAATTGTATTTCAATCAATAATTTATTGAAGCAAATATCATTTACATAATTGACTCAAATAAAAATTATTCGATTCCAGTAAATATTTAATTGATAATAATCAAATAATTGATTACCATTTGAATCAAATAAATTTTTTTTTTCAGTGAATAAATAACAACTCATAATTGATATTAAGTTTCAGAAAACTAGAAAACATTTATAAATCTTTGCATATATTATATATGTGCATGGAATTGAGATATCAACAAGTATAAGAAATTGAAAAATTCTCTCTCCAAATAATAACAATAACAGTAACAGTAGATAGTGTTAATAAAAATGATAATGATAATAGTAATAATATTAACAAAAATGATAATAAAAGTTAACATATATAAGATATACAAAGATTGACAAAAAATTGATTTAATCAGACGTAACGTACCTCTTTGCTACTGTGCGAAAATGTGCTGTGATGCGCATCAGAGTGATCTCCATTTACGGTGTTTTCCCCTGTAACATAAAATTATAAATTGAAAAATTTTCCTCCAAATCATTTATTTGCAAAGAATATTTATTTTTTTTTAAATATTCTCAACAAATTTTTGAAATTCTCCTTAAACCCACAACCCACAAGATGGAATTTTATATTTTGGACAGAGAAGAAAGGGAATTTCTTACCTCAATTAATATAAAGCTTGATAGATGTGTAAAATAGCTAAATTCTTGCGATTAAATGCTATGAGAAAGCCAATCAGAGAGGAATTCTTGTTACCAAAAAAATGATAAGTACTGTCAAGGCATTTCATAATTGAAAAGAGCTAGAAACATTTTTTAAACTTGAAATAATTAAAATCAAGAAAAAGTTGAAATTTTAACAATTAAAATTTTACCAAAAATTACGTAAAGCTCGTTCCAATTATTTGTCAAGTAAATAAATAAATGAGTGTTATTAATGAACCTTATAATCGATATGTACAAGAAAGATGGTGATCATAAGGACTAAGATATGAAAAAATAAATAAACAATTATAATACCATAGACCAGAAACCAAAATGCACCTTAGAATAAAATAGTACTTATGAACAACTTCTTCCTTCCACAATCATTTTTGTGTTTCGTTTTTACAAAAGTTTCTTTATTCTTCAATGAAATTGTGATATATGAATATAATTATAAATAAATATGCGATATGAAAAGCCAATGGATTAATCACGTGCTATATACATAGCGTAAAAAATATAATGGCAATTGTGCATAAACAAAAAACATTATACCTTAAATAAAACAAAAGAAGCGATTTTTCCAACTTAAAATTCACAAATTTACCATTACATTTTTAAAATGCTATTTTCATTTATGATTCAACAACTTAATTCTAATTGTGACGTTTCGTCTATCGGTATCACGGCAATATTTCGCTTTGCGATTTTTAATCTATCCAAGTCTCGAAGTAACAATCATTAAAAATACTTTCTTTTAGCATTTTATATAGAAAAACATTTGTTTTTTTCTTTAATATTTTAAATATTTTAAATATGTTTTTTATAATACGTAAAATTTGTTTTAAATTTTCAATTATATAAAATATACTTTGAATTGTAGATTTAAAATCTTTAATATTTTAATATTATTCAATACTCTAATATTAATTTGGTAGAGTAAAATACTTTACGGTATTATAAAGTTTCAATCAAGTGCTTCCTATTCTATTATTTTCTTTGTAAGATTAAAAAGCGTTAAAGTGCTTAAAAGTTTTTTTTTTAATTCTTTCGAATTAACTCTATTCTAATGTATCACGAGAATCATTCTTTAAACTAATCGATGAATAACTATCAGTATCGGAAAGATTCATTTGAGTTATAACTCTATACAAACTAGTTTCCTCAAATTTTTCCTCAAATTTTTCCTCAAATTGTTGATCGATTGGGGAAAATTCACTTTTTTTGAAATTGCAACAAATCGCACTGTCATGTTCTTCGAGATGTTTTTCGAGTTTCATGAATTCTTTAGTGTCGTACGAATACGTCATGTAATCGGGTGGATTTTTGTAAATCGACTCCAACTCTTGACTAGTTTCAAATTCACGAGAATGATACTCCTTTTTTGGAAAGCAATCTCCCTTTGTGTCCACGTCCGATATCATTGTACTCGCTGATACGTCGGCGAAATTCAAAGTTGTGTTATTACAAAAGTCTTCTCTCGTTCTCTGTAAAATCGATTCGTTTTTTCGCTTCTCCAAATTCGAAGACACGTCGGCATTGTATTCCAATTCTGAAGTTTTGTCGCTGTCGCTTGCATCGGAAATGGAGTAGGTGGCATTTTGATTTTCGTCGCAGTCGACGTCTTCCTTGGTTGTGTCACTTCCGTCCCTGCAGGTGAAAAAATCTAGACTACGAGGAGAGAGTAGAGAATGGTCGAAGGATTTTTGATTTTCGTTGGTGACAAATTCGGTGGATTCGTTCATTTCTTCGATTGGAGGGAGCTTTGAGGATGATTCTTCTTCGCCGATGTTCACTTCCAGGCAACACGTGCAGACTTCTTCTTTTTCTTCAAAGTCGCCGAAATGAATGAAGGAAGGAGTTTTTTCGAGGAATTGGAATCTTTCATTTTTACAAGTCTCTTCTATTTTGTTTTCTCTAATATTCCACAGGAAACTGACTTCCTGATCGTTGAGGACTTGGGCTTTTCCCGTATCGAGTCGTAGAGTTTCCTTTTCTCTACTATTGTCGGATTTTGTGTCGTTATCGGTCGATTCGGAAGTTACTTCTTGTTCGGCGAAATTTTCCGACTCGGCCGACTGAATTTCAGAGGGCGAAGAATTTACCGTGCTCGTTGGATATTTTGTATTTCTATCACTGTCTGATGAGAACATGGTAAGTAATTTATCTCTCAAGTTCAGGACGTCATCTTCGTCGTCGCTCTCCGGAGAATTTTCCTCTAATTTTGGCTTCAATCTTGGCTGCATTTCTCCAACTTTGAAATCTACCTCCGAATTTTCCTCTTGACATTCTTCTTGAATTGAATCTGGATTATTGCTCATCAAGTGCAGAAGCTGTTTTATACACTCCTTGTCCTTTTGTGTCTCGGCAATTTCCTTATTTTCCGTTGGCAGACAGTTGAGACAATCACAAGGTAAAATCTCGTCATCTTTCAATTTCTTCAAAAGTTCTTGAAATCCAACTTCCGTTTCGTCGGACATTTTATTGGGACACTTTTTCAGTTCGATGTTGACAGTTTCTTTCAATTCCTTCGGTATACAAACTGAAGGATTTTCATAATCGAGTTTATCAATTATGTGGTGTACAATCTCTCGGATAACAATAAAGTTGTCTAAATTCTCATCGCCCCCTACTAAATTCTTCAAAGTATCGGACTGCAAATCATTCTCAATTTGAGAATTCAATTCCTCTTGATCACTTCCCGGTAGAGTCGAAATTAACCTCTCGATAATATCCTTAACAATCAGAAAAGCGTAAATTCTATTCTGCATCAACAGTGTCGCTTCCTCTTTCAGATTTTTCACATCGATGTACATATTTAAACAAGTTATGTCGTAAATAATATCATCAACGAAATTCGTAGCACTCGTGTAGATTTCCGTCTTTTCCAAATCACTGATTATTTCATTAACAGTCGAGTTCAATTCCTGTCGAAAAGATTCATCTTCATTTTTCTTGAGTTCAAGATAGGTGGAACTTGGGAGTTCCAAAATATCGGAACCTTGAGTGGAATTATTCTCCACATCGGACATGGTTTCATCGCTCAAATAATCATTTAGAATTTTAATATTTGGAAATGATTTGACTAGAGTGAGTTGTCTTTGTGTATCTAAAATATCATCCTTCTCCTTCTTAACGCTCGCGAGATCGAGCCACTCAAATATATCGTGTTTTAAACATCTACTGGAATCTAAATTATCAAATAGTTCAAAACTCTCAAGACTGAGACCCATCATTTCGATGGAAGTATTTTTACTCGACACACCTTTCTTCGAGGACAGTTCCGGTGTCAAACTATAAATCAAACTCATGTTCGTTGGATCTAAATTGTACTTGAGAGAATTATCTGTTTCGGGAAGATTCTCAAATGTCGTTATCGACGATGAATAATTCACGTTTATATTGTTAATCATCTCGGTGATGCTGTCTCGCCTCTCAGATGTTGCGGATGGAATTAGTTGAATTTTCTCAGTTTCACTGTTGGTATTATCATTTTTTGGAGAACTTTTATCTATTTCTTGTTGAATACCACTTTCAGCTTCAGCTTCATTATGAACAATCTTCTTGTAGACTTTTGAAAATAATTTATTAACATCCACATCTGAATGTTTGAATGAAAATATTTCGTCTATGAAAGCTTCAATGTCTTCATCGTGTGCTGGTCGTTCTAGTTTTTGCGAAGGGAATTCTGCGATATCTTCTATTGTTTCATAGTCGACGTTGAAAATTTCATCAAAAGCGGATTCTTCTGAGTTAACTTTAATGGAAAATAATTCTTTCAGATGAAAACACTCCTCTTCTTTCTCATCTTTGGCAATGAAAGAATTATTTTCTCCCTCTGAGGAGGAAGAATGTATTTCTTTCACAAAGTCTTCATATTTTATGTCTGTATCCTGTAAAATGGTTTTGCAGTTTGTTTCATCGCTTTTAAATTTCTTCTCAGTTGTTTTATTTTGATCAGGTTCAATTTTGATTTTATCATCAATAGAGTTTTGTTTAACTGTTGGTAGTTGTTCTTTAAATTCCAATTCTTCCATATTAGCTAAAACTGAATTTTTCGAAACGTCCGATTCATTGCCTGTGCCATCTTCTTGTGTTGAAATTATATTTTCATCTCTATTTTCAATTTCTTCTTTGCAAAACGTATTATTTTTATCTGATGAAGATTCTGAAGCTGTTGAACTATTTGACGAAATTTGCAATTCATCCGTTTCAACGTTTTCATTTTTTTCGAAACAACTTTCTTTTATGGAAACTTTTGAAAAAGTTTCATTCAAATTCTTCTCTGAAGTGCTGTCACTTTCATTGCTAACTGATGAATCATGGTCATCACGGTCATCATGATAAGATTTATCTTTTTCGTCCTGAAATTCATTTATCATCGTTTTTTGTTCATTCCTTTCACTTTCTATTGTAGGGATACTTTCATTAATATCGACATTATCACAATTGATTGATTTTGGTACTTCTTCGGTAACTTGAATATTAGCAAAAGATTCTTTTTCTTGTTCATTTATTTCACTTTCTATCGCAGGAATGATACCATCGTTACTATCGGAAGAAACTTGTTCTGTAATCACATTTTTATTTATACTTTCATCACAGAAATCTTTGGTAACATTATTAGTCTCATTCTCGTTGCTAGTGTAATAATCGATAGATTCATTTTCTAATTTTCTATTTTCACTCGACTCTTCCTCTTCATTTGAAATAATGATGCTGGCATTTTGCTCCACATGGTATTCATTACCATGCTCATCTTTATTTTCATCAGACGTGACATCTTTCTTTGAATCCGTCTTAATCAAATCACAACTATCAGGTTTAATTTCAAAATTCGAATCTAAAACTTTTCGAACTAAACTTGGCGCTTGTAGCGGTTCGCTCAGTGATTCTGGGGAAAGAGGGTCACTTTCCAAATCACTTTCAACTTGCTCTTCCAAATCTATATTAAGCTGTTGAATGAAATTCACTTCTTGACAATGATCAAAATTACAATCGACAGTGATTATTTCCTCGCTCTTGACATTTGTGTCCACATTTGTTCCACTAATAGATTCGCTATCCGTTGAGCTAATTACATCACTACAACGAATCAGAGGATGAAATTGTGTCTTAATTACAATATTTTTTAAATTATCAACCGACGTATTCGTACTTTTCGACGGAATATTCAATTTTTTAACGCACCGTCTTTTAGATTTACTTCCAAGATTCTTGGAATAATTTCCTACATCCTTCAACATCGTGTCATCATTTTCCAATTGTCCTTTGTTATTCTTCAAGGAATAATCTTCTTTATTTGTGACATCGATAAAAACACTATTTTCATCTCGTGAATCTATATAATCTTTTATCTTTGGACTAATTTTTTTGACTAAATGTTTTTTCGCGTTATTTCGATTTTTATCTAAATTTTCAATTCCACTTTCATTTACACTACAATTTAAATTTAAAGTCAAGTTAGAATAGTTTTTCAATTTATCATTAAGAGACTTAACTATCGCGCACGAATTCTCCAACTTGTTTTTATTTATTCGCTTCTCATAATTTGCAAAGAATTCGCGTTTTAAAATATTATTTTGTCTCGAATTAAAAAAGGAACGCGATTTTTTATCGTTTATCACGATATTCTCAATTTTAGAAGACAACAATGTTGGCGATTCAATTTTCATCAGAACGGGTTTCAAGATTTCCGCGACTGTTGTAGTTTTCGTAACTTCTAAACGAGGATTGTCGACGGATTCCGAGGATTGCCAGCTTGAGTAAGATAAACCTTCAATTTCACTGCTGCATGTACTTGACGGACCATTATCTGTAACCACATTGTCCAACAAACCTCAAACCATATACAAAATTACTTTAGCTAATTTTACAATACTATCGAAATTGACTCTTTTCCGTTTTCATACAAAGAAAAAGTTTTAGTAGCATTAATATTTTGTTAATCCCTTGTACCTTTTTCAAAACCATATGGAAAACATTAATATAGCCACCACATAAAAATATTATCACTACACTGTTTAATATTTTATCAATTTCCAATTAAAATTCCATTATTTGTCAACATATTAAAAATAATTTAATACCTAATTACAATATATAAAAAAAATAACACAAGTTAATTTGTGGTTTCTATGTTTTTACTATTATAAAAATGTATATTTTTCAATTGAGAAAAAAGTAAAAGAGATTAACGTTAGTGAAAATGTTAATACTTGAAATGAAATCACTTTTTTAAAATAATTATTTTACGTGAAATATTCTTGTATTTTGATGCAAGATAAATATTAAGTGCAAAACAAAGAAATGTAACTAGTAGAGTAGAGTGCAAGAAGCTGATAAATGAAACATAAAATTTTAATGAGTACTTTTAAAGCATTGCGTGAATAAATTGATTTTAATTATGAATACGATTTTAAAAATAAACATTCATGAAAAATAGCGTTTACCAGCTTTTTTTGCGCTATCTTACCCACATTTTGTCAAAATTTATCGTCATTTTAAAAACTAACCTCGTTTGTTGGCATTGTTTCGTGATTCAATCGTCGAACGCCGCATCTCATTAAGGAATTCAGTAGTAGCATCCACTGCACATTCAGAACAATATAACACATGCAATTCTCAAGTTTACAAATAAAATGCACTCCTAAATCAAACTATGTATTCAAGTTACACTTTAATATAGATAAAAACTTTTATAAGGAAGAATAAGTAATAAATTTTCTTTACGATTTAAATTATTAAAGAAAAGAAAGTGTAGCGATTACTAGATTTAGATATTTATTCTATTGGCATGCTTCGTGCTTTAACTTTACCTTACCGCATAAGAGGAGTTTCCACAACCTTTGATTCTACAGAGTTATCTACTTTGCAAACAATTCAGGCAAACTTGATTCACTCAAAGGGAAAATTATTACGAGCTACAGTCTATTTTCACAGATCAAGTATCAAAAGAAGATGTATCATGATGTGAAAAGTATGAAAAGATATGTAACAATAGTCTACCATTCGCCTTTAAATAAAACAGTCGTTCCGTATCAAAACTCAATCCAAAAGTTAGCTTTCCAAAAAGGGTTCAAAAATTTATTTGAAAAATTCCTTTTTAAATATTATTACTAGAAGATGTAGAGAAAGAACTCAAAATTTGTAGATACTTGTTCCTCTAATTGAAAGTTTCAATAGCATGCATTGGTGCAAAATTATTTTTTCAAATAAACTGGTAAACTTACCATCACTTAATACAACTTCTGGTTGACTTGGCACAGGCACTTGTTTTGTTGCTATCCGTAATACTCTGGGTTCTGCAAATATAATAAAATGATAAAGGTCTTTTTTACTAAATACTAATTATTAATTAAAGTTAACATATACTATATTGTATATTAAAATATTCAATTAATTTCAAAAGAATATGAATTAAAACTATTCAAAAAACTAAGTTTTAATATAAAATTTGTAATTAAATTTATTTAAAATTCAAATTGAAACCTTTTGTATTTCAATTATTTAGAAAAATTATTCATTTAAATAATTTATAAGCAATAATTTTATAATAGTTTTTCAAAAATTAAATTGTTTTAAATAAATTCAATTTCTTATGAACTCTAAAAATTTAATTTAATTTTTTCCAGTATTTTCAATTGATTTCCCTCAATTAATTTAATATAGTGTTGAGTTAAATTGCAATTTTTATTAATCTTACCATCTCTGCTTTCTTCTTCTGTTTCGGAAGTAACCGAGACTGGCGATTGGATTGGGCTTTTGGCAGTACTAGATTCGTGCGTTGCTCGACTAATGTTAAATGATGATAAGGCTTCCGATTCAGACTGCGATTCATCGTCTGTAAATCGTCAAATATTTTTCAGAACAAATATAACAAAATTCTAAAATTCTAAAATATATTTCAATTGAAATTGTTTAGAAATTGAAAAATGTTTACTTACAAGGATCTCCTTTTTGCTTTCGTTCGACATCTTTTTTGTATTGATCGAGTTCTTGATCCGTCACGGCGTCAAATGGATTTTTGGCGTAAGGTGTTTTGTAAACCATTGCATTGTGTTGAAATCCTCTTTGGATAATACCTTTGCTGGCTGCACCAACCAAAACTACTTGTTCTCCAGTTCCACTGATAGTAGCGTCCTAAAGTTTACAAATAAAAAGATCAAGTTACGAAATACTGGCAATTTTATTTATTATGTTTAGTAATTACAACAAGAAAATAATTTACCTGCATTTTTTTAGCTTCTTCCCATGTGACACCTTCCAAAATATGAGATTGTGGCCCAGCTGAGATCTTATCTGCCCTTCGATAGTCTTTGATCTATTTTAAATATGAATCAATATAGAAAAAAAACAAAAAAGAAGAGAACACGAGAATAAACTTGTGAATAAAGAGCAAAGTTTACTTACCTGTTGTTGAAGTTGTTTGAATTCCTTTGGATTGGTATTCTTGGGCACAAATTGAAGGGCACTCTCAATCTTGACTGGAGTACTGCTATGCGTCGGTGATCCGTCTGTCACCCACTGCACACAAAACCAGAGTATAAGACAATTTTCTAACGTGGAATTAATAATTAGTAACTTAATTTAGACTGCAGTGAAATGACTCTCGTATGCATTGTGTGCCTGTATTTCATCTTAAAAATTAAAATTTACATTTATATTAATAAGATTATAAACTGCGAATAATACCCTTAAGCTGTCTCGAATTTTTCAATAAAATTCGAGACACAATGGGTCAACTAATCTGGTTTTGTTTAATGCAGTGGATGTACACCAAGGCCACCGATAATTATAAAAATTATGACCAACAGGCACACATTCATACAGAGTTACTTTTTCAAGTTCGACTACTCTATTTTAATTATGCTGAGAGAAATGTTATGATCATGTATAATTTTTTTTTTTTTTTTTTTTTTTTTTTTTTTTTTTTTTTTTTTTTAAGAAATGTTTCTCTAATTGATGAGAAATATTAGATTGACTTTAAAGTCGTTTTTATTAGTATAATGTGCTGTCAAACTAAAGAACCCATAATCCCATAATTTTTATGTGAATTTGAAATAAAGATGAGAATAAAAAGCTTGGATTAAATGTCATTTAGTGCGTTTTAGAATGAAAAGAAGAAAGAAGATTCCTATCTCGAGAGAGAGAGAGAGAGAGAAAAGAAAGAAAAGAAAAAAATGAATGAAAATAGAATTAATAATAAAATTAAATATGACTTAGTCCATTGTATCAATCCAAGTAAACGTGGATTCCAATTACCTCCTCAGCGTTTTGATCCACCCACTACAAAAAAAAGTCAAAAAACAAATATTGAATTTTGACTACTCTTTTAAAGTAACCTTGTTTTTTTTCTATTTGCCTAATATACTCGTTTCCTAATTTCATTCACAACTGCACACTTTGTGGTTTTATTATAGAATAATTTGTTTTCTTCAAAATTAGTGGATATACCTTTATTTAAATATTGATAAGCTACAAAAAGAAATGTCCATGAAAACTATATCATCAAAAGCAGTTAAGTTTTACAGATTTCTATTAAAAAAAAAGCTTTTTGTGCTTCCGAAATCTTCTAAAATGATAAATGATAATTTGATGAAAAGTGTATAATTTTCATAAAATCCACTTTATTGAATATATTTCTAGAAAAGGAATGCCTTTGGAATGTTTCAATAGACTAATTACATTATTACTATGTTAATAAAAAATCAAATTGTGATAAATATATTAGGGCTGCACAAACTGTTGGATTTGGTATTACTATATGTTAGAAATAGTATTGACTTTGATTCTAAATTCACTTAACAATTTACTTGCGCATACCTTTTAGAATATATGTGAAAGCAGTAACATTAAATATGCCTTAATTCTATACTTATTAAGGCAGTTAAAAGTTTCAATATCAATAGTCATTAGACTTGAATTATTTTAGCAACAAAGCCTCTAAGCAAAAGTGAATCTCTCTTAATGAAACTAGGATCTTTCGGTAACAATTTGTAAATATACATATTTCAATGAGTTTACATGACTTCCTCTCTTGTGCAACATTTACTTTTTCTTTTTAATATATACCAACACTTATTACTTCGTATATCAACATACTTGCGTTCACTAAAAGCATACTTGTATATCACTCTTCGCAATAATATCATTAGCAAAAACACGTAGACATTTCAATAGATTATTATAGTGATGAGTAACATTTGAAAACATTTAATTTTATATAATATATATATACTTCAAGAACTTTAGTCATTCTATCAAAAATGTAATAAAAAAGTCGAGATTAAATTTTTGAGTCTTCAATATGGGCAGTTAATTGTTTTTGTCATTTTTTAGGTTCACTAATGTATATAAAGATCTTTCTGATTTTGCCTCCAAAAAGTGGGTAAGCTAAAATTAATTCTAAATAAATTCTCTTCTATATAGAGAATAATCTCAAATTATTATCGTTAATAAATTCATCATAAAGTATGTAAAATACAATAAACAATTTTCTAAAAGAAAAAGTAATAACATGTTCTAAAAAAGAATATTTATATAAATTTTTAACAAATTGCATTGTAAATAATAGAAAAGAGCATTCTATTTTAAAATTGGAAATAATCTACTGTAAAATCATCTAAAATTTTCATTAGTAAAGGAAAACCTATGAAATAGTTTGCGGAAACGCGTTTAGAAAAGTTATGTTTGGTCTATTGTCTAATTTGCGTTTATTTGCGTTTCTAGGTCATATTGTGATGTGAGATATTAAAAAATTCCACTTGATAATCAAGATATAAACGACCTGTATATGTCTGTCAGGAATGTCTATGAATTGCACACTTTTGTGTTTTGTTACTCTCTCATTTCGAGAAGCATCTATTCTTGTTTATTCTCAAAAGTAATAACCTCTACCTTAGTGATCTTCTTCGGATCTGGAGTTCCAGTTTCCAAAATTTCAACCTTCTGATAAACGTTTGGTGAGTTGAGCCAGCGAGTTCTGTCAGTTCCTTTGCGTCCGCCTTTCCATAGTCTAGAAATAATTTTGTTAAATAATTAATTTGAGATTTTCCATTTAAGCTGTGTAAAAATCGCATCGATTTTGAAATCCCCCTAAAAGTTGGAAAATGCATTTTAATTAATTTACTTACCCCTGTTTGTAAAGTTCTTCCTCTTCTAGAAGATAACCAAGAGAAGACACAGCCGGAGGTACCTCGACATCATTTCGTGGTCTTGGAGGTTCACTTTTGACAAGCGGGTGTCTGTAGATGTAACCTGTGCGGAATCCCTGTAAAATAAATTGCAAAATTTACAGTTTGATTTTTCATTTACATATTTTAAGTTTTATTTTCAATTTTATAAATAAAATAACTTACGGCATTATCGAGCATTCTCATGAGAGCCTCGAACTCAGTGCCACCAATTCTCCATCGTTTTTCAAGTTTCTCTGCCAATGGCGATGGTTCTGCAATTGACGCCTGTAGAGGAACAGGGGGTTTTCTGGAAGCCTCAAAAATTGCTTTCTTTGATTCTTCAGAGATGAGGTTCATGTTATCGAGACCAGCTGGTAATAATTTCAACTGAGTTTCGCAAGCCAGCACAGTATTGTAAACATTAAAGAATGCTTCCTCCACTGTCTCTCCACAACATAGAGCACCTCGATTTGTTAGGAGCATAACTTTATTGATTGGACCTAAATTCCTTGTGATTTTTTCCCTCTCCTCTGGCTCAAAAGAACCGCCAATGTACTGATGGTTGCTAACTTCGCCTATAACTATACTTTCTTGTCCAAGCGGAAGAAGACCACATTTCATTGACGATATCTGAAAATGAAACATCAAGTTATTAATAAAAATAGTATAAAATTAAAAAATTATCAAGTAGGTATTCACGTTGTTTGAAAATTAAGAAATTTACGTAAATTTACGTAAATTTACGTACAGCTGTAACGGACGGAGTGGAGATGTGAACGATACATTTGATGTCTGGTCTCGCAGCGTGTATTGTCGAGTGTAATTGGAATCCTGCGATGTGAACACCAAAATTCGTCGTTCCCTGTTCTACAACCGATCCCTGCATGTCCACTTTTACTAAACTGGAAGCAGTGACTTCGTGATAAAGTAAACCATAAGGGTTTACCAAAAAGTGTTCTTGGTCCTGATTCAGGCGAGCAGAAATCCGTCCACCCACTCCCTGAGTCCAGCCATACAAATCTAGTAATCTAAAAACTGCAGCTAGTTTGCAGCGTAAAAGTTTCTCGCCCTTTGCGTAACCCATACTCTCAACGCCACGAATATCGTTGATAGGCACGACACAATTTGAATCTGAAACAAATTCATTTTTTCAAAATCAATTTTATTCTCACAAGGAATTTTAGAAAAGACGAAACGGACGAAACGGACGAAACTTACTTTTAAATACATTAGCGTTAAATCGAGCACCTTGTGGGCCCATCATTTCTGATATTTGTTGCAAAAGTCCAGAAGGTCCTGAACCGTCCTTCATTTGTGTTTCGATAATGCGTTCCAATTCTTCTCTGAAAAGTCTCGAGTTCATCATCATTTCAACTCTCTTTCTCCTCTCCATTTCTCTCATATCCTGTAAATAGAAGGTTATTTATTTAACAAGCAATTGAAATCACGTTAAGTGCATGCAAAAATTATGTAAATTAATACAACTCACTGCGTCAATATCGGCGGGTCTCATTTTACTTTTTTCTTCTTCTGTTAAGCCATCGATTACTCCATTTGTATGAGGCTCAGAGAACTCTTGTTGACTCGTGTCCGCCATTTTTAATTTTTTCTCAACTAATACTGACTGTAAAAAATTAAATAAAAACATAATCATTATAAACGACAAAAGAGGACGTATAGCATCATAAAAGTTGGTTCACAAACAAAATCTTTTATCACTCTTTTTTATCACTCACCACTTGAGAGTCATTTTCATGCTCAATATCTAAATACACCAAGGAATTTAACAATGCTTGATTTATGGTATTTAAACACAAAGTGAGATGCAGCATTGTTAAAAATATTCTCAAAATATTTCTTACTAGTAAAAATTTTATTCTGATTGTAAAAATATACCGAAAACTATGAAAATTAAGATGTGCAATTTACGAAACATCACTGCAAACTAATATAATTCTCATTAAAGAGATCAGACATCAGTCAACACTTCTATCATCTGCAAACAATTAAAATTGTTTACAGTGTATTTTACCGTAGTGATGTAACTTTCTTTCAAATAAAGAATTCTAATTAAAGTGCAATAATTAATTTTTATGAAAACTAATGAAATCAAGTAATAATTAGAAGGGAAAACAAATTTACTGCCACTTTATAGATGTTCAATTTTAATGATTGATGACATGTACTGTAACTATAGAATCACATCTTTATTGAGCATGACGTAATGCACAAAATTAAAAAAAACAGAAACAAGTGTTTTGTAACTCACGTTCACTACAACTAGATAACAAGAAATTAACAGTATATTTAAAGAACGAGTTTTGCTGTGTAACTACTTTGTACGAATTTTTTTTTCAAAGTTAATGTTCTGTGAGGAAAAAAATTACGAATTTGGAAACCACACGCACTTTCACATATAGCAAGAAAAGAATATTACTACACTTAATAATATTGAACTGAATATTAGCGAACAAATTATCAATCAAGTGTGAAAATCAAAGGATTTAATTTAAAATTTTGAAAAATCGAAAACTGCCAACGAAAATTGTGTCTCGAGTGCTTTAAAAAGACTACTAGGTTGATATGAAGAGTTTAGAATCTTGTCTGCTTTTGTTACATCACATATAGTTTGACCTACTGCAGTCACGGTTCACATCAGTTCAAGTATTTGCCAAATGCTAATTAATACGTTTGCCACTTTGCATCCATTAATCATAAAAAAATAATCAAAATAACTAAACATTTTTTTCTTTTTTTGGACACGGAAAGATGTCAGGGTGGTCACAAGTTTCAGTTTATCAATTTTCCTGGCAATTTACTGACACCTGATTAAAATTACTTGACAAAATTACTGACAAAATCCCTTTTACAGGAAAATGAGTAAAATTTATAAATTTTAATAATTTCTAAAAATTACAATTATAACCCTTCCTGAATTCAATTATTTTCTACAATTTACAATTATTAAACTTCAACTCTGAATCAATTAATCTAAATAATTTTCCAAAAGTTTTTCTAGAATTCTATTATTTAAAATTATAAAGAAATTCTTACAATTAATTTTTTTTTAATATTTTAAAATAATTTTTGAAAGATAATATTTTTTTAATTTTGAAAAATTTACAAACAATTAAAATTTGGTAAAATCTTTTAAAAATAATTGAATTTTTGAAAAATATAAATCAAAATGATCAAAATTTTGAAGAATATTAATTATAAACAGGACCATGATTTCTCAAAAATTTTAACAAGTCCAAAAAGTAAATTTTCATAAATTTATTTTTAAATTGTTCCTAGATACATAATTGAATCTTAAAAAATTATTATAAAACAATTTCTAATAATTAGTTTTTAAAAATATTTTAATGTAATTTTTCGAAAATAATTTAATTTCTTGATAAGGAATTTTTGTATCATTTAAAAAAACTAGATAATTTTTTGATGAATTTTAATTAAAAATTTAAAACATGATTGTTTTCTCCAAAATGTTATTATTTTTGTATGTATTTAAATTTTTGAAAATATGTAATTGAAAATACTGAAATTTGAATTTAAAAAAAATTAGAAGCTAATTTTCATTGATTTATATTTTTAAATTTACCTTTAAAGATTTTTCATTAAAATTTTTGATAAATAAATTATTTTAAAAATTTGCAATTAAAATTCTTCAAAAGTTGATTTTCAAAAATTGTAAACAAAATACTTGAAATAAATAAATTATTTTCAATGAAATTTGACAAAAATTCAACTATTCAAAAAGATTTTTATTGTAGATATATTTGAAAAATTTAATTATTTTAAAAAATGATTCAAAAACAATTTTTGAAACTAGTTATTTTTCGCATTATAAAAATAAAAAGTTGCAATTTTTGAAAAGACGTCGAAAAAAGTCTAAATTTTCTTAATTTCCCTGACTACTGACAAAACTGTTGTTTCTCTGACATTACTAACATGTGGACACCCTGGAACTGATAAAAAAACTTACACAAAATTACCTGCTTTCTTTACGAAGACTAATCGAAAATTGAGCATTTGGTGACTCACCTGAAACAAAAAAGAAACAGAGTATAAAAATTGGAAATTCAAAATGAAGGTTAAGGTATAGTAAAAACTTGTTCTTTTTAATAAAAAAAAAGGTTAAGGGTATTTGAGGATTAAGAAGTCTTTTTGAAAAGTAATATTTAAGATTGTAAGGAGAATTCTAAATTCAAGTGCAATGACACGATTGGAGTCGACTTCTCCATGACCTTTTGTAATCTCTTATTTAAAAGAAGAGGGGTGATGACGTCAGCCATGTAATTTGTAGAAATGACAGGAGAATTGAGATGACTTTAAGCGTCACGAACTATGCTGATTGGTTGCTAAATATTTCTGGGTGTACTAATCGTGATTATTTTTAAAGGCTTCCCTCCACAATTTTTGTTTATATGCTAAGAGAGCTTAGGCTTAAAGCTTTGTACGTTGAACCCCGTGAAATCGAGGAGGAAAGACGAAAGCTAGCTAGAAGGGCTGGGAACATGAAAGGTCATTGACAGGCAATTATTGATGATCTTTTGACAGCTCCCTTAACTCGAAAAATATGCCTTTTGAAGAAAATAAAAAAGCGCTAAAATAATTGTAGTTACAAGAAAATGTGAATAAAACGCGAGCATTTTACTCCATTTGTGCGTAAAATTACATAATGCCATAACTTTCAGAGCATTGTCCGCGAGAATGTTGTAAAACTACACGCTATTGTTTAAAAAGTTAATGAGACTTCCAGTGTTACAAAGTCGATTTTATAAGCGTATCAATTTAATGCAGCGATGGTGAAGTTGGCGCAGTGAGTTATTTCTTGTTTTAATGCATAAAGAAGAATCATACGTCTGAAAGTCAACTAATAATAAACTGATGTTCACAGAGCCACGCCTAAAAATGCAGAGTGGTGTGCTTGAGTGTGACATGCGTGTGCTCACTTATACAGGAAGACATGGGAAGTGACATTGTGGCACGTGCAAACGATGTTCGTGTGCTTATTAAACACGCACACCTACAACTTTTTCAATTTTAATTGCCATATCAAGCACATGGCGTGTTTTCTTTGATAATCCTTCGGAAAGAAAAAAATTGAAAAAAATTGAAAAAAAATTAACGTTCATTATAGTTTTTTCGTTTCATTAATTTCATTAGACTAATACTGACGACTACTTCTAATCACTGCTTCTGCTATATATAGTATTACTCTACTGCTTACATAAAATAAACCAATGAATTGTAAAATAGTCCTTTTTTCCTTTCCTCGTTTGTAAGGAAGAACCGGAAATTATGGGAGATGTTAAAGCGAGATGTTTATCTGTACATACACCATAGAAAAATGTTATTCGCTCCAATTTTCTCTGGAAATAAAATTAACTCACCAACGAGCTCGGGTTTTACGACAACCAAAAGCAGATATATATATAGAATTGCTATCAGTATAAAAGGAATGAAAAACAAGGGTGTGCCACCCTCAAAAGTATAATATTCCAATCGAAACACTTTTGACAGAAAATTTAATATAATTTCAAGAAAGAATTTCTCATTTTTGAGAACGAAAATTAACTGTACCTAAAAACTTTTTTCTTTCTCAGAACCCTCTCGAGTCTTTCCTTAACAAAATCTCTAATCAAGAGTCTCCCGAAAATCTTAAATCTATCACCTCTCGAAAGCCTGTCTCAAGGGGATTTTGAGGCGGGCCAAGAATGAAAGGAAACTGTCATTCTGACACAATTGGGAATAAAAAAAGAATAAAGAAGGAATTTATAAAAAGTACCACTTAGAAATTGTCTTCATTTCCCTCTATGTACTTAGATTTTCGATTTTCTCCAATATTGTTAAGAGACTAATTTCTAATTTGACGAGGGGAATATAAATTCTGTTCTCTGTTGGTACTGTCAATGGGACTAATCGGTTTGCCTCTACTCTTGATATATTTAACTTATTCCGTGAATCACCATTCACATGTCATGAAAGAATGTAAGTTAATTCCCATTCCTTGTAAAAGAAAAATGTCCTTTCTCCTTGTATGTAAACATTTTCTCGACACTGTCAATTATAATGAATACATCATTCTGTTATATTTGAATTCGAAAATGTGATTTCAAATACAACCATATTTTCCAAACACTTGACTTTTGTGGTTTTGCAGACGACACTATAGTAAGTAAGTACTCGACAGATTACATCATTTGATTGTATTACTTAGAATAATGCTCTCATACGATTTCTGAACTATTTTACAATTTATCGAGTTTTTTCGGACTGAAAATAACACGTTTGAAAGAATCAAATAAAACGCGAAAAAAAGAAATAAATCCTTGGTTGAGCGAATCCAGCAATACTACGACGCTACGACTTTAACCCCTCGACGTCATTCTTACCCAACCCTCCTTTTTCATTCCTCATTTTTCTACTCCTCGTTCTTTGTTTCCATCGTCAGTTATTCGATCCTCCTATTCGACCATAGAATCATGCCGCGTATGCACTTGGTCGGATTCACAACCCTAAGTTTCATCGAGAGACAAGGTATAAAAAGTAAAGTTGCGAATTTTATTTTTCCAAAAGGATTTTTACCGGAATGTTAATTAATTTCATATTATGCACTTTAAAACTACAATGAAATAAATAATACAAAAAAATAAAAAACTACTATACCGAATAATTGAAATTCGCTCAAGTTTTTGGAAAAAATATCTCACACTCTATAATTTAATTTTAATCACTTAACACTGCAATCGAAAACTTCCTCCGAGAAAAGAGATTCTAACATAAATAGTCGTTTCACTCTCATTTCCCATTTCCCTCTGGAGTATACACGCGTTTATAATAACAGCACTCAGCTGACCGTTAAATATCTGCGCCTTTACGTGTCCATTTTACAAGAAGAACCTTTAACAACTAATTACTTCCATTAAGATAAATGTAATCACAAGTTGAATGAACAAACGCTGCTTGATATGTGCAAGAATAGAACTACACCTGGCACGCAAGGCGTTAAAACATTTTCATAGATTTTACTCATACACCCCAGGGAATAATAGAATCTGCAATTATTCTTCGCAATAATGTTCACAGCAGCAATTTTCATGTTGTACAATTATAATCTAAAATCTTAAACATGCACTTGAATCTTTCTCATTTATTTGTCCTGACCAAAAATTGTATATCTATATCATCATATGGTAAATAAGTTGGTTTTATCTTCGAATGGTATTCAGACTCGACCACTTATCAACTGTCGCATATTGTTTTCAATTGATTAAAATATTTGTGACGCGCTTCGAAGAATAAGGTATACCTAAGAAGCAATATATTTTAGGTTATGTTTATGTTATTTTTACCATTTGTGTCATTCTAAAGTTTTTAAAACTTAATTTAAAACTAAAAAGGGTCTTCATCGACTATTTTGGATCTAATCAAGATTTAAACCAGTGGTTTATTCTAAAATCATACAACATAGATTATTAAAATTGAACAAATCGCTTGCTATTCCTTTATTTATTTATAACCAAGAATTTACAAATAAAGAAAGTGCAAGTAATGCACAAATGTTTTGCTCATCTTTAAAGTGATTTCCATTACCTTCTACAACAAAAAAAAGCTGAAGATCGCAGAATAAACAAGACTTTTAAATTATCGAATGAGCCAAGTTTACAAAAGTAGAATCTCTACACCACGATTTCGCAATGTCTCGTGAACTCTTAAGAGAAAAACTAATGTAATGTATTACGTGCGGTTTGTAAATTTTAAATAATACGTTTAAAGTTTAAAAAATACCGTATTATATAATATAATTCCGGTAAAAATAATATATTATCTGGTAAGTAGTAAAGGTACTTATGAGAACAATTGTTGAAAACCTTGGTAGTTTTCTAAGTTTCACCCACTTTATACCAGGTGACTGACACCTTCTCATAAGGAAGAGATGAAGCGAGACACCGGGAAAAAAATTACCACGTTGACGACTGCAAGTTGAAAAGAGCGTGCATCTACGTACACTTTATATAGTTTACACGAAGAGGACTCATGAGAATTACGTTTAAAAGCAGAGAGAAAAAAATACACAAAGCACGTCTCGCAGAGTGCACTTGACGATAATTATTATCTATGAACGCCTCAGTCGCTGTGAAGCGAAAGTCGTACGATCCAGCTTAGCCTAGTTTATCGTTGCAAGAGGAGAGAACTCTTGCTTTACATATTTCAGTATCGACAAAATATTATATAGTAATTAGCAAAAAGAAAAAATTCCCAATTAAAAATCTCCTGTTTTTCTTTCTTTCATTATTTAAATTGCATTAAATCAATTTCTAAATTATCATCAATGAATGGGAATAGATAGGTAGTCTTAATAGAAACAAAATTGTTAAAGATAATTTAAGAGCAAAATAAAATCAAAGTTACTTGGAAACATCTAAACTTTTTTATCAGAGAAGAAAGATGAGTCAGCGGCGCATTAAAGAGTAGGATGGTGTATCCACGCCCACTGATCTTGTGTTCGTTGGAAGAACTTGGTTTCTTCAGCGCAGGGTAACCTACGGGAATCTCATCAAAGCGAGTAGTAGCTTCTTTATTGTTGATTACTTTTTCTTACAACGAGTTACAATATAATATTTGGGACAATATAAATTTTTATACAACTTTCATTTCCTAACGTGTTGCTTTAAATCATTTTTAAATCGTTAATTAAACTCTTAATTCTATTTACACGTTACTCAGTGTGGTATAAATTATTTGGCATAAGGGTTCGGGAGAATAAAAGAATCTTTTATGATATAGTGTCGTAATAAATTGAATTCTATTTATAGTTATATGGTCTTACTCACTGTGGTTTTCAGCTCATTCGCTAATATACAAGAGAATATCAAGAAACTATACTTTTAGAAAATATATTTCCGAATTACAATAACATTTTTAATCAATCATATAGGGATCGTATAGTGAATGAAAGAAATGTAAAGAATGCAAAGTAGAAGAGATATTAAATGAGAGTAGTTAAGGACAAGTGATCTAATTTTATGAACCTCTTG